TGTACTAAAAAGAGAGAGGCGGAGAAAGACAGTAATAAGAATAAGAATAATAAAACTTGACATAAACCAAAGAAACGATTAAAATCTCCGCCGGCACTTTTTCTCATGTGATGGGGACGGTTGGATCCATCCAAATGTCAGCACCAATGCCGGATCTCACACACACACACACACACACACTCACTCTCACAAAAGTCAAAATGGGAAATTCTTACATGTGCTCAAGACGGAATGTGGATAAGGCCATCCGCAGCTCTCACTGGTGGGCACGAATCTCAATGCAGGCAGTAGTATCTATCCATGTACTAGCACCAGAGTCAGATGTTGGGTCGAACCGCTTTCCCGGGAGCGAAGAACGGGGTCGATGCGGATTCTTCCGTGTTTTAATGTTACATGTGAGCGGTTCCAAGGCTTCTAGATAAATTTGTAAGGCGATGAAGACGATGATCTTTATGCACTTGATGCTAGTTTTAGAATCTTGCATTGAATTTGCCACTGTTAGGCCATGGCCGTTTTCATTGCTTTTGTCTCCTCCTGTTACTTGACTCTTGTCTACTAAATTAATTAAGAAAGAGTCATGTAGCTGATCATATCATTGCGCCAAGCGGCATCTCTACAAAGCGACTATCCGAAATCCGCACAGCATACAGCCCCCTGACGTGGTTATTGGCATTGGAGTCCAATACAGAGCCAACATTACTCGCACGACAGCTCCCATCTCCAAACAGGGGTGTCCTTCTGTAAGATTGGCATGGGTTTGGGGGGGAAGAAGATCCGGTGTGCAAGGGGTCACGGCGCCCTCTCCTCGGCTCTTCACCTTGCTTTGTCCCTGCTGCCCATCTCACTTGATGGGGGCGCCATCCCAGAGAGCTGGGCTCAAGGCCATTCGAGGTCTTTGTCAATCTTTGTCTGACACAAAGCGCTCGAGCCAGGTGCTAGTATGGCATCGTAAAAAGTGCCCGCAAGTGCTAATCCTAGCTGGTTGAACCCCCCCCCTAGAAACTGTACTTGTGCCCCTTCGATGACATCGATGGGAGATCAAACTCATCGCCTGTCAATGCGTCCAGGGGAAGCAATGCCACGTTCTTTGTCGTACTGCACTAGGTCTGTAGCACCGAAGCGCGAGAAGCTCATTTCGTCGATGCCATTCAATTAGGGAGTAGGCTACGGCCGTATTGAGCCTGAGACACGAGGAGCCCCAGCCGGTGAAGACGCAAAAGGGTATAAGGTAGGCAGCTAAAGAGCGTGCAGCGTGGAGGCTTGGAGCACACGTGAAGACCTGGATCCGGGTTTACTTACTGCTCGTAAGTAGCAGATAGATTGCTGTCAACAGAAGACATGGGTATACCACAAGAGCATGTGCTCTTGAGCAGTGTTGAGAGTACTACTACTGTACGCCCGCAAAGTATACAGTGTTTCTGTCTGTTATCTATGATCTCAAAAGGCATGGCCTGAAGGATTTCCGTAGCCCGCCTTGAATGTTGCTGCCTACAAGAAGACTTTCCCTCGTTTAATAATCACCTCAGTTCCATATGGTTCATCGGCCGTACACCGGAACTATCTACTACCAAACCTGCAAACGCACAAGTATGGGCAATGACTTACTTTGGATATTTTGCACATCCTCATGTCGAGGGGGAACTCGAACACGCTCGGTGCGAGATTGGGTAATGCGACGTTCGCTACCACAGCTGAGCTGAGCAGAGCTGAGCAAATAGAAACAAGAAATGGCCTGCGAGGTCAGGTGTCAGTTGCGTATCAACTATTTTTACATAGTGCGTGTGTGTCGTCCTTCGCCTACGAGGCACCCCAGCCAGCCACCAACGGCTCCTTTGCGGCATTCTTGCGGCATTCTCATGCCATGTGGCCCGGTCACCGATCGTTTTACGAAGCCGCAGGCTGCCTACAGTATATACTGTACAGAATGTACGGATACAAGTATGCCAAACAGCCATGGCCTCCTTGATATCGGAACCCTCTCCCGTGGACCGAGCGCTTGGGTTTTGCAAGTACTAGTATGTAGGACACGAGTCGTTTCCATGGGAGGGCCTGCCAATCGATGCCCTGGCCTGTCTAAACTGCTAGTTCCTACTACTCAGATGTTGACTCCGGGGCCAAGAATGAAATCGTGCGTGGACGGACGGGCTGATGGAATACAGATGGACCCAGATCCAACTGCCTGGAGTCCAGTATAGTCCAAAGTATATAAGAAGCCTGCTAGTAGGTAGTTGTTCGCGCCAAGTTATAGTGCCTAGATGTAGATGTAGATATGCCGTCAGCAACCTCCGGTACATGCACGCATTCCATGGCTTGAGAAGTATGACGGCGTGCTCGGTAGTATTTGTCCATACAGTACCTAATGTCCGTCCACAAGCTCCGGAGAGCAGCGCAGCGCAGAGCTAATTGTGCATAATGGCTCTTATTGCTTCGCACGAATGCTAATAGCAAAGTGGCCTGTCGTCAACGGCGTCCAGCATAGAAAAGGGAAGTCTGCGCCGTTGACAGCGTCAGGGTTGGCGCCCGCTTTGGTGGAGAGTCTGGCTTCAAAAGGCGAAATGGGAAAAAGTGACAACGGCGACGTACCGGCTGCTGGAAAGCAAACGGAAGGCGCTAGCGGGGACTAGCGCACGCGCTAAACGACTAGTCGAATTACCCTTTTGGGTCAATGGTCGGGGCGCTTGGCTCACTCTGGGCTTAGCGTCTGTGCGGGCGGGCAGCGGGCGCCTTAGTCATGCCGCACTGGCCTCTTACAGCTGGGCTTGCCGCTTTACTGTATTAGCGGCGCTTTGCCCTCTGTACTGTATACCGACTGCTGTAGCTGAGCGTTTCGCTTTTGCTGAGCGTTTCGCTTCCGGGAGCGACTATCTGCTAATATTGGAGGCATCGGATACCATTGTCCAGAGACGGAAATTCAACATGGGTGAGTAAAGGTCGGCTCGAGAATAGTCGAGTTGGGTACAAGGTCGAAGACGGCGCTAGGAGAATGTCTACAGAGAGCCTATCTTATCTATACTATTTGATTCAATGTCCTCTGGACTGCACACGTACAAAGTTTAGCTCTAAGCGATACAGAGTCGGAAGCATAGACAATCATTCGGAGGGTTTCTGTGCCCACCCAAGTGGGTGTAACTAACGCAGTGCCTACATGTAGCCTGTTTAGAACGTCGTCAATTCATCGCTGTGTCTCCAGTTGTTACTCGTAAAAAGGCACGTATAAGTGAAGGTATAAGCAGTGCCAGCTGGCAAATATGGATGTGCAGATACTACTCGTATGGGCACTGTTGAGCCAATGGATCTGATGCCATCTCAGACGGCGTGGCTTGTGCGCAAATACGCCAATCGCCTTGCTTCGTGCTGGGCAAACCATCATCATATTCCCTCATTTCATGTTATTCATGGTGCTGGCTCCAGCAACTTCCAAAACAGCCCTAAACCAGGCAGTCAAATGGTTTCCAATGTCCGAAGCATCATCATCATCAAATGCAAACTTGAACATTTGCGGGCACAAGGCCGTAATTCAACCCAGAATGCCACAAGCCATGTACAAGCCATGTACATGTATTCTAGTGTCCTAAACCAGTTACTCCGTGCAGGTGGTGCCATGAGTAGCAAGCCCGGGTGAGCACTTGAATGACTGACTGATCAATTTTATGGAAATGCGCTCGCTGGGCAGACACTGCTGAGCTTGCTGAGCTTTGCGGTGCTGTGCTGTGCTGTGCTGTGCCGTGCTGTGCTGTGCTGTGCTTGGCTGCTTTGGGCTCTCTGGCGGGGGGATGCTGTTGATTCGCCTGTTCTGGCTCGGATGCGCGTGAGGCGGCCCGCGGCCTGGTCCTTGTCTGCTGCTGGAATTAAGGGTGCTGGAAGGTGTTGTTCTATTTGCTGGCCCCGATTGCTGGGAGAGCAACCCCCAAAAAGAGGGCTCCCTTGCCTGGATGCATCGACATGATTTTGTGGTTCTGGTGCACTTTTTCGGCACCAGCTGCGACGTAGGTGCTCGTGGCAGGATGTATATACATGTACAAAGCGTAGTAGACGCCCGGCAGCGCCCCGCTGGCGTTTGGCATGGAAACACAGAGACTTGAATGATGACGGCGTTGTTGAAGCTGGAGCCGCCCTATGAGCGGAGATGGCTGGGCGCCAGCACGCGAATTCATGCCAATTCCTTGATGCTAACGCGCAGCCTACCTCGAGCCGGCTAGTGCTTGTGGCGTCTTGAGCTGTACCGCCGCCGTGGTTAACGCCGCTAGCTTAGCTCATTGTCTGGCAGCTTATAGGCTCCCAGCGCTACGGACGGCCGTCTCGCTTCAACGTTTCCCACAGTGTGCAGCGCCGTTGACGTACCTCTTGCTCCTCTCGTGCCATCCCATCTCTCGGGATCGAGGGCCGGGGGGTCGGGACCTGCCAACTGGCGTGGGCCTGGTACACGCTTGGACTTGTCTGGGCGCTATCCAGGGCTGCCCTGCCCTGTGCTGTGGCGCCTGGCACCGGCTCCGGTCCATCTCCAGCAGACAGCGGTGCTGCTGGGGAGGCCTGGCAGCTGCTAGCAGGCCTGGCGCACAGTGTCTCGGTAACATGAAGCCTGGTGGCTGCTGCTGCTGACCGGGTTCGAGTGATGCTGGGGCCTTCTAAATGGCATTTCCCCCCATCTCCGGCTCATATATACTGGTACCCGCTCCTCCTCTTCAACTCGGGACGGGAAAAAAAAATAGAAAAAGAGAAAAGAGACAAGAGAAAAGCTCCGACACATCCTTCGGCCTCCCTGCCTTTCGACGAGATTGACCTCATATCACATCACCCACTGCTGCTGCCGCCTTGACATTGTAACGCACAGCAGCACTTCAACTCGTATCACCTCAGAACACGCCCGCCAACGGGCTGGATGCAACCAACAGATCCGCCCTGCAGAGATAATTTGACACCCGCCTGCGAATGACTTGTTATGCGGCGACCCCTCAGCTCTTATCTCCAGTAGACGGGACGACGACGACGACGACACCACAATGCAGCGCCAGGAGACCTCGAGCTTCGCTGACGCCGGTGAGATGATGCTGCCTCAGCTGCCGCCCATGGAGGGCGCTCTGCCCATTGACGACGCCGATTCCGCCCTGGAGCAGGCCTCAATGCCCAGGCCCAGGGCCCGCGAGCGACACTATCGAAGCCGCAGCAGCCTCGCCATGGAGGTGCTTTCGCGCCGCATGAGCCGCCAGACGCTGCTGCAGCAACACCAATCCCGCCCAACATCAACAGACAATGCCGCGTTGGACAGCAGCCTGGACGAAATGACCATGGAGATGGACCTCGACGACGCCTCCCCTTCCATGCCTGTGCCACCCTCGGCCCAGCGCCAGCGTCCGTCGCGGCGCTTCCTGTCGCTGTCACTTCCCCATGTCTCGCCAATTGCCCCAGAGACAACCATCGACCCGGAGGTCGCCTCCAGAGTCCTTGCCCGGATGCAGGCCGACGCCCAGCCTGCCATCCGCCCGGCCCAGTCGTCCAGGAGCTCAAACCTGGTGCCCGCCATCGAGATTGACGCTGCCGAGCAGGCAGACGACGCCCAGGCCGATGAGGGCTACAGCGAAGGACCAGACGAGTATCCCTGGCTGGGCGAGAAGCTCGCCGGAACGCTGAGGAGCCAAGGCCTTCTCAGCTTCACCACCTCCGCCGAGGCGGCCATGCGCTGCCCCAAACTCGTGCGCAACGTGCCTCGCATGCGCAAGAGGTCGCACAAGAAGAAGGAGCACAGACTCCGCACGTCAAGAGAGCCCACCGGCGAGCCGAGTCAGCTTCAGACGCCCGCGGGGAATGCCATGGCCGCTGTTGAAGCAGCAGCAGCAGCAGCACGCGCTTCTATGCAGTAGCTCTCCATCTCTACCTTGAGCTGATCTGCACATCTATCATCCTTTATTCATCCTTCAACTACCGACTATATTCCTGCTCTCTGCCACGGCTGGCACAAAACAAACGATTTAGACACGACATTACGCGGCGTTTTTATTTTGGGAGGGGACTTGGCATCACATCAATCTGCATTTTGTACACGGGACTTTCTGGCGCAGGCCAGCTACACATACTACATATTCGCTTCTCAAACTTGTTCTTATTTACTGCACATTTTCTAGCGGGAGTCCTAAGAAAACAAAAATGACATCAACGTTCGACACGTGTTATACACTATCTACACCGGCGTTTTCTAAATTTTCTTCTTGTTTTGTTTCTTTGTCCCCTGACTTTTTATTTTCCTACCCACTCTATTTCTTTCTTCCCCTTGACGTGGTGCGTGCGTATATACGGTGGCATCGCCTTGCCCGTGTTACCACAGGCATGAGGGAAAAAAAAGGAGAATGGATGGAGCAACAACTTGGGAAAGAAGATGGCGTAACATGGGAGAGAGGGGGGGCGGGATCCATCTGGATGCATCTTTTGGTAAAAAGGAATGGGCACAACGGCGTTTTTTCCCGGCCATGCGGCTGGGGGTGTTTCTGGGACTGGCTGGGAGCAATTTTTGGGATTTTTTCGGGACATGGAACCTGACTCGCCGTTTTGATGCGTGGGGGAACCGGCGAGTTTCCACCACGGGACGGACGGGCAGGATAGCACTAGAATATTGATCAAGTTAAATCGAGAAGCAAGAAAACAAATAAGCAATACCTAGTAGTACTTAACTTTTAGTTTACCCCATAGTAGCAAACTTGTTACTTTCTAGAAGCAAACGGCCCTTCTACAGCCTGTGGCGCGACCTCGCTTGTGAATGTGTACAGTACTGTACAGTACAAACGGCGTGTGTAAGCAGAGAACCTCGACATCACATCATGATTGTGCACGCGAGGCGTCAAGCTCTTTGATCATGCTCTCATTTCCTCATTTCCCCCACTTACACAGCACTGTACAAGGAGAATATCCAGGTATTTGTATGGAGTGCATGTGCATACATGTACAGACATGCACAAACACGTAGCACTACATGTGCTCCGGTGCAAGCAGTCCACGTGGTATTACGGCGTTTCCACCCTGCTGCAGCAAAAAATCCATCATCATGGACAGTGAAAACTAGGTGTACAACTCGAAGTAAGCCCAAAACAAAAAACTGGGCGCCAATCTGACCATCTTTCATGCGGCGATGGCGATGCGATACCGCCAGCTTGGACTCGGGACCGGTCAAGTGGATTTTGGGCTTATAGGGGGGGGGAGGGGGATCCTGGCTAAACTCTCCAGCTGCTTCCAGCGATATGGTGCGATATGGGCGCTCCAGTCGTTGCTTGTTTTTCTGGTACCGGCGCCGATTGGGTGGCGCGGGCGCTAAACGGGCGCTACGAGGAGGCGGTGAGCGCGTCTTCCCGGGGGTCGAAGGAGCTGGACTGGACTGGACTAGAGTTGGAGCTGGAGCTGGAGTGGATTTTGCCACTGGACTGGAAACCTTATGGTAAGCCGTAGCCATTGACCTTATTCTTGTGCGCTGCGTCTCTTCGATTTTTAATCTCGATGTGCAAATTGCGATGATCCTGCTTTGGTTGCATGAAACTCCACCATGGCTACGATTGTCCAATCATTGGTTTGCTGGCTGTGCATCAACAGGTGCTCTTCTGATAGGTAGATGCTCGAATACTGTACATGATACATGATATCCATGGCCATAGGCTGCCATCAGGGTCCTTTGTCGTCGCCTCTCGTCTCTCCTTTGACGAGACCTCGGAGCCTAATTTCCAGAGAAGCTTGCTCTCGAACTCGGATAACGGAACTTGCGAGACCGATCAACGGGCCAGGCTATGTAACCTCAAAGAAGCACGGGCTCGACCATGATGCCATCGTCGTTCTGGCTTCGGATCCTGCCAGGGAGGGATGCTGCTTTCCCCAGTTCGCCACGTGCTGAGTGGTGCGTTGACCAGGATATTCTCCTCTCCTTCTATATACTCTTCTTCTTCTTCTTCGCCCTTCTATCATCAAATCTCTCCAAGTGATGCATCACCCCTGGCGACGAGGATCGAGTGATCCTTGTGCCAGAGACTTCATGCATCAAGAATAGGCCAAGATGGGTCGACAAAAGTGTCTGGATGCTGACTTGGAACAAGCTAGATTCGGGAAACTGCGGAACCAAGCGTTGATTACTGGTCACGACTCCGAGTCCTCTTGCTCCTCAGAGACATCCTCCCTTGCTGCCCAGGGGACCGTTCGCAGCTCGCCCTTTGTCCGCACAAAGAAAGAGTCAACCTGACCACCTTGGCCCCGCCCAGCCTCATGGTGCCTGGATGGTTTCTCCCTCAGGAAGCGGCCGTTGACTTGGCAATGACATTCGTTGCTGAGACATTGCACCCCCGGAACCGCGGTCATGGACGAAAAGACTTAGCTTCTGCTGGAGCTGAGGTCAGAAGATTGAGAGATTGCCACCTGCCGTGAACCGCTCAAAGAATTGGCTGCAACCGCGCCGAAGCTAAAAGGCATGATCGGCAGTTGGTTGATCTGAAAGCAGGGCAGAGATGGAGAAGCCGCTCGGTGCCTCGCATTAGCTGCTATCAAGGCTCACGATATGCAGGGTGGTCAGTGCCATGCAGCAGCGCTTCGTTTCATCTTGTTTACTTTCGCTGGCCTTTCATCTCTCGGGAGCAAGTTCGAGTCTCTGTCCAGCGCTTGATCTGAGCGAGTGCTCACTTTCTACTGCCATGTGGGCAGATCACGCTTGCGCCAAGGCACGGCCTCCCCACCAGCTAGTGCATGTATCTATGCGATGATGTTCTGATGCCCCGATCGCAACGAGATTAAGATAGGACCTTCTTTGTCTTATTATCCATTGCCCCATCGACTTTCCAACTTAGCTTCACTTTGAGAGCAGCTAGTGGGATAGCCCTTGACGGCTGAACCTATCCCAAGCCTCGAAATACAGCTGGGGAAGCGGCAATGGAATGCGTCGCCACGGCCCCGCGCATTCCTTTTCCGTATACGGAAAGCCCAGCAAAGGAACGGAAAGCTTTGGTTGCTGTGGTATCTTTCCGGAGTATACACTTGGTGAGTGAGCAATATGACTGCGTTAATATAGACGACCTGTGTGGTTAATGATTCTAGTTGTGCTCCGTGCTTGAGTCTTGAGGTTGGATATTCGATTGATGTCCTCTCTCGCTCTCTTACTCTTTTCTTCTCTTTTCTTTTCTTTTCTTCTCTTTCCTGTTTCCTTGTTTCCAAGACGTATCTCCACACACTTTTTTCCACTTCGCCTCTCTCAATTTAAACTTTTTTCAAACTTTGTGTTTATATCGTCGGATCCGGCGAATACTGACTGCTCCATACAATACATGTCCTTACTCTCTTATCTCTCATCACTGTAATCAAAACGAATTTGGATACTAGCCGCATCTGTCAATTCATCATTACGAATCAGCCACTCCCGGATCCCGAGAGGAACTTGCCACCAAACTTTACTTTCGATGGCGTTTTGGGGGAGGACCGAATTTCGAATGGAGTCTGCCCTCGATAGGGATACCGCCATTTACCTGCTCGATCATGATGGAGGCCCGGCTGACGCGGCTGACTTTTTCGGAGAGTTCCTGAATTTGGACGGAGACGAGGCCCCTGAAACTCCCATCGATACTGGCCGCAACGGCAATCCGGATGCGTTCTTCACCAACCCTGCAGCGATGCTCACTACCTCTTCAGTTGTCTCGTCCGCAGATGAACGCGATTATTTTGCCACAAGCTCTCGCCTGGGGAATGCTTCATCTGCGGCAAGCCATGGAAATGAAAATAGAAATAATACGGCTGAGCTTGCTTTCGGTGATGCCTCCGATCCGGCTAGGGGCGGAACTGCTCATGCACTTGGATATCTTGGCCGCAGGTCTATGTCGGATAATGACCTACATCGCCTTGAAGACATCTCCCTTCGCTCGCCGCAAAATAATGTTTCCTCTGTTCCACCTACATCGTCTTCCACGCCGCCGAATACTACTGGGAGGTCAAAGCAGTTCGTTGCGGCATTATCATCCGGTTTCCGCAAAGCAACTAATACTTTGGGACGGAGGAACAGAAAGGAGCAGCAACAGCAACAGGAGCGGCAGCAGCTCTCTCTTCAGAGGCCAGCATCTCCTACACTTGAGCATCCTCCCATGGCCATCCACCCTCGCCCGCAACGAATGCACTCCATTACTCACACCAGCACGGGGAGCGTCTCACACGAGAGTCCATCGCCCCTGGCATATAACCCTAGCCCATCGGCCTTTGCTACCAGCTTCCCTGATCACCCGTTTGCTGAGCAGCCGAGAGCATATCCTTCATATCCTTCTCCAAATATACAATATTTCAATGATGGCGGCATGGGTCCTACGGCAGTCCATGGTTCCACCCGTCGCATTAAGAGCGAGCAGCAGCTGTATCAGGGGTCTCCAAGCATGATATCATCCACAGCCACCGTCGATGCCGCTTCACAGATGCCACAGCAGCAGCAGCAACAACAACACCAGCAAGGCGGATGGCAGCACCCATTGACGACTCCAACAGCGCCAGAGCCATGGGGCGGCTCAGAGTACGTGACGAGCCAAGACCCGCGCTGGTGGGACTTCAGCATGAACGCCAGCGTGAACCAAGCAATGCATTCTCAGCATGGCGAGCTGCCCTACGAATATGGACCCTTGCCAGACACAAGTGCAACCGGTCTCATGATTCACATGCCTCAGCTTCACCCATCTCAACAAGGGGCTGTCAACGACATTGCCCTGACCGCGCAGACATACATACCCCCGCCACCCCCTATCCCGGCGACAGAGCGCAACAATCGGCCTCCGCGAGCACCATCCTCTGGGACTCGACATCGCAACGTGTCTTCCTCTCCTATGCGCAGAACTCGGCGCCCCTCCGCGTCCGCCTCCCCCACGCAAGTGCACTCCCAGATGCGCAACCAGTCCCGACACAGCTCTACAGGGTCCATCTCCTCTGTCCGCAGCGCCTCTGGCCGGGCACCCGGGTCCGCGCCCAACACACCGGGAGGGGTCCGCAAGCGCCGATCGAGAGACGTGTTAGGGGGTAACATTGGTGGCGGGATAAATTTGGGCGGTGGGGGCGGCGATGAGCTGGGCTTTGTCAACTTTACGCCTAATGATGGTAACGTTCTCATGACCGGCGTGGCACCAAGTGGCAGCTCAAAAACGAAAGCTCGGAGGGAGAAGGAGGCCCAGGATAAGAGAAGGAAACTCAGTGAGGCGGCGATGAAGGCCGTAGCTGCGGCGGGAGGGGATGTGGACAAGCTTCTAGGAGAGGGCTTTGAGTTTTAGGAGATCAAGGCTCAGAAGGAAAGAAGAAAAACTCAGTGAGGCGGCGATGAAGGCCGCGGCTGCGGCGGGAGGAGATGTGAATAAGCTGATGGAAGAGGGCTTTGTGTTTTGAGAATGATCGCAGGCCTGTTTCTGTCCATTCTTGTGTTCTTTGGCTTGGTTTCAACCATTCTAACTGATCAGTCTTTTTTATTACTATTTTTGTTGGGGTTGATTGCTTTCTCTTGAAGTGTCGGTAAGATGGAGTTTGTTTTTCCTTTATGGCTATCTTGGCTTCTAACGCCTTTTAATTGTATTAGATAGCAAGTGCTGCTGGTATTTATACCAGACAACACCTTTTCTCTCGCTCCAAGTTATCTAACTACTTTCCTTTTTTACTTTTGCACGTCAGCCTCTGTCTCTCGTTCTTCTTCTCCGGCTATTTTATTGTCTTATTATTTTGTAATTCTCTTTTTAACCTTTAGCGGTAGCCACAAAAAATCGAGGTAATATGATTTAGCTAAATCCAGTGCTTCTTTGTTCTTTTTGGAGTCTTTTTTTGACTAGGTTAAGGTTCGGCCAAATCCGCCATCTTCAGATGCCGCAATAGCTATCTAATGAGGCAATTAAAAAAAGTGTGAAGACTCGCCGAACGGGATAACAAGGCTTCATGTAGCAATTTGCACGTCCTATAGCGTCATAGAAAAGTCATATTTATCTCTGGAGATCATCATAGGATCGACTTGGAACTATGAAGGCGTCTAATCAAGGCTGTCAAACTTTATAAGAGTCATAAAGGTTATCAACTTTTTAGGTCATCAAGGTTTTTAAAATTTATAAGAGTCATTAAGCAAGTTATTCAACATTTAATGTCATTATCCTATGGCGCGAGGGGTGAATCCTCCTCAATGCTTGTTAGACCTACTTGGCCTAAGTGTGTTCGAGCTACTGTTTGATTTGATAAAATGATCGTCTCCACCTCTGCTCACACCAGCTCCTTATCAAATGATGGGCGTATATACAAAGGAGTGAGGACCAAAGGGGCTTAAAAGAAGAAGAAAAACAAAAACCTAGGCCTCTCTCGTAGGCACATAGAACCCCATGGTCCCTCAACGCCAAACACCTTCCTACAAACGCCATCACATCTTCCAGCCCTGAGCTGACGTGACATCAAGACAAAGCCTAGCAATAATGTGTATACAACTTGGAGAGTCGTAGATTGGCTATGCATATCGGATTGCCATACGAGGTAAAAAGGAACACGTTGGAGGCTCCCAACATGTCTGCTATAACCCAGGTTTTCCATGCGGGCTGAACTTGTGCCACTGTGTCAATCTCCCCTTCGTCATTTGATAGAAATACATCGAGAAAAAAACAAGAATTTTAGACGCTATGCATCTAGGACTTTTGCATCAAAGCGCTCTAGTGGTCATAGCCTGCGCCACGTTGCCAGGGGCTAGAGAGGAAACATGAGTTAGTTCAGGCTTTTCGGACTTTCCAAGTATTCGCAAGAGTTACTTACCTGGCGTTGTGTTGCGATCGATGTCCGCTTGCTGGACTGGCAGTGTGCGTTCGCTGTTGCGCTAAAGAGGCGCCAGAAGCTTGTGGGTTCACCACACTCTCTCGCAGCGGGCTGGCGCCACGTTGAGCGGGGGGAAAGAGGGGAATCGCAGCGTTGGGCTGAGGGTGAGCCCCAGGATAGAACGAGTTCTGGGATTCTGTGGCAGAGATGCTATAAGATGCAGATGCTTCATTGTTCTTACGAATGTCAGATGACTCCACAGACTCATTGTCAAATCCACCCTTGTAGCCAAGCTTGTCGCCTCGAGCCGTAGCCGCCAGAGCGTCGAGCTCGGTAGTGGCGCCAAGCTGCGACTGCGACTTCATGAATGATGCACGGTCATCGGACATGAACTGGTATCGCGCATCCGGGTTCTTGCGGATCAAGTTAAGGATGGTGGAAACAATGACCATGAGGAGCAAGACCAAGGACATGACGGCATTGAGCACGAAGAAAACGACACCGATGACGCCAACAACCAATTGAGGAACATCGATGACGTTGGTGAAGATGAAGAGAAAAATGGCATTGATGAAGTTGACTGCAGAGATGGCGATGTTGATGGAGTTTGTGCTCTTATCCATCCAGGGACGAAGGACCGAGCCTGCAATAAGGAGGCCAGCTTCGATGATAATGAGGGCGATGGCCTGGGTGACGCCGCTATGCTGAGCCAGCGCGATGAACATTCCCTTGATAAGAGTGTAGAAAAGAATTGGAATGATGAAGTAATATGCTGAGGCGCGGAATTGAACGTAGAGAAAGCCCCATTTGTTGAGAGCCTGAGGGTCAGAGTACAAGATGAATGCTGGGTTGCGATGCATGGCGATTGAGCGTCGGGCGAGGCGAATGACCTTGAAGGCGCCATAGCACAGGGTAAAGAGCAAGCCGAAGAAGAAAACAACGGCGAGAAGCACCTCGGCGGCTGAATCGCGCTGAGTAAACTCCCACAGGCAAAGGATGACCATCTGAGGGAAACCAATGAGACAAACACGGAAAAGAATGCCCTTGAGCACGGTAATCCAGCCATTGCGGAAGTCTTCAAAGCGGTCAGCCTTGATAAGTCGCCGTTTGGCAAGAAGCTCGAGGAAGCCTTTGAACGCGACAACAGCGGCCGCAGTAAAGAGGCCAAAGAGCCAAAAGAAGATGAGGCCGGTCAGGAACAGATTGGTAGATTCAATTCCAGCCTCGAAGGCAACACGTTGGATGCCAAAGACGACGTAACTTCCCGAACCATTGGTGATGTTGCCGCGCTTAAACATAGTGAGACCAGTCGTGGGCAATCTTTCCATGGTGCGCTTCGCCAGGCCCAGGCCGACACGAGCAACCTGGAGGCTTCGCTTTTGAATCTCGACGGAGACTGTGCTGAGAGAGTCGAAGATGGTAGAAGGTGTACCACCAGTAGCGCGCTGATACCAAGTGGCGATGGTTTGGATGAAGCCGACGCGAATGATGCCCATGGACCACTGGAAGTCTTCGGTCCAAGCCGCTACAATGGGCGGGAGGTGGACGCCAGTCAGGCCGGCAATAGCTTGGGACTGGAAGTAGCCGAAAAGCGACAGAGAATTAGCGGCGACGTGAGCAGCAGTGTTGGAATGTCCCAGCCCATTGATGATGGCCGACGAAACGAGGGCCAAACCAGCGATGACAGCAGTGGCCCACTTGACGCCAACGAGGTTGACGGTTTTTCCATTTGAAATGTCGGCTTCAACGCAGGCAATAGACTGACCGGTGCTGGTCAAGTTGATGCGAACCCTGATGGACGCATCCAAGTCCGGAACTTGGTATGCAATACCGGGGATGTTGGAAGCGGCCTCACTGCCAACGGGCACATTGAAGCCAAAGGAGAGCTTGTCCGAAACCATAGGGCAGAGACCTTGGATTTTGAGTTCGCAAGGGTCAAGCGTCGTTCTGAGAAAGGTGTAGCCGTACGCAGAGGCCTCGATGTCGAACTTGACTTGGCCTGCCACGGTTGAAGTGGCCTCTACGGTGACACTGGCAGAGTTATTGGCAGGCGTGTAGACGACATTGAACAGACTGGCCTGGAAGCTCGAGTTTTCCTGGCAGATGTTGAGCGAGTTGGACAGCAGCATTTTTTCGGCCGCGACTGGCGACGCTGTCATGCCGAGCATGGCCAAGACGGCCAGCGGCGCTCTGAGGAACGACCGCATGGTGAACGATGGTGGTTGCTTGTATGCTTCGTTGTTCGTTTGTGTTTTTGCGCGCAGCAGGTGAAAGCGGCTCGAAATTCAGCGGCGATATTATTTTCCTTCTCCAGGTCGGCGGCCAGTGGCGCTGGATGACGAGGGGAAATTGGGCGGAATACGAGGTCAGATGGATACGGCGTGAGAAAACGGTGAGCGCGTATCTGCACTCGGTCGTTCCCGTCGGCACAATTGATTTGAGCCGGCCGTTTAGGCGCCCTGGAAGCAGCGTCTGAGCAATCCAGGTCGAGATGCAGATAATCGAGGTCGCTGATGATTCGAGATTCGTCGCGCAAAGATGCCGGGCGCTATTTTTGTCGTGATGCACGGCCGATGACGAAATGCAGAGATCTGCGAAGCGAGAGAGATTTTCTTGGCTCCAGTGGAAAACGAGGAAAAAAAGAGCGTCGCTGACGACACGGAAAGTCTACCGGACGACAGCGGATGCGTCGGCACCAAAAGCGAAGGAAAAAGCGAGCGGAAGTTCTGGCGGCGCAGGACGCAGAGCGAGCGGAGGAGGAGGCAAGAAGATGAAGAAAAGAAAGCAAGAAGCGGATTCCCAGCGACGGATGGAATCGATTCTTGATCTTCTTGCCAAGGCGTGGTGCGATGCTGATGATGCAGGAAAAAGAGACTGGGGGGGCATGGGCCACCTGGAAGTGACTGGTGCAGGCTCTTTTGCTATTCCTGGAGAAGACGATTCGGGGCGATTACAGTGGGCTTACAGTGGATAGACGCATTGGACTAGCGGCTGGGTGGTGTCACCGAGTTACGCGCACAGGTAGACAGCGTGTGGTGAGCGGGGCATAGAGGTACTCGCGGCGCTAACTTCCAAGGCAAGGTTCCCAGCATGCATACCACTATGCACAGTCCGGGCCCCAGCAGCTGTCGAGGCTAGACGGGCGCCACGGCCGCAAAGAGTTGAGCAACGCCCAGCCACCCGCGAACAGCTGCTGAGCTCCTTAACAAGGGCAGCGGCTCTCCTGGAATTCTCTGCTGCATAGCACGGAGCTGCTATAACCGGGCCCGTGTCGATGCAAATGGACTCAGCCGGCGCAGCGACTGCTCCCCGGGTCGTGCCCTACTACAGTAGGCATTACAGAAGGATGCACGTATCGACTAGGGGCCGATCTGCGAGCTACCACATCCGGAGCCATCCTGCCGCTACTCGCGCCAGTCATGCGGGGTACATGTGCTTGGCGCTGTCGCTCAACGCTGCCACAGGTACCGATGGCATGTATTCCAAGTTCCTCCTCCACTGCGGCGGGATGCCCTAGCCGGTAGCCTGAATCCACGCAAATGAAAATCAACCAACGCGTGGAACCAACGGGTACCTTTTTTCGAACAATTTTTTCAGTTTTTATTTATAAATCGCTCTATGCATGTTTTTTTTGCATGAGCGGATTTTGGTCGTAGTCTTGAACCTAGATTTGGCATTGTAGACGCACGTCATGGCCTCGCTGCGATGGTGATGGGGGGGCGCAGATCCTTGTGATGGTGAATACGAGCCGAGATACAAGCATACGTGTAACGTATAAGTTGGACTAGATGGTTTCTCACCAGCGAAATACTACAGTAGTAAATTACTATGTGAAATCAATTTATCAGCTCGCATGTCTCGGTTGCTCATCCCTCATTGTCTGAAATTCCACACTGGACCCATCATCATTCTATTTGCGCAGCAGACACTCCATCTGGATGGTCGCAGTGAGATGGATATTGCTAGAGAAATACGAGCGCAAAGGGGGGGGACAAACATAAGCCACATGATGCACGATTTGAACGATATTTTCCACCAAAGGGGCATCCAGCCACTTTGACCTCTGCTCAGGCACACGATAGGTCAAAAGTTTGTAGTATTAAAGCACCTGATTACATGAATATAGAGAGTGAAGAGGTCGGTGAGTGAAGAGGTCAGTGAGTGAGTGAGTGAATGTCTCACCCAAAGGTCTGAGACACGCATGCGCTTCTCCAGGTAACCCATTCCATCGCCACGAATGTCAATTAAAGCCACCGGAATGCTACCAGAGCTATAGGGAACGTTGTTTGAATATCGAATCGATACAGCATCTCATTTACGCCACTCCCTTTAATTCAAACACAGCCCCAGGAGCCTCATCGCTGCTGGAGGCGCAGCAAAGATCATCAGGAGTGTTCGTGTTAATACTTAGATATCATCGCTTTTAATATGAGGTTTTATATAAATTGCAACTAGACCAGCTACCGAAACCATTACGAGAATTATGCAATCCAATACACGAAAAAGCTAGCTATTTGAAGAAGAGTGACGAGTAAAGCAGCCAATTTCTGCTCAGTGTTTAGTTACAACGAGACTTCCTTCCTCTACTAGGTTCTATTTGCCCACTATGAATATGTTCCTGCTATCGTGGTTGCATAGGTATGTTCTCATATGTATACCTGAAATGGGGTCCTTCTGTATGATTTGCTTCACATCTCCCCTTTCTTCCTCCGCCATGACCCAAGCCCCGTCAATTTATTTCAAGTTATTGACAGATCCTTGATATACACATCCTGTCCTCGTGAAATATGCATTCCCTATACTATGCGAAAAGTTCTCTGCTCAAGGAGGCCATAATTTGGTTCCTTGTAGCCATGCCAATCAGCAGTGATGAGGCCAACCCTGGAAGAAACCCTGCCTCGCATTTCAATAATAAGACCAAAGATGGTGGTGCCAATGTCTCTAATATGAATGCAGAGCAGGCTACCATCCTTCTTATTTAACTGCTCGAGAAGCCGATCTTGGCTATCTGGCCCCTGAGATAGGGACATCTTTGCAGGAAGCCCTAATAGCTTCCATCTTTGCTTCCTGTTATATGAAAATGAGGATGGAGGAAAGACGCCACCCTGTAATCGGAGAACTCTAGCGAAAGCCACGCTAAAGCGATCAGTCGAGATAGACTCTGCTTTATCGTTCAGTTCCAAGATCTGACCTGCTTCAGATTCGAGAGATATATTTACGTGCACTGCCGCGTTTAGGATTGACTGCTGCCATTCAGAAAGCTGTATCATGGGAAGTTGGGACACCATGGAATCCGAATCGGACATTATCGCGTATTCTACCTTTCCAGCCCAGCCAGCCCATGACCAGGAGGGGAAGTCCGGCCTGCGGATGGGCTGTGAAAGACTGTCCCAGCAGCTATGAACATGTCTCCAGCATAGAGCCTCGACAAAGCAGCGTTTTGTCAGTTCTGGGCGCTTGATCGTAGTGGGAATGCCCCATAGCTGAGTGATTGGCTCACGAGCCCTCTCGAATTTCTTCATTATTCCAGCAAATGCGTTTAATGAATCGTGCTCAAATCGTAGTTCCCTAGCTGTGTAATCCTCGACCGCAGTCAGATATCGTATAAAGATGTTTAGGGTATTCCCAGGTCTGCCGCGGAAGCCAACGAATTTCTGCCAGCCAGATCTTTCAAACATGCCAGGTCTTTGATACTGTGGTGACGTTGACCCCCATTCGTTGTACAATGCGTCAGTCGACCCAGAAAAACTCTCACAGCAGTTCATTGCAGCGCACTCGAAATAGACTTGTTCTTCTGTAAATACGAGGCGGCGTCGAGTGAGCAATGCTTCTTGAAAGGTCCATCCTCTTGTCAACCATTTTGAAGAACGGATCGAGTCTTGGACATCTCTCATGGTTGATAAGACGGTTAGGCCCCCAACGCGCGCAATAGGTTGGGCAGATCGCGGTTTGGAGCCGACTCCAGGCAAGCCATGAGTCTCATCGACCCCAGCGGCCGCAATGATGGTTAATTCGGCATTTTCATAGACAGAATCCATTTGCGTAATTTGCAGATGCTTCACTTCGTTATTGGTTTGATCGATGCAGAATTTGTCCACCCACAGATACTGGAAGCCAAGCGATTTGGTCACGGCTATTGCGTCCAAGATTACGGCTGGCAGGACAGAAGGGAGAGCAAATATGCTGCCGGACGCTGACTCGAGAGAATACTGGTCGCAGACAGTAGATGAACCCCAGACATAGCTCAGGGCTACGTATGAGAATTCTGAGCGTCCTTGTTCCACGACGAGAGTCTCGCAGTTGATCAGCCTTAGATTGATGGCAGACGCATTTTTCTGAGAAAAGCATGTTTTTCGATGATGTTCTCTGCAGTGGCCAATCCATCCTATCGCGACGGTTGGGTCGAAATAAGGGGGAACTACTTGAGCAGAGAACTTTGGTGGCTCGTGGGGTTGGCGGATAACTGCGAATCCCTGCTTGGCCCCATGGACACGTCGTTGTTCTGAATTGAGCGGAAAGTGTGATGAAATCAAATCAATATAAATGGATCTGTTTCTCCAGGCGAAAAAAGATCCCCGTGACGACACATCGTGAATGATAGTGTCTTTTAGAAGAACAAATGCACGCAGCTCATCTGTGTCGTCTTCGGTCTGGTCACTGATTGAGTCGAGAGCTGACTTATGAGATTCCAATAGTGCGCATAGCTCCTTTGTCTCTTCTCTGGTTCGAAACATGATCAGGCACACCTGGATCGATGACGTGTACCTTGCTAACGATATACGTCGCCTAATTTTACCTGTTATTCTTCTGTTCTGCTCCTTGGTCGAGAGGTATGATACGACAAGTGACTTATGATATACCAATAGTGCATATAACTCAGGTATGTTGTATAGGTTTTGGTTTTTGTCCAGGCATGACTTGAGAGCCGAGCTTTGAGATGTCAACAGTGCATGTATCTTATCTGAGTCGTATTTCTCTTGGTCAATGATCGGGTATAGCTCAAGAGCTGACTTTCGCAATGCCAACAGAATGCGGCATAGAGAACAGTTTGTTTCGAATGGCGTTCTATATCGTTTTCCGACTTTTGCGATTACAATGCCATCGCTGGGATATTTACTGCAGTCGGGGTACTTGTCGCTGGAGTTGATCGCTGCCAGGGCCTCCTGAAAATCATACTTCGAGCACTCGAGGCAAATATCGTCAGACCCTTGAGCAGACAAGTCTTCCGCTGTGCTGTTGGATAACGACATGTCCTAAGTGTTGGGCATGTTAGGCTTCGACAGCAGTAGAGCTTTTGGTTGAACTGACCCGAGATAGTGGCTACAAGACACTCAAATTGTACGCATTAGCCCTACAAAGCTGGTTGTAGCTTTTCATTCTGCTGGTTATATAGTACATATGTAATATTCATGTTGTTTGCCTCGCGAGAAGCCTAACGCATCCTGTCGTGGCGCGGTGAGATGCATAGTGGGGAGGAATTATTTCCGATGAGATTCTAGTGATGTATCTAGATTCGTCGGACTTAATTTTCGCTCACTATTAGGAGAATTCTTCCGTTGCTAATCAAAGAACAACAAGTGCCTCGCTCAGACGGCGACTAGATTCTTCTCTGCATGGTTGGGTGGGAGAGTGGCAACATACACGGCATTTGATGCAATAAACGTAACAACATAGAATCATATGAGAAACTATACAAAGAATAACTTGAAATAAATGAAATAAAAAATAAACTAGTTCAATTTTCTCATGTGTAATGCTCTGTCGCTATGCCCCGTAAATGCATCAAAGTTCTATATACAAGTATTCAAAACCAATCAAAACCAATCCTTAAATGGTGTCGACCGCATGCCTAATTAAATGAAGAAAAAAATCAAGACGCAAAATGAAAGCTACAGAGTCAACAGGCTCATAAAACATCCCACTGCATATTCCACGGCTGCGTCCCCTCCTTCAAGCTAATGCCATGCTTGTAATTGCTAATCAGCTCCTCCTGGTCAACACCACAATGCTTCTGCCCATCCCGTCCAACAAACCACCCTAAACCATACAATTTGTACTCGCCCAGCCTCTGCAGCACTTGAGAGGCGGTAAACTTCTCCGTGCCCACAAAGTCGTAGAGCATCTTGCTCTGGTGGATGTACGCCAGCACCGAGGCGATGGTGTTGGGTTGACGCGGCAGAAAGGCGTGGCGTCGGCGGAAGAAGACGACGAGCGCGACGACGACCATGTAGAGCAGGATGAAGAGCGATACTGCGACAGATACGTAAAAGGACTTGACAGTCTCTGTGCCGGAGTTGACCTCCCAGGCTTTGTCGGTGGAGTTCCAGGTTAGGAGGAAATCGTGTCCGTCGACGGTAGCCAGACCTGCTACGAGAATGGTCAGGAACTCGGCCATGATGCTGCCGAAGCCGACAAAGAAGACGAGGAAATGGCCGTTGAGGAGCGCTCGCAGCGGCATGTAGCCAAAGGGCAGCGCCGTGTAATCCAACAGCAGCGTCTTGGCCGGCGCGTGTCTCTTGGAAAGGATGTAGTACGGCTCCATCATGCGAACACTGGTCTCCATGCCGCCCCAGGCCATCTTCACAATGACGGCCATTATGGTGACGACAAACGGGGCTTTGTTCGTCACAACTTCGGCGGGTGTGAACAAAAAGACGGGGATGAACGCGGTGAAGAGGAGGATTCCAATGACCATGGGGATGAGGCCGGCTGCGCGAAGCAGGATGGGGTGTGGGTTTGTGGGCAGATCAAAGTCGTCATATTTGTGCTTCTCCTCAGGAGTCACCACATGTACTTTTGCTGAATTAAACTCATCGGGCGCCAGGGACGAGTTCAAGAGCGTATAGCGGTTATACTTGAGTTTGTTATGAATGTCGCGGGGAGACGCCGTGTCCATGTCCTTAAAGTCCATGAGAATGTGGCTCACCACCGCCATAGATGCGAGACCAGCAATGCCCCGGACATCGGACATGAGGCCCGACTTGCGCGACTGGAGGAGATAAAACAAGATGCATCCCAGCACGGCAATCACCGCCAGCGTCGATGTCAGGAGACGTGACCACACAGAGTTGAAGTTGAGATCCTTGTATCCGTTTGGATTGGCCATGCGCGCGTCTCGGTCCGGCGTGAGCACAACCGCAGCGGCAGCAAATGTTGGCACAAGCGACACGGCAAAGAGGGTGGCAATGGACGACACTGCCACGGCGTAGTGGCCCTTCCAGAGGGCTTTGAAGGGCCGGTAGACGTTGATGCTGGTCACGTAGTCGATGTTGAGGGACTCGGAGGCCACGGCGCCGCCTTCTTTGGACAGCTGATAGAAGGCCTCGAGACGTCGGACTTCAAAGTCGATAAACTGCCACAAGACGCCGTATATGACGGCAAGTAAAGTAGGTGCGAATTTGATGACAAAGAAGAGACCCTGGTCGACTTGATCCGGAGATGTAAACTTGACGAGCGGATCCTTCCTGTGCATCTGGAATAGAACCTCTTGCATGACGGCTAACGCTACTGAGAGGAGTATCAGCGACAGCAGATAGGGCCATCGCATGGAGAATGGCTTCCAGTTACATTCTGGGTAGAAAGTCTGCGTCGCCTTCCCCTTCTCCTTCTCCTTGATACTGGATGCCGATGAGTATGAAGAGTATGTCGACTGTCGCAGCGCACCAGAAGAAATGTTGGGTCCTTCAATATTACTCAGGTCAGCGCCCACCGGCTCTTCCATGATGACCTCGATGACCTCGCCGCGACGGTTGGCCTCGTCCTGGCCCATGTGACGCAGCGTCTCTTTGCGATCCAGGCGTTTGCTTGCGTTTCGCATCGAGAATGATCGACCAAAGCCTGGCTGAGCAGAAACGGGCGACGACAAGAGCTCTCCGCTGCGGACCTGGGAGTTGGCTCGGAATCCCTGGCCTATACCTCCGGTTAAGTGGCCCCTTGACTCCTCCTCTTGTAACTTCCTGATAAACTCATCGTCATGAGCGCCCAGCGGGCCTAGAGTTGCTGTGAAGTCAAATGCCGGCACGGCGTCAAGATCGTCTTCTTCGTTGATGGCGGCATATCTTCCTCGTGAGGCTGGGCCCGACATGCCCATGGCAGCCGCCGACGTGAGCAGAGACAGATCATACGGTTCTTCTTCCCTTATGCTCTCAGGAACTGTCTGCTGTACTGCAGAATAACTCGGTCTACGACTCCCCCTGGATAAAGCCCTCGCAGGCAGGCCGGTCTGTCCAGGCACGGGAGCATATCCCCCACTGGCGCCCGAGTAGGAAAACGAGCCAGTCCACGGAGAAACCGGCGAGTAGGTCTGAGGCCCATGTGTCCCAAGCGTGTTTGGCGAAGACACCACAGAGCCACGGCCATCGTATTCGGAGTTTATCGACACCATGGACTCCCGTCCTCGCAGCGGATGAGGGACCGGTTCGGGTTCACGATCGCCGGCGTCAGACAGGCCGGAGACTCTGTGCGTGAGATGCTGGTCTGGGCGTGGCCCCGCCCAGGGATCTCTGAGGGGATCTTGGCCCGGATGGTGATTATAGGCCATGGTGTTGGTGGGAAATCATCGCTGGGCTGAAGATGGATTAGACAAGGAGAAGAGAGAAAGGTTACAGGCGAGAGCTGTAGCCTATGATGATTGCTGTTTGCTAATAGCTGAACGATTGACTGTGCTAGAAACAAATAGTAGCGGATGGCGTGGAGTTTAGTAGCACCCGAGACTATTGTTTGCGAGATAGCCGACAGTAACTAAGGCGAAGGAGGGTAGGACAATAAACAGCAACTTTACAAGGGCGAGCGTAACAAACGAGTGGCCAAGTAACTCGCTCTTTAACTAAGAACACAATAAAGAAGACAAAGAGGTTTAAAGAGTAAGAAGAGTTGAAAACAGACCCGGCAAGGTGGAGGATCCAAAAAGTCCGTCGCCTCACAAGTTCGCTTCGCAAAACGCCTGAGCCAGGGCCATGCGGAAACACGAAAAAAGAGCTTGTACTGTAGGGCTGGTCAGCCACCAACACACTGCCTGGCCCAAGCAAGAAAATAAATCGAGCTCAGCTCAGCTCTCCGCAGGCCTCCGCCCTCTCTCCCATGCGGTAGCGTCTCATTTTGGTGTGTGTGGTCTTTGTGTCTTTTGGATCCCCGGCCCCCAAAATATGCCTTCTCCGGTTAGCGGCGTCTATTGCGCCAAAAAGGCCGGCGTGGAATGATGATAGTTATCGCTAATGGCCTGCTATTTTGCTAACCCCCCTGGCCTGGGTTGAGCCATGATTGGTTGAAAGCTTAGCTGTAGCTGTAAGCGGTGGTCGGCAGCCCAGAGAGAAGAAGAGACGGCTAAACAAACTAAACGGAACGGTAGGAACGGGCAAAGTTACGTGCCACACTTACACATTCGTGTCCAAAAAAAGTAACAACCTAAACCAAGGCTGCGCTTCGTTGAGCCTCAGAGAAACGGTGTTTTCAAAGAGTGGCGGATTTTTGGGGTGATGAGTAAATAAAAAAGGGGGCCGGCCAGTGAGGTGAGCGGGATGAGGGTTTCCCGTTTCGCTTCTATTCTGCATCTTGTAGTATTGCGGATGTGATTGACTCCGGCGATCTTTTTTTCAAAACAGTTGAGTGAGATTATAGTGCGCGATGAGAAGAGCAGACATGGCAGACCAGGAAAAAGATTAGACCAAGTGGATAGGTGAATTGCCGATGAGCGAACTGACAGGGAAAGACAAGTTCAGAACCCATCGAGTTAAACCCCGACAGATCGGTAATATGCCATGCAAGATGTTCTCGTAAGCATCTCTAAATAAAGACTTGGATGTTCGCTGCTCGCTAGCATGACGGCACGGCTTATTAGTGTTGAGAGATGAATTACTCGGGACGTTCAGATCTCCACAGACGTCAATGCGACCAAGTAACATGTAGATTTGTATGTTCATTGCTATTAATGTAGCACGCTTTGCTGAGCTTGCTAAGCTGGAATTTAAAAAAGAGATCCGTTCTAAGAAAGTCTCTCCCGTGACGAAAACCCATAAACACGGTCCCGTGAAAATCTTTAATCTTTCTCCCTTTACATTGCCGAGAACTCCTAATTCAATGCTTTCTGCGCCTTGTTTCCCAAAAATAAAAAGTCTGACTGGACCCTTTGCTTTCTATAGCATCAGCCATGCCGACGCAACCAAAGTCACAACGCTCGCCCAGCTTATAAACAGCCCTCTCGCTCCTCGCATCAACGCCGCAGCATCGCTTGCCTGAACCTGCCCGCAGCACGTATTGTTATACGTAACGTTGTTTAGTCTCGCCGCAGCCTCAAACACCGATCCTGCCGGCGAGCCATAGTTGTAATAGTCCACATTCAGGATATTCGGAGCACGTCCCCAGTCAGAGCGGCAGTTGTTCGCGGCTAGACCCACGCTGCCGTAGCCCTCGGCCGCATTGGTCTCGTTGAGCAGTGACACGGCTGGCACCAGCAACTCCAGGCTGAAGACGTTGAACTCTGCGTTGAGATTGTGATTCATCAGATAGAGGCGATCCTGGGCCGCCGAGGTGGACAGGTCCGGTGGGCGCTGCACGGTGCAAGGGAATGCGCGGTCCACAGGGTCAAACTGCGTCTCCCACATCTGGGAGAACTCGTCCATGAGCCACGGGTAGGCCGTCTGGTTGGCCTTGTAGTCGAGGAACATGACAACACGGCTGCCGTGGAGGATGAGGTTCTCAAGCGTGGGCCAGTCGTCGATGCCCATGGGGAAGACAGTGGGCACATACGTGTACTTGAGGATGCCCGTCTCCTGGATATACGGCACGTAGACGGACGGGTCCGAGTAGTTGCCATTCTCCAGCAGAATCGTGACGACGTCGTAGGGATGGGCGTCCACCCACGAGTACACCTCGCTCAGCCATTCGTTGATGGGGCCAGCATCCAGCAGGTCGCAGGTTGTGTGGCAGAAGTGCGGCACGGAGCTGTTGGCCGGGAACTGCATCTGGGCCTGCAGGAAGCGCACGCCGTCGTCCAGCTGCGTCTTGACGTCCAGCTCCTGGTTGGAGCCCGAGTTGCCGGGCCGCACAAAGGGCGAGTTGTGGCAGCCCACCTGCGTGATGTTGCTGAACTTGCGCGTGCAAAACTCGACGTGGTTGTTGCAGGCCTGCGTGTTAGTCGGCTGCGGCACTCCGGTGGCCGTGGCCGTGGCGTTGGCGCCGGTGGTGAGCGAGCCGGTCGGGAAGCTGGCGCTGAGGCTTCTGGACGAGCTGGAGGCCGAGCTCGTCGACTGCGAGTGGGCGCCGGTGAGGGTGATTTTGTGGCTGTAGGAGTGGTAGACGCCGGTAGGGACTGGGTCGCCGCCGACTCGCTGCGTCTTGGTTCCCTGGTAGAAGGTGAGGCCAGTGGTGTCTGAGTACGACACTTTCTGCGCCGAGACGGCCTGCACCAGCAGCGCCAGCGCGCCGAGAGCTGTGTAAGGGACTCTCATTGATGCTGATGTGAATTTCGATGTAGAAGATTAACGTTGATATTAAGCCTAGCGCTCGAGCCTCCCCCTAGGAGAAAGAAGTCGACGTCTCCTTGGACAACCCGGTTCAGGAGCAGCAGAACCCAATTCTTTATCACCCAGATAACTGTATTCCAAATGCCGGGGCTGTAAATAGAAACCCGGAGAGAAAAAGAAACAAACAATGTCCGATGACAAAGGAAGGGAAGCGTGGAATCACCGGCAGCCAGGCCGGGTGCCGTGCCGAAGGAGTGTATTCCGCCACGGGGCGATGACAGCTTCTGCTTCTGGAGCTCGTAAAGCGGTGATCGGGAGACAGCTCAGCGGCTCACCCACTTTTGGTAGAAAAGCCCTCTCGTAGTCGTCATCAAACGACCGGAGGTGAGCACGTATGTAAGGGAAAGCTGAGAACCAGCCCAGGAGCCAAGACGTCACTGCCACTCTCCACTTAAACAAGGGGGAAATTGCCCAATCGCTCTGTGTGTTGACTCGTATGGGTGACAGCCAGAAGATAAAGACGAGGCTTAGATTTCGTTTTTGTAGATTTCAAAAGAATGAAAAAGCGTGCTAGACGGACGCTGCGGAATAAAGTAAACAGGGGAAAGAAGGAAAGGGACCAGAAAAAAAGTGAAAAGGGTGGTGGGGATTTTTGTTGATGGGCCGTGAAGCCAAGATATGATCTCCCCCAGTGTTTCCACTCCGCTCGTTTCTTGTTTCCTCTGCTGGCGTGTTTCGATCTCCGCGATTTTTTGCTTGTTAGCGAGCTGTTTTTTTTACCGTCCTATGAGAAGATAAGAAGATAAAAGGGAGCGCGCGTAAACAGGGAATAGCGATTAGTAGCGGCAGATTTCCTCTGTGGGAGTTGGTTGTAAGCAGCTGAAGCTTGTTTGAGGATCTGCATATACCGAGACCCTGGAAAGATCGCCTGGAACAAATGATGGTCTCCAAGCGGCGCTCAACTCATACAAGTAATAATAGCAGCAGTCGATAGCCACGGCGGCAGTATCGTTAGCCGCGTGCCACGCTTAATACTAGCCTACATAGTAGGTATCAGTCGATGCCGCTGCCCTTCGCTTCGTGATCCCAAGGCCCAACCACCACAGCGACTGGCTGTCAACGCTTCTCGTCCAGCAGCGCCGTCTGATTGCCAATTACAATGCGGGCGGCTTCCTCGCTGTTCTGTTCCCTGGCGCTTCCTGTAACACCTGGAATGGGGCCCCGGCAGCAAGGCGCCGGCACCGCCCATGACCCATGTCCACATGTCTCAGCCCCTCCGCCCCAGCAGGTTTGTCGGCGGCCCTGATGCCAAGGAGGGCGAAGCGAACAGCAAAAGAGAAACAATTCCAGCCAGTGAGAGGAAGATTTGTCAAGTCAAGAGACACTGACCAACCATTGAAGTCGGCGTTTGTCGCACAGGCAGCGGCTCCGTCTTCTTCTTGTTTTTTTTTCCCCCGCGGGAGAGCGCTAATTGCCGATTCGCGCTGCCTCTCGGGTTGGAGAGTACGTGTAACAGGCCCGACAGTATCAAATCTCAGTTGTTCATCTCGCCAGAGTCAAAGCGAGAACAGGCGTGGGTCAGCCGTCTATCGTTTTGTGGGCATGAGCCTGCCCGATGATGATGATCTCATGACATGGGGGACACAGTCTGTCAATTGCCGTGGTCTGCTAGTTAAAGTCTTTTCTGCATCTTTGAGCGTAAATGCACACAATAGAGGCTGCCAGTTCAGGTCATTCGTGAATCCCGAGCTTCGGGCGCAGGTCATGAGGCGAAGTCGCCGGGCCACGTTCGCGCGGTTCGGCCAGGCACCTCTTTCGGCACTCTCGCTCCGATCTGCCGGGAGCTGTGCGGATACCAGCAGCGCTAACACCTGTGGCTAACAGCAGCAGCTACAGCAGCAGCAGCAGCAGCAGCAGCAGCAGAGCCCTGAATGATATTGACCCAATATTACTGCGTGTGCATGTGCTACTAAGCAGTAATAGTGACACGACACCTCATGCTGCATGATATATGATATGCCTAGACCAGAGTCTTTTGTCCAATCGGTCGATCACAAGCAGGTTTACACGCTCATGAGTCAAGCCAAACAAGAACATCTAAAAGACCCAGCAGAAGGGCTACCTAGTGGAGGGGCCTCCAGACAGCGGAACCAAGCCAAGCTCCCAAATCGAACTGGATCCATGTCCCTGGCCACGTCGTCTCTGCTGCCAAATCTTCTCACCCAGTCGCCAAGGTCCAGCGCTAAGCCGAGCCGCTAAGCAACCGCGCCTCGTGGTGGATCTGGCCTGGAAAACCCTTGAGAGGCCCTGAAGGGGGGCCGTTTTCTTGATGCCAGCGGATCCGATGGGCCACGATGACGGACGGCGATTTTCTGCGTCTCTTGTTCCCCCTGGTTGAGATTCTGTGGGAATGAACAATGTACCGGTGCTAGTAAAGTTGTGTGACGCGGTACATGCATACCAAGCCCATGTTCGTAGCGCCCCTCGTACTCAGGTGGTTTACTTGGCACATGCAAGGATGTCCGTTTTTTTGACGTGAGAGGTGCATTGAATGTTTCGCTCAGCTCGAGCCATCTGATCTTCTCTTCCCTTTTCCTCTTTTTGAATGTGTGTGTGGCTTTTTTTTCTTTACTTTCTTTTTTCGTCTATTATTCAATTCATTTCGTTTCGTATCTCGTTATTTTTTACTTCTCCCCCATCTTTTCCCTTATTCGTTTCTTATTCGTTTTCTGCTTTTCCGTTATACAAAATCTCACTCCCCCCTGCCCAGAGCAAAACAACGGGTGTTGTACGCCCCTCCCTCCCTTTCATCGCTTCTTCTTCTCGCGTCTTCTTCGTTCGCCTTTTTTGGAATCATCTATGCCCTCTTGCCGTTTAGTATCGTCTCTATAAACAATTACCGAAAAAAAGAAAGAAATCATGAGTGTGCGGACTTTTGCGGCCACGCTCGCCGGCATCAGCTACTTCATTACGATTCCATTCCTCATCCTCGTCCTCATCGGCAACACTCACATCAATCCCGTTCTCGACGACATCTTCTTCTTCAAGCTCGACGTCTCTCACATCATCCCCATATCGGTCGAAAACTCAAATCTGCTCAACTCTGTCGCGCGGAGCCTTGGTCTTCATGACTTTTATCAAGTTGGTGTGTGGAGCTATTGTGAGGGATACAATGATGAGTATGTCACTTCTTTACTTTGCTCATAAGAGACGTGAGAGAGCCAATGACGAGATTGAAAGCTAACCTTACCTCTACAGAGGCGTAACCTTTTGCTCGCCCCCAAAATCCTTCTTCTGGTTTAATCCCGTTGAAGTCCTCGTGGGCGAACTCCTCGCCGGCGCCAAAATCGCCCTTCCCTCCGAAGTCGTCACAATCCTCACCCTCCTCCGCATCGGATCCCAAGTCATGTACGCCTTCTTCATGTCCGGCATCGTCCTCAACTTCGTCCTCCTGCTCGTCACGCCTCTCGTCCTCCGAACTCGATGGTTCAGCCTCTTCACATCCCTCGTCGGCGGCGTAGCGGGCATCGTCCTCACAGTGGCCGCAATCATCGCCACCGTCATCAGTGTTGCCGCCAAGATTGCCCTCACGGCGCAGGATCAGCTCAACATCCAGTGCGATATTGGCGGCAAGATGTTTGCCTTTATGTGGATCGCCGCCTTGTCGACGGATTTCGCATTCCTGCTGCATGCCGCGATGGGATGCTGCTGCGCACCGGACAAGAGAAACGGGTCCAGAATCGGATCTCCCTCCGCATCGACCATGCAAGAGAAACACGACTCTTATATATTACCCAACTTTGTTCGTCGGAGAAAGGGCATGTCAGGATGATTATTTCAGAAGATATAAAGGGGGAAAAAGGCGTACCAACTTTTGATTTTTTCGGCTTTGCTTTTGTTTCCAATCATAAAGAGTTTGGCTTGGGAGCGGGAAGGCAACAATCATATATAAAGAGGGACTCACGATCAGGCTTGATGTGAAATGCGTTCACTATAAGGGCTCATAGATGCATGTTTATTTTATACAAGTATTATGCCACAGATTGGCGGAGGATCCTAATCTGGCAAACGAGTGTTATCATAAGTGACACTGAGAGGCAATGCAGTCGCAGAATGGACATACCGAATGTAATCAAATACAATGTAATCAAATACTAGGGCCAGTCAAAGGCCAGACTGGGGAACAAGAAACAAGTCGCCGTCTACACTTGAATCACTCAACAGGTGCAAAGATAAACAATCAACATTATGTGTCATAGGGGAGACGGCATGTCGTATAATGCTCTATTCATGTTACAGCTCCATCTTCTACGGCCTGACCCCACATCATTTCGAAAGAGCCCGGTCCGACGACAAATGTATTCAATGTTTCTCTCTCCAAATTCGTCGCTGTCGTCGCCCATGAGTCATCATCGTTGTCCTTGGCGGAATCATCTCAAAAGGGTGATGCTCTTGGCCTTAATAATCTCCTATGCCCTACATGGCGCCTAGCACACCCGTCATCAGGTCCTCGTCTTCTATATTCGCATCGAAGCCGACTCCCGCATCGGCCATGTCCTTCTCCATTCGCTTTTGTTCACGCACTACGTGCCGTGCGTACTCCTTTGTAGAACTCAGCCGCTCATTTGTCGCTCGATACTGCTTTGTCAGCGCCTCGATGCTGCTGTGGCTACGGGCCACTTCGGCTGCAAATTCAGCTTCTGTCATCAAGTCGTGTTCTTCGTGAAAGGTCAGGTAGCTCTCCTCGGCTGTAGGCCCAACCTGGATTTGGCCCTTGAGCATGCCAGATTCGATCATATCGCTGACCAGCGCAAGGACCTCGTCATCGCTCTTTAACGTCTCTGCCGTGTGGGCGCTCAAGGTCGTCTGTCGAATTTGAGCGATGGAGACTTGGCGATATATCCGGCGAAGGTTGATAATCTGCCACTTCTGGTATGAGGATATCACTTCTTCAAGTAGAGTCAGGTTCTTATCCTCTTCCCAAGTGACTTGTCCTTTGACAGCTTCCTCCTTTAGAGCCGATGCATTTTCCGTGGTGAATAATGAGGCCAAGTTACTATAAGGCTCGCTTAACCCGTTGAAAGTAAACTTCGTTACACTAGTGACGTAGTGAGGGAAACTGGGAGGCCGTCCATCTTTAAGCAGCCCTACAAGTATCCATTTCTTGTAGCTTTCCAACATGATTTTACTAACGCCTTTATCCTTGGTAGGATGTCCAATCACTTTCTCTAATGCTGTCTGTGATTTGCGCCAGTCTCTTCTTGATATATATGCCAGGGCCTGAACAAAGTGATATTCGAGTATCGACGTGCTCTTGATGGTATCTGTAAGGCCAGCCAAAGACACGTAGGCGTAGGGCTCGAGTTCTGTATCGCATAATCTCTTTGTGTCTTCGAAGCGTGTGTTTCGTGGATAGAAAAGAATGTCGGCATCGAGAACTTTGAGAGCAGGCTCTATGCAGTTTGCATCGTAGGCCAATTTTGCCATGACTAGGTGTGTCGACGTAAACGTGGATCCGCTCGGATCGATTCGAAGAATTGCGTTTGCAAGCAGCTCTACTGCAACCGTGGGCTACCATGCGGCGCATCATCGTTAGTAGCTGATATCTTATCGGGTGGACATCTCATTGACGGGTAGGGCCTCATACTGAAAACAAGCTGCTGAGATCTTCTAGCAGGGCTCGAAATAGAGACCCGACATATCTAATCTGGATTGGATCGAACTTTAACAGAAACAGGAGAGTACTGTCTAGTAAATGTTGGCGGGAAACGGATGGTGGGATGGAGCCGCGGAGAAGAGTATCGATGATTGCGAGGTATCCGATAGAGTTGGTAGCGGGGTCGACAAGCTGTACAGTCCGTCAGCACCAAGGTCTAAAGATGGGAGGCAGCAGCCGAAAAGAAAAGAACAAAGTAGACGTACCTGGAGAGACTGGATTGGATCACGCAGGATTGTGGTGCGTATAGCAGCAGGTAGCCTTGTTGTTACGGATGCGGCATAGGTTTTGGCGGCGGCATCGTAGGCTTTGGAACTCGAGCTTGTGACGGGCGGAGCCAAGTCGTCGAAGAAGAGTTTGGCGTCGTCCATGGTCGATCGGCTTCACAGATGCCGTGAAGCTATAGCAGAAGGAGGATAGAAGAGGAGGAGACGGGGGAATGCCGCAGAATATGTACGGGCCGTGGTGAGCTTGGTCTGGCTAGGTACCTATTTGCCGATCGTCATGCTCAGAGGAAACTGGGCCTCAATACTCAGCAGGACCGTTTTCGTGCGCAGTCGAGGTCTTTCTCGAATGTTATGCTGCTCTGGGGATGTTTAGACTTCTATAAATATCAAAAGGAGTCCTAGCAGCAGTAATGATTTTCCAAGTCAGGCAGAAAAGATGCTGAAGGCTGGATGTTGAATGCTGTTCAAGCTTCACGAAGCTGCCGCGCGATAGTGGGGGAGAACTGATGGAGCGCTAAGCCAGAGTTTAGCCGTGCCTGTAGCCTTAGTGCGATGGGGCCTCGCTTCCCCACTACGAGTTATCGCGGGGCTGCTTCTTAGGTCACTGAAGCCTCTAAAGAGGGCCTGAAGTTGGAAATGGCTGAAGGCATATATGTACATGTACATTTCAAGAGCGTCTATAGTCACAAAACGGCGAATAAAAGGGAAGTATATGTTTTCTTGTATCATAAGTCTTAGCATGATTAGGAGCATTTGTTGCTTCTTCCAAAAGAAAAAGGTCCAACTCAAGGAAATATCTCCTTTCCAACATCTGACCCAAATTCCTGCCTTAAAACGCGGATGAAGCGATAAGCAACAAAATATCTTGCGCTGCCGGGCTGCCCATCGCCTCCATAAACTCCATCATCATCACTCAGAAGCTCCCACGGACAAAGAAATCTGGATGACGACGAGAAGTTTAGCTTTGACATTCTCCTCAAGATTCTTACCATCCCTTCGCGCTGATGAACTGCTTCTTGCACGCTCTTGCTGTCACATAGAGGGGTTTGTCTGGTAAATTCGAGTGCTAATGCTGCGATTCCAGCAGCTAGAGGACACGCAAAGGAGCTTCCATCCACTATTTCGCCTGAAATAGCACTGATGATACCAAGACCCGGGGCTGAGAATCTCTCGATGCGCCCTTGGCTGATATCCTCAATGGCGAAACCCGCTAATTGCCCGGTATCTTCTGCCGCGTCTACACAGATTACTTCTTGTGCGCGGCCTGGGTAGAGGATGCTGTTTGTTTCGGCGAATCCGTAATTTGTTGTCGAGGCAAACATGAGGACGTCATGCTGTTTAGCAAAAGAGAGAGCCTCGCTGATGCGCTTGTTGATGTGCGTCCAGCCAAATGACATGGTGATGATATCAACTCCCCAGCCCGTTGGATCAGCTGCGTATTCAATTGCCTTTGCTGCAGCTTCAGCATCAACGGCGGATTCACCAGATGCGTTCAATTTGGTAACTTGAGCAATGTATACATGTGCTGTTGGACATGCCTTGAGCACCAATTCAGTAACTGTCGTGCCATGGTCAGCGTCGGCAGCATTCTGTTGCCCGTCAGCAAAGTTCTCTCTGGCTTTGATTCGCATTCTGAATGGCTTCAAATGTTTTGGAGAAATGTCAGAATCGAGGACTGCGATCTTGAGAGGCTCGTACGCCGGCCCCCCGATGCCGTTTGTGCCAAAGAATTGTTCGTCTTTGCCATACATGAACTTGTGTGTTTTATTTTCGAGAAGTGCTTGCCAAAGGCCTGCCTGGCTCTGTCTATATCAATGTTAGATGTCTCTTCGCTCTATATCTTTCTAGTAGCGTGTTATGGGGCATACTGTTTAGGTCCAAAAGATGGCTCATAACTCTGTCCTAGTAACAGGGCAAGAGACGTACTTTCCTGGCTTGTGCCGCCGCCTTCGATTGTTGTAGATCTATGATGTGGACTCTCTTGATCTGGTAACTGGCGTTCATTTGTTGTTCTTTCAGATGATTCGACCCCTTGAAGAGGGCCGGGCGTTAAGCATGCTTTTGGCGCCCAGCTTCTTGGAATTTCATCTCTGCTTAAAGAAGCTGTGTGATACTGTGAGTGAGATGGATTTGCTATTGGTGTATAGCTCCTTGGTGTTTCATCTCGGTGTGAGAAAGCCGACCTGTCCTGTGAGCTAACCGAAAAACCACCCACGATGGAGCTGGTTGCTGTTGGTGAGTTCGCTCGGCCATTCCATCTTCCATTTATGAGTGAGTAAAAGCGATGACGGTTCCATTCATCTAAAGCGCTTTCTGTACCGGATTCCAATATCTGTTGAATGTTCTCATCTACTGAACTAGCTAACTCAAGCTTTCCGTTCTCAAGTAAGATATCGGCAAAGCTATTCATCAAGTTCAATTCATCCGCTGTCTCTAAATGGCTTTTTACCGAGGGATATAGAATCCCCCAGTCATCAATCAGACGATCAATATCGCCATCAAACCCCTCAATCGACGCATAGAGCTGGGTTATGTTGTCGGGAGAGCTAGTGTTATACATCAGAGTATTAGTTGCCTATGCTGCGGCTGTATACAAAGGCCTGAGAGTGAGCCTGACTGCCAATGGTATGGTCAAGAGGAAAAAAAAATGACCCAAGACTCCAGATTTTTTTATAGCATCCTTAGCCATTACTAGTGACTTGAGAAGATGCGCGATTATTTCCCCACGTGTATGTGTGTGTGTGTCCGAATGCAGTGGCAAATAGATCTTGTATTAAAAGGCAATATCACACCGAAAGGAATCACCATGCATGAGGGCCCCCTGGAGATCTGGGACGTGGACTAATTCTATTGGATATTGTGGTAAAAACGAGGCTGTATGACGACTGTTGATGGTGTGAATGTATCAAACTTCCTAAACTATCTAGGTCATGTTCTTAGGCTTAGAATTACGAAGTGCGCGATTCCCAAATGATCGACAGCCTCACTTTCTCAGGATTGCGCTGTAGCCTGGTGCTTCCAGTGGGAAACACACGTGGGGGCCATTTGATTGAGGGCGCATGGCCGCCCACCATTCAAGCATCAGGCATTATTTGCTTTATAGGCACCTTTAAACGTCAATTCGGGAGGGAAAACCAAAATCATCTTCAGTTGAACCTACTATTCAATTGATTGCCATTTTGTTCTTCGCGATGGCTTTGCGTTCGGCCCGAGTCAAGTCATACTTCCTTTCACCTATAACAACGATTCCTCCGGAAGGACCAATAAGGCTTGGAAGCATAATCGAAGACCCAAGCTATGTTCAAGAGCCTATCAACAACCCGCCCGTCCCTCCAAGTTCGGCCGGCGAAGAGGTATACTTGCACAATGCTGCTAATAGTACTGTCACTTTGAACGCTTCCAAAAGCTTTGCTCTCGGACTCTTTGTAAAGTTTCAGCAACTCCTTCAAGGCAAAATTGGAGGTAAAACCTCGTCCGCCGTCGAAGAGACATGGTCCTTCAGTAACTTACAAACACAATGGTTCACACCAAGCGATGAATACATAAAGCAAAGTTTGCAGCAAATGGAAGTGCAAGAGTTCATCGCCCAGAATTATTCCTGGCTGAGGCGAACCAAGCTCTATATGGTGACAGGGGTCATGGTTGCAGAAGGCGCTTCCTCAGCTATCAAAGCCGCAAAGCAGAACGAACTTCATCTCAGCCTAGGCGTCGATACTCCATTGCCGCAAGTGCCAATCACGGTACTCCCTCAATTGGACCTTGAAGGCGCATCAGGCGTAACGAAATCTCAAGGGAAATCAGACACTGTTGTTTTTGCATTCCAACTTCGGAGAATCAAGATTTCTCCCGCTGGCGATGTTACACATGCGCAGTATACTGATGGAACTTTGCTCTCTGTTCATAAAGATACGGGCCCAGACAAAAAGAGCTATCAGATTGCTGTGGATGGAATCGACAAGGATGACGTTAATCCTGCCGAATTTGGGTTGGAAGGCTCATCGCTTGACATAAATGATGCTATGGAAGAGGGCGGTTGATTCAACAATAATGCCATTACTGCTACTGTCATATACAATGACTAAATAATATATATATATATATGAATTAGCTCTTTCATTAAGTTAACTAGATTGTTGTATAATATAAGTGCGGCCCTGAATAGATCTCCATTTAAATACTGCTTCGATTGTACTATGAGCTTGGCCACTATAGAGACGAAACATCTACCTAGCATATTTGGAAATCTACTCTCATCGCATCCACCAATTCGCTGCTGATCATCGCTTCACCATCCATAACACCATGCACATATGCTTCTCCAATCAGCTTATACAGTCCCAAGTCTTCTATAGGCCTCAAGATGACAGGAACCGTACAGCCAAACAGTATGCACACCAAATCACCGTCTTCGGCTTCTTTAGGTGCCAGCCCAAAGAGGCTCTTAGGCCCTGATGCTGACCCGAAGCGAATATCTTTGCAGAAAATGATCATTGCCTGTTTGGTCTCTGGAGTAAGAACTTGGACATTGGATAAACGGCTGACATCGGCCTCGGCTTCAAACAATCTTCTGTTCCAAACCACAGTTTCGACGCGGTGAAAGTATTCCGTTGTCATCTCTGAAATCTTGCGGTTGGGTGGCGTGACAGAATGGATATTGCCCTCGTTGTCAGATACACGAGGGTCAACCAGCCCATGCAAGCATGCCCGTTGATACCAAGATGGCGGTTTTCCACCCCCAGCAGCGCGATCAGCCACCAATAATCGCCAGAGTGTATCTGATACTTTGTTCTGTTTCTCTCCCGCTCTCCAGCCTAGCCGAGTAACCCACTCGCCAGGAATGATGCCGCCTCGCATAACATCGGACTGATATCTTATCTTCCCGAGCATAAGTCCGCCGACTTGGATCACGCCACTGAGTTGATACTTTCTCTCTACGTCCGATGAGACAGCCCGGATAGAGCTTCGACGAGACTTGCTGGTTCCAGAGATACTGACTCGAGGAGATCTTGGGATCTCAACTCTCAGAGCCGGGCTTATGCCAGTTGTTCCACCCGCAGGGTCGCTAACTGTGACGGCTGGAGCTACGCCGACTCTTTTGGTTTCTGAAAACGAAGAAGGCTCTACTGCCGTTGGAGATGGTGGAGTCGACAAATCATTTGCCGCATTAACTTGTAAGTCTGGAAATGGCTCAATCCAGGCTAGGATAGCAATACTTGGCGTCAGCTCTCAGCAGCTCCAATGAACATATGAAGGATACATTCTCATTGTCACTTACATGAGCGGTTTTCCACCGGAGATAGTACCGTGATGGGACGAGGTGAGGAAAAAGGAAATTGCGTTCGAAGGCTATGGGCTCTGTTCCTATTCATGTTCTTTCTTAGAGATGGACCCTCAGCGGACTGGAGGAAGGGATCCAAAGCCATGGAAAAATCATCAGCCAAGTAGGATCCGCAAGCCCTATATCGTTTCCGTCGGTCGTGAGGAAGATATGCAACAAAATTATCGCCATTCTGCCGCCCTTTCGAAGAATCAGGCCCACCAAAAGGCGCGTTGTAGATGTTTGAGATCCACGAAGGCATGGGAACTTTTTCTGAAAATTCGTCATCAGTGACATTGGGTGCCCAGTGCCGGCAGATGATGTCGAGACTTTTGGATTTGCAGATTGAGCGAGTAACAAATGCAATGAAAACATCTCGTGTACTGATTGCGTAATTCGGTTTCAACGCAATTTTTCTTTTCAACTCACGTAAATGATCTTGGCTTAATGGCATCGCGTGGTCATTTCTCCAATTACTCTCGAGCTGCTCAGAATGAATTTCGGTCCAGGGCTCATCTTCTCCAGGAGGGTCGTTAGCCAACGACAAGACTGAGTAAATAGTGTCTCGAGGCGACGTCGCTTGGAAGCCGAGAAGGGTTGAGACCAAAGTTTCGAGATCTAAAAGTTTGGCCACTACATCTCCCGTGTAGGACTTGTGGCAAATATTGTCCAGACATTGTATGAGTATTGAAGCGCTTGTTGTTTCGACATCTTCAAATATCTCTTCATCAAATTTGGTTCTCAAAACGTGAATCTTTTCTAGTAAAAGCGAGACGGCATCGGCAAAATCGTCCCAATGGACAACTTGGTCGGCGCAATGCAACGATGCGCTCTTTGAAAGAGCGACTTCTTGAATGATCCATCGTCGACTGAACCAAGCAGCCTTCATGATCTCAATGAGTTGAATCCAATTGTCCTTTGTCTCGGAACTTCGAACTTTTGTGTCGAATTTCTTGAAGTTCATAATGTCTCTAACGAGTCTAAAGGCACCTTCTGCATGCGCGCTGCTGTCGCCCAACCAAATGCAGACATGAGATGCATAGTTGTAGATTTGGGCCATCATGGCCAACTGTTGTTCTTTTTCTCTATGACCTGACTCAGATTGGTCAATGCATATTGCATCTACCCAGATATTGATAGGGCTATCAGTCATTTTCCGCAGTCTCATGAGTGCTCGGTTCAGATTACTTCGAATATAGAAAGGAGCACCCCAGCCTTTGAAGACCGCTGTTTGAACTACCGTTTTCATGCTTACTGCTTGGGGTAGCTCTGCATCTAGGTCGCGTATCATAATCTTATCCAAGGGCTTCTCTTTCGGGTTTCCCCAGGTGTAAGATAGAGCCTCGTATCCGTTACGAACATCTTCTAACTTGCGTTTGAAAAGTGTGGCCTTTAGAGGCTCGTCGTCTTTCCCTGGCTGTACACTTAGAATTCGAATCTCTCCCGTTCCAAGCTTGCTATAGTGAAACTGCGGCCCTATTTGTAACTTCTTTCTTGACGTGATAACGGCACCTATTGCATTGTGCCATGCATCTCTGGGCTTTCGGCGAACGCTGAAGTGCGCATCTTGTTGTTGGACACGAATAACTGGACGCGGCAACGGTTTGTGTTTGAGATTCCATTCTAACGTGCCTTCACTGTAAGTCACAGCTGTCCGAACTTCTCCTTGCGGTGTACCGTTCAGTACCTGCGCCATTGATACAGGTCGGTGCTTATCACAGTTGTGCCCATAGAGCTGAGTTCAAGCCGACTATAAGAGGTAATATATTAGAGCAAGAATTGTTAAGCTAGGATACAAATTATGGCCGATAAAGAGAGTCCCAAGTCCTCCCTTTTTATACATGGGTTTGCCCAAGAACCAAATGAACATCCTTGTAGTGATAATGCTTGTTCACGTTCTATTAGTTCGTCAAGGATGTGCGGAGGATGCGCGGTTGGGGGCCATATTCGGTGACACTTACACTGAAGTGTGTGTGGAGAGGTGTGTACTTACTAGGTGCGGCTGAAAAGACGCTGCACGCAGACAAATAATTGACGCAAGCTGGACAAGCTTGTTTGTGCTGTCTGGTTTGCAATCTGTCGTAACCGTGGAAGCGTCAATGAATCAGAAGCTATATAGCCTCCCTATCTTACGCGACATACCATTTCAACTGCCTCTATTTATAATTCAGATTGACTATTGTCTCACTTACTTTCAATTGATCTCAAGCCACACATATCATATACATATTGGTCATCGTCCAAAGAAGTGTCACTGAGATTGGAAATGTAGAAGGGCAGCGAAAGTCTGCAATGTCCTCAGAAATCCCGATATCCGTCATTGAATAATTAATTGCTTAGTATATGCCAATTTTGAAGAGCCAAAATTTTACCTGGATCCTTTGATCCAATTGATTTGAACCAAATCTTGCCAGCTTTTAGTTTTCTTTTTGAAGGAGCTCTGTGTTTTGATGAGCTATGAATTGCGCAGCCCATTGAGACGCGAGGCATTGCTGGAAGTGGCAGATCAATTAGTTCTTCTGGCTCAATTCTGACGAAGAGACTCAATTTTTATGGCGTCGATTGATGTTTTAGATTAGCCCTTTAATATCGTGTTTAGTCAAAAAGAAACTCAAACCCGGATCATAAAATTCCACAGTTGCAGGTGCGATGAGCTTTGGCCTCTCGTGAACCAGCGACAACGTGCTAGAGATCTTCCGAGATGGTGCTGTTAATGATATCTTGGTATTTGGTCATGCTAATGTTGGCTGATGATGTATAACCTTCTTTGTCGATTTTAAAATCTGAAAGTATGTGTAGCATACGGCGCAGTTTCAATACCACATGAACATCGAATTAACTGCCTCACTTAGCTCAGCACTGTCTGTTGGCCTTGTCAATGCAGCAAATGTCAACCCAAGCCCAAACATATTCTCTTATTGTAAGGCAATAGCGCCTGTCTCATGATCTTTAGAATTCTTCTAAAGATTGAGTCTCCCAAGCCGAAAGACGAAGTGGCGAGCGAGTGGTGTGAGAGGTTTGAGGGGCTTAGAGGATGCCAGGCTCCAATGAAGAGCTTCAATTGCTATATTATGGCTTCCAGAACAATGTGGCTAAGTTATACTATAATTGGTAGATATAATCCTCCACAGAGGACTAGGCTCGCCCGTACTTTGACTAGGCTCGCCTGTACTTAACCATATACATCGCAGCCCGCTCAAATCGCGGGGCTAAAAGGCCATATGCTGCTTCTTCTTTACTTTTACTCTGCCTCTTTTGTAATTTCACGTTGTAGTTCATTAAGACAACACCACACTGCGTTAGAATATTCCAATGTGATTATGTATTATCCAAGGACATAAAATCAGCACACTGCATGTAACTCATTGACCATATAAAAAGATGGCAGCCCACTGTACGACCTTGTGGCGTCAACACAAGGACCAGCCTTACGGGTCCTTACATATCTCCTCCATTGCTTCACCGCAGAGGTAAAATTTGTACACGGGTCGGAATACGCCGAAGCCGAGATATTTCAAGGCGGTAAGATAAGGGAAAGTAGACCTGGTAGCGTATCACCAAGTGGGCGGGATGAGATAGTCCTTCCACCGCTCTGTATCAGCCTCCTTGAAAGTATCAATGGTGCCTTCTACCCCTTGTGGCCCAACCGACCAGATGCCGTCGTCAACAAGCTTGAACCAACACTCAAACAAGCGTTCCAGCCGTTGAGCCCGGTAATAGTCGCCACCAAAAGGTTTGTATCCGTGCTGAAAAAGCTCCGTACCGTTATTTTTTTCGATAGCCGATCCATCACTTTTCCGCGCGCATAAATTGTCATCCCACTCGCCCCTGAAGCCGTACGGAAGCAACATCCGAAATCCTTCCTCAGCATAGTCGTAATTACTCCTCTCAACTGGTTCGGTGTACACGCCAGCAGGGACACGAGACGGCACTGAGTCATCAATGCCGGTGGAAAACAGATATGACAATCCCGTTATGTCAACCTCCTCACCGCCGGCAGCAGGGAAAATGCAAACGGAGGGTATGGTGTGACAACCGCGAGACAATTTCATAAAGGGTTGCACGGCGGCAAAGACAGACGTGTCCGCCGGAGGCAGCAAAAGGCCGGGAGCAACGAAATCAAACAGAGGCCGCCGAGCAGCGGTGAGAAACGAGCGCGAAAAGCAGTCTTGAGGCAACGAGGCTCCATCGAGCGCGGCGGGTGTCAGCAGAGGCTCTGGATCTGCGGCTGGCGGAGGCTGTGATGGCATCCGCGCCTCGATGGCCTCGCACAGGCGGTTCCATGCGCTGATGCAAGACGTGACTTGGGCTTCGCTGTAGGGCCGCCATTCCCAGGGGCCGATTTTCTCGCTGTCATACAGGGCCGGCTCGTCCCTAGGTGACGCTGCAACCTTGCCAAGGTGAATCAGGCCGATCCAGTTGGACAGCACTGTCTCAAGGGGATGCCAGAGCTCTCTGTGGGCCTCCACGGGTAACGCAAAGTCGAGGTCGTCCATATGCATGAATACCGCGGCCCGGTGGTGGCGCTGGTGGTAGAGCACGCCGCCACCAGATTCACCGCCCTGACCGACGTTGGGGAAGTACAAGCACACCAGGCTGTCTTCTGGCTGGTCGAACAAGTCGGTGAGGCCTTCGTCGATGAGTGAGGCTGGGTCGGAGAGCCCGCCGGCCCAAAAGAAGAATGGGAACCAGTCAACATCTTCGGGAGGCAGCTTGGCGGTATCAAGGAACGTCGCCAGAGAAACATTGAGCCGCGTACGAACGAGCTCGGCTGCTGTACCGTGAACGGTGAAGAAGGTGTTTGTGTTGTTACTCAGACTGGCTGAAGGACGACCCTCAGCCAGCCAGGCATAGTGTAACAAGTAATTGTGCAGAGCTGCGCATCGTTCATGGTCCATCCCTGATATATCATGGCGAGCTGGATTATCCGCTGTGACAAGCCAGTTGCTCACATCCGGAAGCTGTGCAAGGTCCATGATCATCAAGCAACTTGAGAGTATACTGAGAGATGATGAGACTCAGAGAAACAACTTTACATTCTTCTGAGACTGTCCTTCATGAGATTGGCGGATATTGCAAGAATTGAGATCTTGCCTTCTAGAGATGGCTGCCCCTGAACGATAAGACACCACTCGGACGTCCTTGGTCGCTAGGGCTTCATAGCGGCAATAGGGCAGGGGATCGCTTGGTTCGGCTTCAGAGGGGCATTTCAAGTGTTCGCTGGATGATAATCAGGCAACAATAATACCTAATTGCTCACGGTGACTTTGAGTCTTCAGTCTATTAAATTGATAGTCCAGCTAGGCAGCCATAGTCTCGCTTAGTCATCTAGAAGTGATTCTTGCAGGCAGGCTCCATAGTTGCTATTTCGACGTACTCGCCATCATAAGAAGATCGCTCGCGTAAGATCTTCTAGGATGAGTAAAGTCTGCTATATTCAGATGAGTTGAGTTAAAAATTTAGAGACACTTGCTTCCGTTTTTAGAGTATGTTACTCACGGCGCTGACCAAAGCTTCTCTTTGGGTTTATAATGGAGTGAGAAGCCTGATACAGACAACGAGCTCTCACCAAGAGAGTTCACCTGATTACGTAATCAGGACGGCTCGCGTAAGGTCTTCTTTGCTGAGCCAAATCTATTTTCTGCAGATGGGCTCGGAAACTGGAAGCGAATACTTCTGTTTTTGGAAGATGAGGCCCAGACGCTAGCCTGTTCAAAAGCTCCGTTTAATAATTTTACATCAACTTAAAGCCCCGCTGAAAGTTAAAGCTAACGCGTGAGTACCTACGCGTTCCAGGGGGGTTCCTAGACGAGGTTTGCTGTAAGATGCTAATATTAATACCTAAAGATCAAACTTGGAATAGCGGTATCTTTGAAAACAAAAGAAACAGGAATAGGACCTGTTAGAGAAGCAAAAAAAGAAATTAAGGCAGAATAAGGAGAATATAATCAGTAGACAAATGGGATTTATATATACATTAAACAAATTAGTTGCACTTTATTATACTAGCTCATTACAACATGTAGATTTTGCACTCTTGTTGCTTTATCACCGACTGCGGATAAAGGCCTCGTATTCTACAATACAGCGTGGGGCTTCAGTGGTACTTTTATCGCGAACTTATTACAACCAACACACATTAAGCTGTCCAGGGTTTCTCCAAAAGATGGCTTCCGGCATAGAACTGGGGGTTCATTGGCGTTGGCACTGACTCGGGCTGTGGAAGGAGTGCCTGAGATGTTTTAGGAACACCGCGTCCCAAAAAACTCTTCTACTATTGACGCGTTCTTCAATTCTGAGGTGGTTCGCCGCGGCCACAAGCTAAAGCTGAGCACCTTCTTTTCGAGTTCGATGTTTTTGGTTCGTGGGCGTAGCCCGAGTTGACCCTATGGAAGTAAGTCATTCCTCCTTCCGCTCGCCGAAGCTGATGAATTCCTGATTTGCCCCAATGTCATTGATCTTCCACCAGCTGCGGTCTAGGGGGGCCCGGAGGAAGATCCTGTCGTCGGGTTTCTTATTGGGTTTTTTGTTTAATTGTGTTTTTAGGCCATCCACGGCCAGGGCCGACCCTCCGCCAATTTTGTTGTCTGCTCTTGAGGTGTGGTTTGTCGCGTCTGGCGATTGGAGGCCACTTCTGCGTACATATAAGCCATTCCTTGTTGGCTCTCGGTGGTCTAGGTGCGGGGCCCCCCTCCGCGGGCCCGGCCGGACTCATATTGTACTTTCCATTGGCTGACTTATTGTTGGATATGCTGGCCCATGATGTCAATAAATGCTTTAGGTTGTCACAGCAGTATTTGGGCATCCATGCATATGGTAAGCTCTCGATGGATATATATTCGAGCTTCAATCATCTGCTTAGCTGCTTTTTACCTTCTTTGGCTACTATACCAGAATCGGGCTTAAGGAAAAAGAACGTATTTTAAACAACGAGTCTTTACCATGCTGTATCCGAAAATGAAAAAGAGGTATTTCAATAATATAACAATTCATCCTCTCCTGAAACGCACAAATGCTGACTATATGAGCTCAGAACTTATGATGACTATACTGTAGGCTGGGTATGTGTCCTCGACCACGAACTCACCGCATCGAGAGCGCTGTTAGATGAAGAACACGATCCACTTCCACCAAGAGAGAATGATGACAATAACTATATCCTTGGAAGAATGGGGAAACACAACGTTGTTATTGTGTTTCCTGGGTTCATTGGCACAACTTCAGCCTCCCAAACTGTAACAAACATGGTCCGTACCTTTCGCAAGATTCGTTTTGGATTGTTGGTGGGGGTCGGAGGTGGGGCTCCAGCGCCTCCCAGCCATGATCCACGGAAAGATATCCATCTCGGTGACGTGGTAGTCAGTTTTCCGAGGGATGGACACGGTGAGTTTCGCCTGACAGCTCGCATAGTAGCGAAGATACTTTGTTCCACATTGCAATCTTAAAAGTATAGGTAACTCTAACCGAAGTCTAGGTGGAGTTATTCAATATGACATGGGGAAATGGTTGGAAGGGGGTCAATTTGCAAGCAAGTCGCACCTAAATAAGCCTCCCTTAGTGTTGGTGAAGGCAATAAAACATCTACAATCAGACCACAACTTTGGAAAGGGTCAGATGTGGGAGTATATGGATGGAGTCGCTAAATCAAATTTGCCAGCCTTGGAAGGTTTCGGCTTTCCTGGACAGGATTTGGACCAACTATTCAAAGGAGATTACAAGCATGTAACTGGTGAGCATTGTTCATCCTGCGCTGCGGCTCAACTCGAACAACGAGCAATCCGAAAGTCCACTCGTCCCGAAATTCATTACGGGCTTATTGCATCTGGAAATGCAGTTATGAAATCAGCTAGGCGTCGAGACGAACTTCGGCGGAAGGAGGGCGTGTCTTGTTTTGAGATGGAGGCGGCAGGTCTCATGGATAACTTTCCCTGTGTCGTTATTCGAGGGATTTGTGACTACTCGGATAGTCACAAATCTGAAATTTGGCAGCCATATTCCTCTGTCGTCGCCGCGGCATACGCAAAAGACTTGCTTCGGATAATATTTCCGGAAGAAGTTCAAAGAACTCCTCCAGCACAAAACAGATTCTCTCAGGATTCACCAAGCCGTGAGCGATCTAAAGGAAGTGAACTAGCTCATTCAACAGATAGCGAGTTGCTCACCCGGCTCGCCGAGTTGGAGATGAAGAATAAGGGCCTTGAGGAAGCAGTGACGTGTCGAACTAATGAGAGTATGGGCTTGAAACAGAAACTCGCCGCGTTGGAGCAGGCATATAATTCACAATGTAAGAGATCCATCTCTACATGATACTGGAACTAACTTATACAGTACTTCCCCGCTCTTACGCATATATTCCTTCTCTCGAATCGCCTGCGTTTGGACTCCTTTCTGCAAATGATATACTCAAAATTATTAAAACAGATCGTGACGCTTTTACGCAAGGTGTGAGAGAATTGTGCTCTACGTATTACTTGGATGAAGAATCATCGTGGAAGACGGCAATATCAGAGTTCACTTCTTTTTGCTCTCGGTGGAGACTCTCTGTTGACATAGATCTCTATAACACAAGTGCATACAAATGGGGCATGTCTTACGATTCTGCAGGTAGCCACTTCAAAGACAATTCCCGTGCTTTAGAGGACAGGCTGCGTGGTGTGTTTGTTCGACATCTCATATGGCACAATGATGTTCGGGCAATGTTTTGCACGTTTAGTCTTCTAGCCCTTTGTCGGTATCTAGGGATATAAAGTAACCAAGTGATTCATAAACATAAGGTGTCGGGGCATTGCCAGGTTTCGTTTATGATAGTATTGAAATACTATATCATATCTACCTAACTTAACAAGCTCACAGCTTGAGTGAACTAATATATAAAAGAACTATTATTAAAACTATCCCTTATAAAATTAATATTTAAATAAGTATATTTATAACTAGCTCTTTATAGCTAAGAATTAAAACTGCTTTAGTAGTAAAGTGTGGGCTATTAATAAATAACTACTATTTTAAATAGAGAGCGGGAGTAAGGGGCTATCATGGTTAAATGCCGGATGAGCCTCTAAACCAAGAGAAGCTCGTATAGCTCAGTTGGTTAGAGCTTCGTACTAATATTTCGGGTCCAACGACTCCAATGTTGGTAATGCGGAGGTCGCAGGTTCAAGCCCTGCTATGAGCATTCAATTTTTCTTTTTGCACGTACTCTCTGTATTATCTCTTGTTCTTTTTTGTCCATCTTACGCCCCATGCCTTTAATCCTAGTTCGCATAAACTTCTTGGTTGGACCATAAAAGTTCGTCATGATATGCCATCAGCTAGTTTTACAAGTAGAAAAGAACGAAAGGGATATGGTATAGTCTCTACTACTAATCTACATAGTTCCCGTGAATATTTCTCAAAACCTGTCTTAACTCTCTGATATCAAACATTTTCTAATGCCAAACTTGTGCTGTCTACTACCCCTTCTATTTGCCTTCCATCTCCTTATAACTCTTTGCACTTACGATGCTCCAAAGCAGAAAATTGATGTGGCCTCACGACCCCTACGTCTGAAGTCCAAACCCCCTTCCCAATGGGCTACTTTTCGACGCTGACCCCTTCGGACGGGCAATAGGGCCCCAACAAAATGGAACCGGGCGGGTGTCTATCATTTGAGATGGGCGGATAGCGTCTGGAAAGCTTATGAATCAGTATCAAGTCCAAATATTTGCTTTCCCCCAAAGCTCACTATTAAACATACCAAACTTGTTGTTATCCTGCGACATCGCCATCAAAGAATCCACCGTTCCCGGAATACTACCCAGCGCAACATTCTGCCAAGCAAAATCCGAGCTTCTCGACGATGCTGTCGTAGGTGAGGCTTCACAACTGGAACTAGAACTCTCCCGGGCTGTTCTCATGGCCGACTCCTCCTGCTGCTTCTTGAACCAACTGGGAAGACCTTGGAAAAGCCCCAGGGTTCTCTGGGTCTCTTCGTCTAGGGGCATCTCGTGTTTGAACTTGCATCCTGTCTGGGTGAAGGCACATCTGCCCTCGTGGATCCACATGTCGCAGTATACCTTGTTCCTCTTGTGCACATTCGGGTTTGTGGCAACGATGCGGTCGATCTGGTTCTAGAAGAGTGATAATTCGTGAGCTTCATGAACGATAAGAATTCGGCCAAATTGGACAAGTGATGTTGAAGAAAGAAAGAGGATGAGTCAGTACTCGATTAGGACATACCTGGACGACTTCTAACGACCGTCGAGGAGCGTGGTATGGAGATGCCTGAGCCTGACAGCCTCAGCTTTCTCTTCAAAAAGGACCTTTTCTCTGTCTTGCAACATATAGAAATTTGCTCACCTTGACTGTCACTGCAAAGTTCATATCCGCAGTTCCACTGGGCCGCATACCTCGCGGCAATGGCAAAACGATCATTCCTCGTTGCTCGAGCTCCCTCGGCGGGATCTCATTCAAAGATGGCAGCACGTCGGCCGGTATGAGCCTGGTCACCTGCCCATCACCACGATTCAGGTAATACGCATATCCATCGCTCATACCGCCGGTGGTAGAAGAAACAAGGCCAGATCCGGCCACAGTTCCTCGTGCGTCGCCTTGTTCCATTGGCGCCATGGCAAAACTCGAGCTTGGCTGAGCTCGCGAATGTGCTCTCGTGAAATTGTTTCCTTCTTGGCCAATAGTACGCCAGTTGCTCGAGGCGAGACCTCGAGATGCAGGAGTAGCTGCCACGGGACTCATCGCCATGATGTTGTTCATTTGCTGCTGGCTGGGATAGGCCATTTGCTGCGGCTCTCTGATAGCATCTCTGCCGTCTTGGCCTGACAGTTGGAAGTAATAACTGCTGAGAGATGGATGTGAGCGATCAAATCCCAGTTGCCTTTCCATAGCAGACTCGACAGAGCATTTTCGGAGATGAGATGTAAATGCGGATGTCTCAGAGGGCCATGGCATGTGGGATATGCTTCCCTGTCTCGAGGCGAGCCCACCGGAGCGATCCATTGCTATATAAAGATAGATAGCAAATGAAAGAATAAGATGGGATGAGAATACTGAAGATTGGATTGACGACAGGCAATGATAGTAGATAATATAACTCAAAAAAGGGTTTATGATGGCGACGAACAGGAGAGCAATGCTGTATGGAATCCGATATCCCAGGACTTAAATACTAATGGAAAGGAAGTGTTTATGTCAGTGACGTGAAGAGAAGAAAATAAAAAGAAAGGAGAAGAAGATGAAGGAATATTTTATCTCAACAGTCCAGTCCCTGACATCAAAGCCTTATTCGCCTCATCCGTTTGTATCTTACCCCTGTCTAGATATCAAGTCAGGCCTCGGCTGCCTGCAGCGAATTCACCACCGTCCGCCGGTATCTGCCCCGTGCCTGATGGAAATAGTACCGGCAATTTTATTTCAGTCCGTTCATTTAAGTTTTCTTTATTTCCAGGCTTTGCCTTTTCCCCTGCTTGCCTGCTAATGCCGGGTGGCCGCCCACCCTGGGGCAATGTCTAAGATGCTAAATGCTGGAGCTATATATGTACACGCCTTGGTGGGCATCAGGATATTCACTATTGTCTCCAGTTCAGAAAACGACACCGTCATTACAATCATTTCTCTCTTTTTCTCATGCTTACTAGCGGTGAGTGAGCCAGTTCAACTCTGCGCAATCCCGCGTTGTATCCGCACCTCTTCTAATCTGTGAAACAATGCAGCAATGTGTCGCTCTTTCATTGACACATTGCCCTGGGTGTGTACAACGTAGTCCAAGGCCACACGGACTTGCGCCTCAGAGGCAAGGCGAGCCACATATTCGAACCCAGTGGGCGCTTGCGTTTGCGTTTGCGCTTGCGCTTGGAGGGGGGGGCCTCGACCGCGATAAGCGATATACTGCTCGTAGTGTTGGCGAGTTTGTTGGTGCCTAGCCTCTTCGCCTGTAAGTTCGCTGCCATTGCCGTAGCCTGTTTTATATGCCAAGGCAGGGGTAGCTGACTGCTTTAATACTGGTTGCTTTATTGCTGGTCGGGCCGGAGGCCCATTATTGGGATTTATAACATTGCCGTTGGGGTCGACAAGTGACTTTCGGGGTCTGCCTCTCTTACGAGGGCCCATCTGCATCTGTAAAGGCGCACCTACGCCTGGTATTGGCGGCGCTGGTGGCACATTCATGAGCGGCTGTGTAGACATGAGCGGTTGGGTAGCAAAAGCAAGGCCTCGGCCCTTTTTGGAACCGACTTGTTGCATCGTTAAGATTTCGGCTTCTCGCTCGGCTAAAGATGTCTTGTTAACTTTACTGCCCGTCATTGTTTTAGAGCGCCACCATTCTTCCCGCTTACCTCCTGTTGACGGGTCTAAATCGATATCTTCATCAGACTCCTCGGGAGCATTTGCAACATCAAAGTCGTCAGATGAGTCCGAAGAGTCAGCACCAACATCGCCAGCCACAAGGTGTTCGGTGCCTTTAGCTCCGTAATTCACAGCCTAAGAGTACAATCGTTAGTCATTAGTTTGCTCATCGGTCGCTTGGAGGTTGGTTATCATACCATTCGACGTCTTGCACCACGCCCTAGGACTTCTTTACTGGCCTCTGCCTCCCGCCTAGCTTCCTCTTCTCTTTCAGCAAGAATTCGGTCCCAGACACTAGAATTAAGGGGCTCTGGTGCTAGTTCTTCCCCAGTGTCTGTTCTTTCTTCAAAGTCACCCTTGTCGTTGGCCCATACACGGGCAAAGTTAAACTGGCTTTCGGCAGACTTGTCATCATTTGCCTCGGTCTTTTCCATTTGAGAACGATCCAAGAGCTTGTCAACAGATGCTGAATCGTATTGGATAGCAGTCTTTTCGTACCCCTCGTCGAATAACGCTTGAGCACCATGCTTCAATATCGATTCCAAGTCAGCTCCCTCCAGTTCCTCGTCGTCCATACTCTCAATCAGCGCATGATCCAGTGCCATTTTCTTGCGCCCAATTTCCATGATTCGCTCTTCGACCGAATCTTTAGTCATTAGCTGAAAACACAATACCTTGTTCTTCTGGCCGATACGGTGAGCACGAGATAGAGCTTGGATGTCCTGATGGGGATTGAAATCAGGATCCATTATAATGACAGTATCTGCCGTTGCGAGATTGATTCCAACACCACCAGCTCTGGTCGATAACAAAAAGGCAAACAGTTCAGAGCCTGGCTCGTTAAAGGCGTCAATACGTCGCTGCTTCTCCAAGCTGGAAATTGATCCATCCAGGCGACGGTATCCATAACCAACCCCATTAAGAAAATCTTCGATTATGTCAAGTTGTTGCAAGAATTGGCTGAATATCAGGACACGGTGGCCTCGTTCCTTTAATTTGGGTAACATGATTTCCAAAAGCAGAAGCTTGGCTGAAGCCTCTACCAAATTGCGATGAAGTACCGTTGGGTCGTGGTGACGCTCCTCAATAGCTTCGGAATACATGAACGGATGGCATAGGCATTTGCGCAGCTGCATCAAGATGTTGTTCAAGCTGCCACGATCCTTTGCGTTCATTTTGCTATTTGCAAACACGGCTCGAATGAGTTGGGGATTCTTTGCCATGATACTCTTTGAAAGTTTTTCTTGGATAACTGTCATGGTAACAGGTAGGATAATCTGTGCCATAGGGGGTAGAAACTTGAGCACGCCAAGCTTTGTTCTGCGTAAGAAATACGGCCGTATCTTTTCATGCAGCTTGGGAAGAGTATCCTTGTCCAGGACTGCATAATCTTCGTCCAGTTTTTCTGCATTTTGTTTTTCGTCGATGAACTGTAAAAGATTGAACAGCTCCCTCTTGTTGTTCTGCAGCGGTGTACCGGTTAGAAGCAGCCGGAAAGGTATTTTCATGGACCTCAGGGCAGTGTAGAGGAGATTTTGATCATTTTTCAGCCGCTGGCCTTCATCCACAACCAGTCCTGCCCAGTTGGCGGATTTGAAAAGTGATACCGTTCGCGGGTCCTGCGCCGAGTCATAGGACATGATGACAACTTGAGCCTTCATTTCGGTAGTGCCATTTGGAAACAGCTCATATTTATAGGCAATATCTTGGGGTTCTCTGCCTCCGTAATAAGCGACGACTCTGACGCCTGGGGCCCATTGCTTGAACTCTCGGCGCCAGTTGGAGCAGGTAGCATTCGGAACCACGATGAGAAAGGGCCAGCACTTTTACATTGTTAGGGAGTCTAAACAAACAATGGAGCACATACAAAGGCATTCACTTACCCTTGGTGTATCTTGAATCAAGGAAGTTACAAGACCAACGACCTGGACTGTCTTACCCAGTCCCATTTCATCTGCAAGGACAATGCTTCGGCTTTGGTGAAAGTTTTGCAGCAGCCAGTTGAGACCTTCAATCTGGTAGCCCATGAGCTTTCCTCGTTTAAGGCCAACAGGCTGCGTGTCCACTTCTTTAAATGGGCTATTCTTATACCCTCTGATACGTTCTTTAATCCTTGAGGAAGGCTCACTACGAAAGTATTTGCCCTCAATATATCCGCGATACGCCTCTTCAAAGGCGCTGTAAAGTCGAGGTTTATCTTGACTAGGTGGCGAATCCCATACAACGTCATCATAGCCAAGGCCGTGAAACTTGACTAGTATACTCTTGACGTGAGAGATATTGGCGAGATCCTCTTCTTTTGATTTGCTTCGAGAACCCGAGCTGTCTACTTTGACATCGAAAATGATGTCGGGAGTAATGAATTCGTCTGGAATAGCTTCCTCACTGCTAAATTTGAGGAGATTCTGCTCGTCTGCACGTTTTGCAAACGAGGTCCGCATAGTGCCGGCGGCAACACCAAATAACCACGATCCAGATACCCAGGAGCAGTGCGCATATGAAGCCTCGTGCCACTTGACAAGATATTCTCTCTGGTCTTCATTGAGATCTTCGTATGCGGGGAGGGGAGTTTGCTGAGTGTAAGGCCGCCATGCTACCAAGCGATGTATTTTGCTCTCAGCAGAGCTGCAATCATTGCACTGCCAATCAGGGGAATAATCCTTTAGGCGCTCAGGTTTTATATCGGTTCCAACAGAATCGTCTCCAGAGGAGTGCAGATGCTCTTGATGCCAGCCTCGGTGACAAGTAGTACACCGAAAAAGAACATTATCAGAATTATTGATAAGTTCGGGAGAGACGGGGGTAACTGGGTCTACACCGCCATTCTCCTCACGAAGCTTTTCTTCTTGCCGAGCAGTCTTCTTTTGCGAAAATGGCACGCAGGCTCGGCCATCCTTTTTACAGCTCTGGCACGCGCTGTGTCTGGGCGCACTGCGATCCTTCTTCAAGTGAGTGTTGAGGCAGAACCTGCATTGTAGCACAAAGTCATCTTCTCCGATTTTGGTAGCCATATGCTCGCGGTTGCTTCGGTATCCAATGCAATTCTTGTGGTACGTCAAGGAGCATCCTTGGCAATGCAGCAGCTGACCCCGTTGCCTCGAGCCTCCGCAGGTATGGCATTGTTGCATGTGTGCAGAACCGAAATCAGAATCTGGAGATATTGGCTGGAAAACTTCTCTGACGGAGATAATCTTTGGCACAGCGGCTGCTTTGTCATCAACCACATAGAACGAGTCGTCATCCAGGAAAGCGTCGTCGTTCATGCTCGTCTGGTTCCTGGTGGCCCTCGCAGACCGTCGAGGCTGCTCAAACTCAATATCAGAATCATCCAATACTTTGCGAGACAATCTAGCGTTCGTTTCATTCTGCTTCTTGACGATCCGACGAGAACGTTTTGCAGATCGATTAGGACGGCTCTTTTTTGTTGCGAGGTCGGATACAATGGGCATGAAGCTATCGAATTCCTCGGATGTTTGGCGAGATTCAAGTGCTAGTTCGTCTTGGTCCTGATCAAGGATGCTTGAATTCAAAGACATGTTGGTTAGCTTTAGCTGTGTTGATTTGCGCTTTCGGAGGCGCCGCGAAGGCTGGTTAGCTTCGATGGACCCGTCCTCATCCTCGCCTTCTGAATCAAACGAGCCGCCAGCATAGCTTGGCCGACTGCTCTCTTGCCGCGAGCGCAGCATGCGATTGCGACGCAATGCGGGCTCATTATCGGAAACTTCATTGTCGTTCTCTTCTTCTGACGCTTTGGCTTCTGAGGCAGCCTCATTCAGTTCAGAGTCCCACTCCTCCTCATCGGGGACGTATTTCCGCTTGTTATCAGCGGGGCTCATGTCAGTACCTTCGTGCCAAGCCCGTAAGACCCGTTCGCCGTTGATTTGTTCAAGAAGGCCGCTAATGTCAAACTTCAAATGTGTTAATATGACTAGACTATGTGAATGAGGATGGAAATAGACATTGTAGAAGTTAAGAAAAACACATGGCGCGGTTGGTGGGTAGCGTTATATGCTGTGGGTCTGGCCCATTTAATGCAGCGATGAAGAGTTGAGAGGAAATGCAGTGTAAGAGAGACAGACAAACGGGTGGTGCTTAGCATCAACCAAGAGAAGCGCCGGTGAGAAAGTAGTGGTTATTAGGTAGAAGCAGCGCATTATGAGTGTGGGTCGCGAGCAGGGGGAGCATCTCAATCCAAGGGGACTGGAGCTTTGGAAAATCAAGAGCGACGCTGCTCAGGTTGTGGATAGACAGGTTGCTCTTCAAACGTACCGTCTCAATTCTGCCGTCTGTAAATTCTTGATCGTACTCGATGTAGTCGTTGAGATATTCGCGATTGCACACAAGCCGTTCGACGACCATGCTATGTACTGCCGAGTACTCCATCCGCTTCTCGGCAGAGAGTTCTGGAATTGCAACTTCAATCCGCGTTGCCGGCGCAACATGTACCTGTATTTCGCTATTCGGCATATCTGTATCGGAGTCGATTGGAATTGCAAAATCGGGCGTCGGTTCGCGACTGTCGTTCAAGGGCATCTCGCCAGCCTCGGCCTCGGCCTCATCAACAGCCATTCCTTCCTCTCCATCCAAGGCCGCCTTCAGCAGCGCCAGATCGCCCAGGTCGCTCATATCGTAGATCGGAATGCCTGGTGCGGCAACGGTAACATCATCGTGGGTCTTCTCCTCGTTCGGCTCAAACAGGCCTTGGAGGACACTTGACTCGTCCATCTAGAGTTTCTGGTCAACAGAGGCTCCTCTGCTGTGTTTGGGCAACAAGAAGAATGAATGCCAGCGCCCGCTGATAGGACGATCAGCGCAAAGTGAAGTGAAAAACCATACCTTGTGAAGCACAGCGCCCAGCGCTATCGGTATGCATCTATACAAGCCGTGATATACAGAACCGGCGCCATGGAACCAACAGTCGCAAATGTTCAAATAATCTCGAACCACACGATTTGGATCGTCCTGCAGCTCGTAGCCCTGTAGACGCGGGCCGTAGCCACAACGCGGTGGTCCAATCGCTGGAATGGGCCTAGTGAAGGAAACTAGCTGCTTATCAGGGCTCACCGCCTTCCAAAGACCCTGTAATCGTCCCCCACGATTTGCGGCAGAAAAAAAAAAGTACGTCAACCTTGAGAGCTCGTTGGAGTGGTTGAGTTAGCTTTAAATATGCTGCAATACAGCTACCACCGCTCAATTATTCTTCCTCTATCCCAATGATGTTATCTCTTGGGCAACTCAGACCCAAAGGGCTATCGCGCCAACTGTTCATTTGCATGCACAAGCCCAGTGCTTATGTTTTGCAGACAGGCCGACCTGCAAGCCTCTCTGCTATCCACCGAGGAGTGCGGCGATCGGAGAGAGTCCAGTTTGGAGACCGATCCAGAGATCGAGACTCTTCATTCAATGGAAGAAGCGGTGGGCTAACCAGAAAGGCGCTCGAAGGTGCAGCATCCCCTCGACAGCAGCAGAAACTACGCAAGAAACTTGGTCGCAAGGCATTCGAGGATGAAGAGGAGGAGTCCGGCAAACAGACAAGGCGCAAGCGCTTTCTCAATCCTGAGTTCGAATATGGGAAGAAAAGCTTGGTTTATCAACTTAAGCATGGCGCATTGAAAGATCAAGCTGCTGCCCTTGTTCAAGAGCCAGTACGACCACTACCCTTTCAGAGGCTGGAAGGCAGCCCTCGGCGCAGAACTGAATCCTCTTGGTCTACAGAGCGTCGACCTACAGAGCGTCGGTCTACAGAGCGTCGGCCTACAGACCATTGGCCTACAGAGCGTTCGGAACGGCCACGGCCATCTATTCAGAGCCAAGTTGATCGCACGGGTGACTTTCATGGAGATGTAGAATCAGCGCTGCCTCGTGAGAGGAGAAATCAGATGATGTCCATGAACATCAAATACACGACCGCCGCTTCGCAATTTCTGTACGGCAAATCGGTCGTGAAAGCCGCACTTGAGCAAGGAAGACGGAAATTGTATAAACTCTTCATATATGGAGGCGAAAACCGAAAAGATTCAAAGGACAATGCGATTATAACTCGATTAGCGGAGAGACAGGGCGTCCCGATCACGATCATCCCAAACGCGGACCAGAGATTAATGGACAAGATGAGCATGGGCCGGCCGCACAACGGCTTTGTTCTGGAGACGTCGCCGCTGCCGCGATTACCGGTGAAGGCATTAAGCAGACTCGAAGAAACGCCGGGAAAACTAGGATTTCATGTCGAACTAGACTATCAATCCAAAGAAGAGGAAGCGATCAACGGCCAAGATACGTTTATACCTCGAAAGAACGACAACGCGCCAAAGCCCTTTGTTCTTCTGCTCAATGAAATTCTGGATCCAGGCAACTTGGGAGGCATTCTACGAACAGCAAGCTATCTGGGTGTCGACGCAGTGGGCATCACAAATCGCAGCTCATCCACCTTGACTCCTGTTGTACTCAAATCTGCGGCCGGTGCCGTGGAAGAGATTACGATATTCAGCGTGGATTCACCCGTTAGCTTTATAGAGGAATCTAAAAAAGCAGGATGGAAGACATACGCTGCCGTCGCGCCGCCCGACCCCAAACTCATGCAAAGACACGACAAATTCATCTCCACGGCCAACGTTGAGGCAGAACAGCCGCTGGCCAGTCATCCTTGCATACTGGTCTTGGGCAACGAAGGATATGGCCTGTCTAAACCAATCAAGGTAGCAGCCGATTATGAGCTGTCAGTGCCATACTTTATGCGCAACAGCAGCGTGGACAGCCTGAATGTCAGTGTTGCTGCCGGCTTGTTATGCCATTCCTTTGTGAGGACGCCGGCTGTTACAGCATCAACGCCCACCAAGACTCAGCAAGAGACACCATCGCATCCTGAACTGGAAACCGGAAAAGAAGAGAGGGAAACCATGTTTTGAGTAGATATCATATAACACGAGCATAATAACTGTATATGGCATGCATGTATATAGAAATATCGGAGACTTATAACATTACAATGTATCTATAGACGCTACCTGATGAATTTCAGCTGGTGATAGCAGAGCTACACTAGACACTTCTACACTCCAAGCAGGGCCAAATTACCAAGATAATGACAAAGAATAGACGTAACTATAATTTTCATGTTCTCTTTCGTGATGACATGTTCGAGAAATCTCCACCAACTCTTCTCTGAGCCAAGCAAAGCTGCTGCATCCTTTGTTGGCGGCTTAGCTGCACCGGCCCACTAAAGCGCGGGCTAGCTGGTTACCCCAGCCACCAGCTTGTTTGTATTGATGCATTGGCGCCAGCATCACCAGCTGGAGGTGAGCCAGGATCAGTTGGTCGTGCATGGGTCGTTAGTTTCTTTTGCCTAGCAGCTGAAAAAGATCAACTTCTCACATGCGCATGTGCGTCCTCAACTTTTAACGTTTTGTCTCTCCAGCTGCATCCTCAATTGAGGCCTCATCGCGCCGAGGCAACAAGAGGCTTTGATCGCCCCCTACGATGGCCTCTATTCCCCAGATGCTTCTCTTACCAACAACCATTCTCGCCCTGGTCGCAGAAGTGGCGGCAAATCAACCACTGGCCACTGCCATCAAGAAGCAGCTGCCAGATGCAAACGAGAAGCTATTTCCCGACCACCTGGCTTTTGAGCCGCTCCCAGCATTGAACCCGTTCGAGACGACCGCCCCTGCGAACATTTGGCTCGATGGCCAAGAGGAACAAGACGCCAGCTCCAGCTATTTGACGAAGCGATACCATCCCGCCTTTGCGTACCACTTTCAAGAATCCGAAGAGGACTTGCTAAAACGTGCCGCGGATGTCTTGGCGATTCTCGAGAACAGAGCTGCATGCCCCTCAGGAACGGAGAGCTGCTCAGGCATTGGCTCGCCAGATAAATGCTGCGCGGATGGGTCATATTGCACAAATGTATCCGATTCCGACGCTGAGCAAATTGCGTGTTGTCCCAACGGGGCTACCTGCGGAGGAGGAGTTGGTGCCTGTCCTTCAAATGCTGTGAGCTGCCCATCCGCGCTTGGTGGCGGCTGCTGTATTCCGGGATATGTCTGCGTAGGAGTTGGATGTGAGTGAAGAGGACATCCAGTCCGTTGTTTGCTTGATATCAATCAAAACTGATACGAAGGATCTGTGTAGGCGTTCCCAGTGCTGCAGCAACTGGCTTTCCGTCGTCAACGGCACCACCGCCCCAAACCACGCCCCAGACTCATTCGACCGCCGCAACAGGTAATCCATCAACCGTGATAGTGACTCTCGTCGTCACTGAAACATCAATCCCTCCTCCGGTCACGCAGACGTTAACAGTAACAGCCACAGGCCCTGGAACCGAGACCGCAACGGGAGCGCCGCCATACAGACCAACAGACGCTACTTCCACCTCTTCTACTTCCACTTCCACCTCCTCGGCGCCTATGACAACGACCGATTCAGGCGAAACTCAAACTGGCTGTCCAACTGGCTTCTATGGTTGCCTGGCCACTCATGGAGGTGGTTGCTGCCGCACCGACCGCGACTGCCAGACATTTTCCTGCCCGGCGTCCTCGTCAACAATCATCTCCCATGGCGTCACCGTGGTGGTCCCTGCAGACGACGTGCCCACCGCGACGGCATCAGATAAGTGTGCAAGCGGCTGGTTCTTGTGTGGAAAGGACGCAGGGTCCGTGGCTGGATGCTGTCCCAGCGGGTATAAATGCGGCACAGCAAGCTGCTTCACTTCTGCTGCCTCGGAGACCAACTCTGTGCAGAAGCAAGAGCCGGAAGCTTCGAGTAAAAATGCAGCTTCTTCGGCAGTGTTGAGCAGTAGCTTGCTGATTATGAGTGGAATCACTGGATCTCTCCTTCTTCTCTTGGGTGCACTGTAATAATGAAATAAGAGGAGGGCTAGTTCTCTTTTATTGATACCGCTATCTATTCAGCATTTCACGATCCATGCGGCGTAACGGATATATGACTGTTTCTTTATTTGATGTTGATCTTCCTACATAGATGTACTAGACTAATGGCAACATTTTATCAAAACACCAATAACCTTGAAAGCTCATGGCTACCAATGCGTTGCGCAGTCTCAACCTTGATTCATTCGTTGCAGCTCCTTCTCTACAATTGTTGCTTCCCATTATGCAATTTGCTCGCTGTTGCATATCTCAAAGCACAGTTTCCAGATTCCAAATAAGCTCCAAATAGGGAGGAACAGTCACTTAGCGACAAGGTTCATCACACAGCAGGAAAGAGACATGCAGACAGCCCATCTCTTCTTCTTTGCTCAGCCTCCAACTTAATTTTTTCCCAACTCTCAAGTTTATCCATCCCAGTATTGCTGACCGTGCTCTTTTGTTTACATACAGATTTTCTTTTCTATTTGCTCTTTTTTGGACTTCACAGGGTCAAAGCATCATCATTCATCATAGACTCAGTTTCTTTTCAGACATATTCACCATGAAATATCACGCCGCTACCATTCTTGCTGCTGCTGCCGCAGCTCTAATGACCACCGTCTCTGCATCCGCCACCGTTGTTTGCTCTGAAAGCGAATTTGGCAGCTCCAACCATTCAGATGTCTGTCGGCTTGACAACTTGACACCTCAGCCTGGAGAAGACTTTACTCTTCCATGTGTTGAAGTCATCTTCAGAGACAACACCTGCCATTTTGAGGCTGGTGAGCCCAATTATGCCAAGGCCCACGATGAATGTCATTGCAGAGGAAACACTTTCTCTGCTTGGATCGAGTGCCAGAAGTGTCTCTTGGATCATGGCTTTCATGGGGAGGACGATGAGTACTGGAGCAAGATCCTAGATGCGGCATCAAAAGCTTTGTGCACTGGAACTCCAACAGCCGCAGCCGTCTCAAGCTTGTCTACACCGGCTGAAGCGGGCACCGTGACTCCCACGCCCACCACCACCGATGGCTCACCTGTCGAAATATTCAAGGGCGTGAATCAAACCGCAATCGCCTCACAAGGACCTTGGGTCTTCAACCAAACCGCCACTCCCACTGCAGGGCCTCAGAAGACTTGCATTGATGACTTCAGCGTGCAAACCAACACCGATGTACTTATCGATCCATCTATTTCAATCGATCCAACCATCCCTTTTCTGCCAACCAACTCTCTCACATCTACCAACAGCTTGGAGCCAATTGCTACCACCCTCGAGTGGCTACTTCCGGGGGAGGATCCTGAGTCAGCTCCATTCTCTGACCATGAATCATCTGGCGCCACTTCCTCTTCTTCATTCGGGAAGTCTGATTTAGCTGCTGCGATCGCTGGCGCTATTCTCATGGGTGCATTGTAACGGAGAGGTCATTGGGGGAACTTTGGGATGTGGGGCATTGGCGTTGACTGGCAAATAGGATGGGCTTCAATTGTATCATAACGCCTTCAAAGGCCTTCTAGAATTCAATTATGATTAATGCACTTTCAGTTTCACGATCTACATCTGGGCCGTCGCTATATGATGTAGCATCAGTAAATAAAGTGAATACCTATCAATCACAGTGGAATCTAATCGCCAAAAATTGTACTTCATGCCTATGAACAAGTATACATTTATAATTACATTGATATAATCTTTATTTTTCGTTTTGAACAGATCACTCTGGCATGAACTTGAAAGGCTTGGCCAGATGCTCCTGGCAGAAAGGCAATTTGCCGGCGGTCCAGATCTCAGTGTCCTAATCACGGTAGGTTAGAAACAATCTTCTCGAGACTCAAGGGTGACGAAACTAACAGGCTTCAAGTTCTTCTTAATCTCGGTGTCGAGAGTACCAGCCTTGAGGGCGATGATCTCTGGGGCGGCTGAAGGATCGTGGGCAATGGGAGAGCCGCACTCGGAGCAGAAGAGTCGGTCGACCTTGTTTCCGGAGGCGGCCGTGCCAGTCCATGTCTTGACGGGGCCGTTGATGGTCAGTTTGTCTTTGGGGACGACGGCGACGAGAGCTAGCCGGGATTGAGTCAGCAGTTTTGTCCGAGTAAACTTCAACACGATATTTCCAAACGGGAGTATCTGCATACAGTAGGTTGAGCCGGTCTGGCGTTGGCAGTCGTCGCAGTGATCGTAGCCGGTGACGAGGGGTGCGTCGACGTCGACCTTGTAGGTGACGGCTTTGCAGAGGCAGTGTCCGGTGAGAGGCATGGTGGCTGGAGATTGTTGTATGCGTAGTAGTTGGGAATTAATTCGTTGACTTTCTACATAGGAGGAAGTTGTTAGAGAGGTCAATGAAGATGTAAAGGTTGCTGTAAAAGTTGGGTGGGAGCGAAGATATATAGCTTCTTGGAAAGAGCTATTACAAGCTTCGCATCTGGATTGGCGGGGGATTTCGTAATTGGTGGTTGGAGCATACCGAAATGTAAATTCAGCTTTTGGCGGGGCTGTTTGAGGCACGGCGCTGTCGATGACGTGGGATTCAATCGAGGTTGTGACGTGGAGCTATTGCTGGTGGTGGCTCGTTGGTTGAAGCTTAGCTAGAAGGATTGGAGATGCATGTTAATTGGAGAGAGAATCATTGGCTTTTATATCTAGTTTTCCCCTTAGCCAATGCTTTATGTTCTTCGATTTACACGCTCGGAGGTGCTCGGCATTCTTCCATTATCCCTATCATTGGAGAACATTCTGACGCCCGAGCCGGTCCGGGGCGTCTGCCTTCCCAAACTCAAATACCATTCTCTCAGTTTGATCGGCTGAAATTGGAGCGAAGTACATGTAGCATCAGCTTCCCGGCACGCAGTACTATGCACTATTCCCCGTTCGATATCGCCTGCAAGCAATATAGCCATGGGTCTCGCCACCCATTGGCTGCAGTTATTTGTCATGGAGCTGTTTAGATCGAAAAGTGGCTCCTTAGACTCCAGCCGATGCAGCATATCAAATAGACAAAACACCTCAAATTGTAGAATTTGGAATGAGCTGCAGGCGGGCCCGCTCAGTCGTTACGCTGGGGCCTTTGATTTCGCCGCCCATTGTATCATTGCTTGCCATGCTAGATTGCGGCTATCGCTTCTATGCTGGATTTTGCCGCACGGCTAGCCATGTGCTGACTCTTGCGGGACTCCCCTCGGCAGAGCAGAAACTCAAATCATTTTGCGGGCCTTTACTGTGATCCTAGCTAATACATACAACGTCAGCCTTGCTACTATTTCCCATAGAGTGCGGTTCGTGAGGGGCGGTAGGATTAGTAAATACCCTTCCGACGAAAGGATACTTCCACGTATATTATACGCGGAGGCAAAGGATGCGAACGCCGGCCAGCTGGATATAGACAAGATCCGTAATAAGCCTCAGATGCCCTCGAAGTTGGCCCGGGGAGCTTGTGCATCTAAATCCTTATATGCAGCGCTAAGTGCCAATAGTGACATCCTTTGGCGTCGAGAAGAAGGATGCCAACCACCAGGCTACGCCAAAGCGCCCGATCAACTCCAACGCGTAGACAATCTCGGTCATTCCAAAGAAAAGCCGGTCGGCTACGAATATTCGGACGAGTAAAGACCGATAAGAGCCTCGAGTTTCTTTACTAGAGTGCCCGAGAACGAATGCGTCCATGGGCGATATTCGAAAACTTCGGACGTCTTCTGCATTCATCGTGGGCTTAGCTCTGTCAGCCGAAGTCATCGGGCGCACTATCCTTGCTGGTCGACGTCGTAATTTTTGTATCAGCTTGAAACACACAAAGTCCAGGAAACTCGATACATGTAGTGGTGGAGGCTGCTGCTTTAAAAAGAGTTTGGGTAGTAGTTCAGGCTCATCAACCCAAATGGTATGATTTTCAGCCAATTCACTAAACATGGCTTCGAAGTCATGGGCATAGTGAACAAATCGAGAGTAAAAGACAGGCGTTAGGATACGGATCTCCAAATACTGTGTTTGCTCTGATTGACAAGGCGCTTTGGAGGAAATGAACGTTTCTTCTCCACTTTCTAGGATTCCGCTCGATACGTATTTCACATGTAACGGATTTGGCGATTGTTCGACAAGAAATCGTAGATATTGGCGAAATATCGGCTCCAGTCTCCTCTCGGTGTCATCCGCCAGCCTACCAAGGCTCTCTTTCAATGGCTCTGGTCGGTACCAAACATGCAGCTGATAGGAAAAGAATAAAGAAACTGCTTCTTTGACGATTCTGGGGAACGTTAAGAAGCCAACCCAAAACCATGCGAGAATGAATCTCATCTTCGCCAATAGGCTCATATGTGAAGCTATGGCAGCGTCACCATCTGAGCGCAACTGAACAAAGAGCTTTGGCTGCCCTTTTGATGAGGTGAGGTTGATGGTATTGTCAATGCCACGGAAGCTTCTCAAATCATTTCCGAATGGATCCTTGGCCAGCAAGGAATAAGTGCCATTGCGAGAGTTGAACGGAGAAACATGGAAGTCCTTCTTCCATGAAGCCTTTAGTAGCGTATTAGAGGGCTTCGAATGGGCAGTCCCAGAGGCAGAGATGCGTGTAGCATCTTCTGCGGTGTCACGCAAGACCAGGTATGGCCGTCGCTCGCCAAAAGTGTTGTTCACCTCCAGAACGATGGCAGAGAATAATTTATCAGGAGAATACAAGTACCAAAATGAGACTGGGTTGAATTGGTATCCTAGGAATTTTGGCGCAGTAAGGAGAAAGGCAGACGGGTAGTCAGCCGGGTTCGCGCCCTGCATCGGTCAGCTTCCATCTTCTCGTCATAGACTCGTTTCTGACATACCTGAGATACCAGATAGTCATCCAGTTTACCACGAAGTCCAAGCTTGTTGCTGCCTCTTGCCAGATAATTGCTGGAGTCCACGCGGAACCAATTCTTCAGACGCCAAACACTAGAAAGCCAAGTTGTGGGGATATCTGGTTCATCCACAGAGATCAAGCCGTTGACACACCCTCTATACCCTACAGGTATGCCAACAGTCAAATACGAGTAAGAAAAAGCATGTGTTTTTGGGATTTTTCTTTTGTGCGTTACCCGGCATGGTATGATATGAATAGCAGGCGACTCATGATGAAAATGGCTGGATTTTCTTGATGTGGTCCCTAAAAAACTATAGCCTGCCCAAATAGTAAACGCAAGGGTCGATATTCCAAACGTGAATTTGGAGTAAACCAGGCTATAGAATGTTGAGAAGAGCAACGAGCGTAGATTCCAAGCAGCACATGTAAAGAAAAGAGTGCGGTCCAATTGGCGGTATGTCACATGCAGAAGAAGGATAGTCAAGGGTAACGCAATTGGCAAGTAGCTCTCTCGCACTCTGTCAATCCAATCTGCGACTACTATCACAGCGTTGAATGGTGAATCGTCGGCCAAGCCGTCCATGATAGTTAATTATGTCGTCCCAGGAACAAGCCAAACTGCAGAAGAAAAATGTTCTAGAGCCATAATCAGCCTCTAGAGATAGGACGCTACCAAAAGAGCGATAGGCACGAAGATGCATCAAAGATGTCCAATAAGACGGAGAAATAACGGTAAAGAGTAATGATTCTTCTGTAGTAGAGATGCCCTTTCAGGCAATACTCTCCATGCTGATTGCTCAATTGCAACGCAAAGAGCTGCACCGTGATCGAGCAAGCTCACACAATGGAAGAAAAGATCATGAAGAGGGATTTAAGCAAGGAATGATGGAAATTACCTCTGAAACCCAGCCAACTGCCCATCAAGGTGTCTCTCAGCTCAGCGTTGCTCTCCAAGTGCGTTCGCTATTCGGCAGACGGCCTTAGTCATCGCGATGTCGATGCCGTCATTCACAGCCAATCGACGCCATTAGGTAAGCCGGGGTACTCTAGCAGTACTCTAGCACCTTCCATGGCAAGGGCGGCGATGCGCGAAACGCCCCACGGAGGCGCCGTCGACTAAATCTGTCTTGCCGGTTGAGTCAGATTGCGGCAGCCCTTCTTCCACTCTCCATCTCACACGTTGCTCCAGGGATATATTGCCGGCATTTGCCCCAGCTCCAAATTTCGTTCCTCCATAAACCAATTTCATTGAATTCATCGCTCTTCTATATACCCGACTCACAGTTGCTGTTTCACACCACGCGACCATCTCAAAGATCACGACAGCTTTTTTGACCGCTTCACTTCCGTAACTCAACCACCATGTCTGAAGATTGGGATTCCGCCACCAAGATTGGAAGCCGCGTCCGCGGTGCTGGTGCCTCGGACCGCGAGACTGTCATCCGTGGAAAGAGTGCGCTTAACGCTGCTGCGAGATCCGGCGCTGCCATCAGCACAGAAAAGAAATACGGCAGCACCAATGCAGTATGTCATGCAGCCATCAAGATTAACAGCAATTGTCTGTAGAAGGCGAAGCTAACAATATACTTACTAGGGCGGCAGCAGTGAAGGCCAGCGTCTGACAAAGGTCGACCGCTCCGATGACATTATCAAGCCCAAGACAGTCGGAAAGGAAGTCGGCAAGGCTATCGAGCAGGCTCGCCAGAAGTTCGAGCCCACCATGACCCAGGCCGAACTGGGCAAGAAGATTGGCGAGACATCAGCAACTGTTGCCACATACGAGCGCGGTACTGCTACGCCTGACCAGACCATTCTCTCCAAAATGGAGAGGGTGCTCAACGTCAAGCTGCGGGGTGCTAACATTGGCGCCCCGCGCCTGGGCCCCAAGAAGAAATAAATGAAAGGGATTTGAAGGGATAAGGGAGAAGTAATATGCCACAAGGCAAGATGCTGCGACAAATCGCGTGGCTTTGTTGTCTGGTGGCTGTTGCGTACGCGGTGCGCATTAACGAACACAAAAGGAGTACAAAGCTGTTTCAATAGATGGGTTATGGTGCATTCCTGCTCGTATAGCAGAGAAACAGGATGTATTGGTCCGGTTCGCGCAGGATTTTTTGGCGTTTTGCGTGGGATGGTCAAGAATTTAGATTTCAGAATGTGGACAAACACCCAATTTTGCCTGCGAGTTCACTTTTGCTTCACTTTTGCCTCATTCGTCTTTTTGACCATGTGTCTCGTTTGGAAATGACCGTGGTTTTATAACCTACAAGCCAACAATTTCTTTTTCTTCCATCCATGAAATCGTCCTCTTCCGTACTTCAAGTCATCCATCACACACTCATAGTGCACTCACAAGCTACAAGATGGCGACCGACAACTTCAAATTCGAAGACATTCAAGAAAGCATCATAAATCGAAAGAGACCATTGAAGGGCTTGTCTGGCAGCTTCTCATCCAACATCAGCCAGCGCATCTCGCCTTCCAATCTCCAAGACAATGTCAACACATCGCAAAAGAATAAGAACCGCTCTGTCAAATCCATCATAGCTTGGCTCGAAGAGGCATCAGCCAATAATGGCACATCAAGACTTTCCGGAGACGATATCAAATCAGTCCACTCGATCGGTACAATATCATCAACGGGTTCGAATTCGTCGCTGCTCAGTCGACAGACTATGCCTGGGGCGGCAGATGTGGAGGAATATTCTCTGACGTTATTGAAGTACAAGCAGTACTATACCGATGTACCGCTGGGAAGATGTCTGGATGCTCAGGAACAGGATAGTGCAACTGCGACATCGAGCAAGGTACTTATCAATAATGCATCTGGGGAGGCTAGTCTGCTAGAGGGATCGCAAGATGACACTCCGGAATTTGATTTGTTCTCAGCTTCGAAGGAACAACTCTCTCGGCTAAGCCGCTATGTAGATTCGGTGCTGGTGGATGACGAGGAGCCGAATTGTATGAATATCGGTGGAAATGATGGCCAACTTCATCGTCGGAGTCCCCAAGAAGTGTCGGCATTTTAGAAGAATGTTCGGTCGCAGCTTGAGATTTCGGAGGATGAGCTAGAAGACTAGTTGGATAGGTATGCTTCCGGTGTATAACGAGCATATATCAACCTAATTTGCGACAGATTGAGTGGCCACAGTTACAAAAATAAGTTGTTCTATAATTTTTAATGGAATAATCAGTCTCATAATTTCTTCATAATGATAAAAACTCAGGCATGCTACAAAAATTATATTTTATTATGTAAATGCAGGGTAGACGTTAGTGTGGATAGAAGCTGTGTGACTATGGGGGTGATAGTTGTTTCTGGGCTTCAAATTGCTATTGTTATCCAGCTACCTAGCTACAAATTGAAACTTTCTTCAAGAAAAAAATTCATTAATAATTGCGCCACCAGCTTCGGATAGTTTCTGGACGTGACTTTCTTTTCCTAGATATAGAGCGGCCGTCCAAATCCAGCAAGCTGAGATTGATGCTGGGTCGGATTATAAGCTCTTCGCGTGCGAAAGGCTTTGGCTCGTATCCTTGTCGTCTCCGATGGTCTATCATTTCGCCCTAATATAACATGATAACTCGCTGTATAAATTGAATCTCGTCTATGATTACGCCTTGGCTGAATACTTGGCTACCGCCTTGTCGAATAGGCTGCTCTTCTCCTCCAAGTCCAATAACAGCTGATGGTTGGGGTTGGCCTGCTTTAGTGATCTGAGGCAGGTTAGCAGTGTACTCCTAAGCAAGAAGTAATGAATACGTACTCGACAAGCTCGTCGGTGTTGTTTCCGGAAATGGAGTTCAAAACCAATAAGTTGGCAATGCCTTCAGCATTCTTAGGGTCCTTTTCTATGGCCTGCTGCAAGGCAGACTGGGCCTCCTCAAGACGGCCAAGATGTATCTCGCAAACAGCCTGTGCGATGAGGCTGGGTACTGAGAAAGTTGAAGAGCCTTGTGCAAGCTCCTCGTAAACGTAGAATGCCTGCTGGTACTTCTCGCCGCCCTATTGAACCTTTAGCATTTGTACGTCTGATCCTTCCATCAATCGCCCTTACCACTCGGACTCCAACCCAAGCCTCAGCCAGGTTCACCAAGAGACTATCTTGCGCCCATCTTCGTGCGGCAGTAACTTCCTTCAGGGCTAGATCGGTTCTGTTCTGTTGTAGGTGGATCTGGACTATTAAGGCGACAGCGTCCACTATAGCAAGCCATTAGTAACTCTAGGTCTCATCGCGTAGTGTGTAATATGCCTCACAGCTTCCTTGATGTTGCGAAAGCAGCGCAAGTGCCTCCTCGGACTTTCCAGCAGCTTGTAGAACCGTGCCGCCAACAACCTGGACGGTAACGTTATCGGCCGCTGATGAAGCCAGCTTCTCAATCGTCTCCAATGCCGAATCGGTCTTTCCAAGGGTGTACTCGGCGAGAGCGCCGACAGCTTCCAGGTCGGGAACAGCCTCGCCCGCAACATCTGCAATAACATCTTCGGCCTGGCCAAGGGCGATGCGGGCTCGGAGCTTCAGTACTCGCACGGGCAGCTCATTCTCAGCGGAGAAGGATGATGTGTCGAAGTCGATGACCTCTTGGTATTGTGACTGATAGAAGTGGGTGTGAATGTTGATCAATTCACCTTCTGCGGAATATGGGTCCATTTTGGCGATTGGCTACTTTTGGCGATGTTGCGTCTTGCTGTCTCTAAGAGGAGGATACCATCATCAACCAGAACTGGCCTTCCAGCTCAATCGCTCCAATGGTGGGGTCCCCTGAAAGGGACGCGGCATGCGCCACACTCGCGTGGCTGGTGTGGTTTTTTTGTTTCTGCCCGATTAATGAGGCATGGAATCTGACTCGCCCAGCAAGCCACGCTCTCGTTATCGAAGCCCCAATCAGGAATAGCGTTGACCCTATCGCCCACAAAGCGAGAAATCACCAAACTCTCCCAAATTTCGCTTTACTCCCGGAACTTTGCATCACCAAACACTCAAGTAACGACACCGCACACCGTCGTCAAAATGGTATGTTATTGGCTGCTGTCACCATCGATGCTCAGTCGACCCCTTTGATACCCGATTTACGACAACGATCCTTTCGAATGTTTGCGTCCGCACGATGGCAGTCTTCGCGATTGAAAACGACAATTTTTTGTGCATCGAGTCTCTGCGGGGAGGAACTGGGGGAAAGTTACTGTGTCGCCATATCGAAAAAAACATCACGAACATGAATAATTCCATCGACAAACCCCGAGCGCTGTAACTGTTTAATGCTGGAATATTGATCAATTCGACGAAGACTGCCTTGTGCCGGACACACGATCGCATCGACTTGCACCGTCACCTTTGAGCAACCACCACGACCCAACAGATGGCTGACATATTCTCGGATTAGGTCAACATTCCCAAGACCCGAAACACCTACTGCAAGGGCAAGGAGTGCCGCAAGCACACCCAGCACAAGGTCACCCAGTACAAGGCTGGCAAGGCCTCCCTGTTCGCCCAGGGTAAGAGACGTTATGACCGGAAGCAGAGCGGTTATGGTGGTCAGACAAAGCCCGTCTTCCACAAGAAGGCCAAGACCACCAAGAAGGTCGTCCTGCGGTTGGAGTGCGTCAAGTGCAAGACCAAGTTGCAGCTGGCCCTGAAGCGATGCAAGCACTTCGAGCTCGGGTATGTGATCAGAAGGGACCTTTTGCGCGTGCCGTTTTACTGACTTATGGCTACAGTGGTGACAAGAAGACGAAGGGTGCTGCTCTGGTGTTCTAAATGCGTTGTTTTCCGGTCTTACCAATTCTCATGCTTCTCCTCGCGGCATATGGGCATCATGGAACTTGGCGAAGGGGGGTTACTGGTCCTTAATTAGAGGACGGCGGCTCATAGGAAACGAAATACAAAAGATTTCTTCATGACCGCATTCATGCGATTGTACTGGGATATGCCTCGAAGTGTTTAAGGTTGGAAAAAGCCAAGCCGAGATAGTATTCTAATTCACTACGACCTGGTGTCTCTTGCTGGGCAACCTCTAGTTCACGGGCTAAGGGAAACAGACTAGCGAACATGAAAAGATGAAAGTCAATCGATTCAAAAGATGATTCTATGGCATGTGCATTCTCATTCTGTCTTTTGTATCGATGTCTACGTCTTGTCTATCTGATTCTAGATGCGTCTAATCTAAAAATCATTGTCTAAAAGCCCTCGCCAAGCAAAACAGTGCGGCCATGCCCATACCACAAAGTGCCATTACGGATATCAAGTCCTTTCTCTTGTCCAACAATCCACTCGCCAATAAACTGAGCATCCTTTTGATCCCACACCTCATTCTCCAGCCAACTATTGATGTCATCGATGGCTTTGACCCACTTCTCTCTCTTTCCAGGAGTATCATGCTCTTCGTCTGTCAGGTATCTGCCCAGTGTGATATGAGCACTGGGAACCTGGTATCGAGATCCGACCTCGACGCCTGCATCCTTGACCTTGTCAAATATGTCTTGTCGGAGATGGTGATAGGTGTAGTCGTCTCCCTGGATAACAGCGCCGGAAGACACATCGGGTGTGACTGGAGCCGGTGAAAGAATATTTTCTCCAGAAGCTGGGAGAAACGAAAGAGCAAAAGCAGAGAGGTCATATGATACCATTGGTTTGACAAGACGAGATCGATGGGCGTGGGTATATGAAGCAATAGAGGGAATGGCAGGGCGTAAAGTAGAGACGAGTGACCCGATCTCAGGAGGAGTCTTTGAGAAGGCGACTTCAAGGGTCGTCAAGTGCATCCTGTGAGTGGGCATGAGCCAGATTTCTACGTGAATAAGTGAGTTAAGTTTAGATCTATGATACTGCGAATTGGTTTGTTTTCAGCAAATACTCACTTGGCGAAGCCTGCTGGAGACGTGCTTGAATCTGCGCAGCCAGCTCGATAACGTGGATTGGAGGACGAGCCCAAACTGTCAAGCAGTTGCGCTCATCGACGAAGCCCGGCTCCATTCCTGGATTTTCAAGGCGAAGGAGGCATTGATCAATTACGAGCTCTTTGTAGTCCGGAGATAGGAACTTTTCCTTCTGAAGAGCGTTGCGTTTGGTGCGGTGGGCATGATATAACGCCTGGATTTCTTGCTATAGGAGATGAACTATGAGCATTTTGTATATGAATGCATATTTGTAGAGTTTGAGAAGTATATAGCTTGGATATATGAGCACTTACAGGCTTATTGTTGCAAGCTCGGATGAATGCCTCGTATGGGTTCTCGCCTGGTTTCAAGACAATCCCAGATAGGTCTTCGAGCTTATTCTTGGCATCGGTGGAATACATAACACTTCCCATGATTGCAAAATCTTGTATTTTTCTCTTTTAGACAACGATTAATAAACCATCAATCTGCAATTCCACAAGACGCGTCTTCTACCAGTATGAGTAGTATTTATTGAGTCATTCTGCGCCCTTGGGCTACCAGACGACTCCCCACTCTCGCAGCTCAGAAGCGAATATAGCATGACTAAGCAACCAATGAGGTGTCTAGTCCAAAGTTGCGAATTCGTGAATACGAGTCGGCCGGGGCAGCAAACAGACATCCGGTGCGGCACTAGCTGATATTAAGGGTCATGTAACTCGCTGATTAACGTAGATATTGAAGCTTATAGCTTAATTGACCAGTCTCTCTGGGGTATCTTAACCCGAATGCTAGGCTCATCCTTGCCATCTGAAACAAACTCGAGCAGTTGACAGTCCTCAACAGCAACGCCACTGGCAAACTGCGATACCACAAAATCCAACCGCGTTCCCGCTTGTCCTAACACTACCATTGGAGAATGCCAAGTTCCTGCGCCGTAAGTGACAGCCTGGCTGCTTGTAGCGACAAAAGCGCGCAGGCGCTTGAGATCGGGAAATCCTCTCCCGGGTAGCCCCTCGCCAGTCGGCACAGGTAAATCCTCGTCTTTAGAGCTAGGCGGGAGGCTCGGAGCGACAATGACCAGGTACGATGACGCGGTAGATCTCATTGGTGTAAATGTCTGTGCTGTGAACGGGTGTCGTTCGAGATGTCGCACCGTGAAAGTGTTTGCCCCGGAAAAAGAGCTTTCGGCGCCGCCTCGTGCAGCGCAGACGAAGATGCTCATGATGGGCTCGCCCTTGCCACTGGGAGCTTGGTCGTAGAGATTCTTGAGGCGGCTTACATTTCGATACTGGATTGCGGAGCCTTGGTTCGCTGAGAAGGCGTTGGGCGGTAGGGATTGAGCATGGGCGTCGAATGAGGAGGGGTGGACGTCGGGTCGGGGGTTGGAGACGACGTCTCCGAAGGATGAGAAGGCCTCGTGGGTGAGAGGCTCTGCGGTGATTTGTATATCGAGAGCGCCAATGTTGAGCTGAATCGCCATTGCGATGGGTGTAGTTGGCGAGAGATTGAGATGTAGAAGTTGATTGGGCAGAGATGGGCGTTGACGAGAAGTCTCAGGCTATATACATGTACGCACAAAAAGATCACAGATTATTATCGTTGTTCAATATGAAGATAAGAGGCACAGATCACCGCATCTTAAAACCCCATATTTGAGCTGTGAAGATGAACCTGCGGTCTGTATCTCATGTACATGGATCAGGTATCACGGAAGCTGCCGACCAAGATGCGGGCTTTGAGCTCCGGTGCCGGACCCGCCCGGCGCTGAAGCGGGTGGCGGCGCCTTTTGCCCAATGCTTGGAGCCTTGATCTACCAGCTATAATGCTACCTTCCGGATCGATTTGTGTGTCAGCTGTATTGCAGATTCAATGCATGTGGTATATAACTTTTAGTGAAATGCCATCTAGAAGCCCATCTCCAGCTGCTCCAGCTCCTCTTTGCTCCCCCATCCGCACCATCTCCCAATGCTACGGCCTCTCTGTAGGCCAAGACTCAAGTCTTTTATCTTTTGGGGATCGGCGGCAAAAACTCCGTTATCGCGCGGATACGCGGCCAGCTCTTGTTCCCATCCTACCCCCGCGGCCCCACGACCCAAACCTCTTGTCGCTTAGCCCTTGCGCGTGAGAAGCGAAGAGATTGGCTGCTTTTTGCACTTTTCTTTGTTCAGAAAAAGTACCTGCAGCTTCAGTTGGTGGGAGGGTCGCTGTTTTTGGGCGGGAGAGACGGCTCATGTGTGCCGAGCGCCTGGGAAGGATGGCGAAAAAAATGATTTGGGTAGCATCATCGACTTGGGATGTTTAAAATTTATTTCTTCTTTACTTCTTCTGATTCTTCGCCCTCTTGTGCTATTATTTCCGCAGTTGTTGCTGATCTTAGACTTGAGATCCTGACTTGAAGTCTTGTGTGTTATTGCTTCATTTCCATTACCGCAGTTGACGCCGAAAGTGATATTCACAAGCACGACGATACCGCCCACTTTTTTTTCCTGTTGCTCTGTCGAGGCCGCGTGACCTCAGAAAAAGCGAAATAGATGAGGCAAAGCAAATCCGATAGCGACGATGACGATTCGGTCGGCGAAGTTGCCGTCGATGCTCAACTTAGAAGCTCTTTAGACGCCGAATCTGTGAGCAGTTATGTGGAAAATGGCCCGCTTTCACCCGCTGCTCCATCTGTGAGCCAGAATGAGAGCAAGAGACCGGTATCATGGAGCGAGTTGCCCCGGAAAGACCAGCTTTTCATTATTACCATGGCGAGGATGAGTGAACCGCTTGTCCAGACGTCACTACAGGTGAGACTTACAAAATCTGGTGGCTAGACGACATTCATAGCCGTTTGGCCAACCAGGATTCAAACACCCCTCTCTCCCAAACTTCTCACTTGAAGAAGGAATATTATTTTCAGAATGTTGTAACTCATACTGGGGCTTTTCTGTGCTTGCCCGCTCAATGAAAAAGGCCTACATGTTCTACCAGCTTAAATGGTTCGATCCGTCGCTTCCCGATTCCACAATCTCCAGCCAGGCGGGCGTCCTCCACGCCAGCTTCACGGCCTCACAGTTCCTCACGGCGATGATGTGGGGTCGCATAGCCGATTCGAAGCGCGTGGGACGCAAAACGGTTCTGCTCATTGGCTTATTGGGGACGAGCATATCTTGCGTGGGCTTTGGATTCTCGACGACGTTTTGGCAGGCGCTGCTGTTCCGGACGGTTGGTGGTGCTACGAATGGCAATATTGGTGTGATGAGGACGATGTGAGTTTTTTTTTCCATAGTTCTCTCTAAGAGCTTGATGGTGAGTGAAGTTGGATGCTAAAACAAATTAAACAGGATCAGCGAAATTATCCGCGAAAAAAAGTATCAGCCAAGAGCCTTTCTCCTCCTCCCCATGACTTTCAACATCGGCGTCATCATAGGTCCTATCCTCGGCGGCATCCTCTCCGACCCAGCTGGCAGCTACCCAAATCTCTTTGGCGACATGCCCTTCTTTGTGAAATTCCCCTACGCAACTCCCAACATCGTCAGCTCTTTCTTCCTGTTCTTCGCCGCCGTGGCCGTTTGGCTGGGCCTCGAGGAAACTCACGATGTCCTGAGAGACGGGCCGCCAGACCTGGGCACCCGACTAGGGAAGAGACTCCTCACGCACTATCGAAAGCGATTTGGAACTTCGCCCGAGGCGGAGGGATATTCGGCAGTTCCGGCATCTGACGTTGAGCTGAGGGCGGGCGAAGAGGACACAGCTAGGAGGAAATCGACGAAGCGGTACACGCAGAGGCTGCCCTTTCGACGCATCTTCACACGCAACGTTCTCGTCACGCTGGTTGCGCAGTTCTTCCTCACCTTCCACGTTGGCACATTCAACTCGCTCTGGTTCATCTTCCTCTCGACGCCAACCTCGGAGCGAGAGACTCGTCTGCCGTTTTGGTTCACCGGCGGTCTCGGTCTCCAGCCGCGGTCCGTCGGCATGGCCATGGCCATCCTGGGCTTCATCGGCATCAACATGCAGCTGTTCCTCTACCCGAACATATCAGCCCGCCTCGGCACCATCAAGTCGTGGCGGTTCTTCCTGCTCTTCTTCCCCGTGGCCTACTTCCTCGTCCCTTATCTCTCTGTCGTGCCGAGCACCGCGCCGCCTCCGGAGGCAAAGGCGGGCATTCTGATATGGATTGCCATTTGCGGCGTGTTATTCTTCCAAGTCACGGGCCGGACGTTTGCGCTGCCCAGCCAGGCGATTCTCGTCAATAACTGCTCGCCGCATCCAAGCGTGCTGGGCACTGTTCACGGGCTTGGGCAGAGTGTTAGTAGCGCGGCTCGGACGATCGGACCGATGGTGGGTGGTGTTGTGTATGGATTTGGCCTGAATAAGGGTATTATTGGCTTGGTGTGGTGGGCACTGAGCAGTGTTGCTGTTTGTGCGTGCTTGACGAGTCTAGTGGTGAAGGAGGGTGATGGCCATGAGATTTGGCTGGACGGCGATAAAGAAGACGAGCCGAGTACAGATTGATAGATTCATGCTGCTTATTAAAGGCAAGCATCGAGAGATTCATCATTAGACGTTAGTAGTAATAACGAGAAGATGCATATTATACGAGCAAGCCTCCTTTAAGACGGAGAGAGAGAAAAAGCTAAAAGAGAATTATAATCGTAATCCTATCCCCTATTATCCACTTCATTATATAATCATTATTTGTCCCATGCTCCCCCAACGCCATATTTGCAGGCTACTAGAAACACCCTTATGTGAATTCCCGTGGTTTCTGGCTTGATCCTAAATCAAGAGGCTCGTCTTCATAGCTGCTCCTTCCATCACGAGTTCTCGTGCCCCACGATGCAGCGCTCTGGAGCTCACTCTGCGATGATGGAGGCTCGTATCCCGGAGGAGGATGGTCGGGATATACTGGGGCTGCGGTAGCGCCTGAGTAGGCGCCAGCTGAGTAGGCAGTATTCCGCCATGGTTGTGGCTGTTGCTGCTGGTAGCTGTGGTTGAGGCCTTCAAATCCTGAGGGTCCCTGTTGGCGGCGCGGCATATTGCGCTTGGCCGCCCAGATGACGTATCCTAAGAAGCAGAGTACCAAGAGGAAGACGATGCCGAGGACAACGAGGGCGTACTTGCGATCGAGGGCATAGCCAAAGCCACTGATTATGCAGGGTTAGCAAACTTGGAAGCGTAAAGCGGGGAGAGAAAAAGAAACACTTACATGTAACCGTTGGCAGCGCCAAATATCATGACAATTCTCCCATTCCAGACATGAATCTTGCCGAATTTAGTGGCCTGCTGCGTCTTTCGCCATTTGAGATGGTGAAGGACGCCAAGTACGACCTGGTTTAGCATAAGAAAGATGGTGATAAAACCGAGGATCTGATGTAGGGAGTGAAATCCACGAGACTAAAAAGCAAATAGAGAGTCAACGTTAGCGATCACGTACGAGGATAGGGCCGAGATAGAAAATGAAGGAAGCTTACCCGTCGGTAGTTGAAGCTTGTCAGGATGCCAAAGGCAAGGCCCGCCAACACAAGGCACAAAGCAAAGGTCTGGTTGAATTTGTGAAGCTTGGCCCATTTTTCCGTCCTAATGAGGATCGAACCCAGGGGAATCAAAAACATGAAGCTAAAGACCATGAAGGAAGCGTGCGCAGCAGCCTTCCAGTCGTAATTGCCCGTGGACCGGCTGTTCAGCGTCGTGCCTTCGCTGACCGAGTCCTTGGTCAAGACAGGCACATCAGCCGAGCCTTGCGTCCGTTTCATGTCAATCGTAAAGGTGCCGTGCTCGCTGTGCATCTTGAGGCCTGCATTTGGGTCGTCGCCAGTGAACCTCTCCTTGGGGCCCAGAGCGTAAATCGCCTGCTGGTTGGGCGACGACACGTCGATGTAGCCTTTGCCAGTGCCACCAGCGGGCCAGCTCCGACAGTGCTCGTTGCAGACGGCATTAAACGTCATGTAGCCGTCCTTGACGCCGGTGCCGTTGAATGTCTGGAACTTGAGGTCGGGATAGTATTTGGGCTCGTAGTTGCCGTAGGCCAGGCGCGGAGAGAAGGTGACGTTGTTTTCGTTGTTGTCGCTGCGGTAGAGGATCAGGAACAGCGCGCCGGCCATTTCGTTGCTGCCGAGGCCAATGGCGCCCCAGGAGCGCTCAGTCGACACGCGCAGGCTGAAGTAGATGTCTGTGTTGCCATTGTCGGGGACGGTGAAGGCAAAGGCGAGGCTGCCATCGGGGCTGATGAAGGTTGATTGTCCCGTGGGGTTGTTGGAGTCGTCGGCGCGAGCCGGGCCTGCTGCAAAGGCTATAGATTATGCATAACGTTGATCGTTGGTCAGCGATTTTGTGTGGGCACAACGGTGAAAAGAGGCAGTCATCAAGAGACATAATAAGCACAGGACGTAAATGCAGGGGAAATGCTCACCAGCAGCCGTCAGCGCGGCGCGCCACAGATTCTTTAGTAGCATCCTGTTGCCAGGAACAGCTTTTTCTGTGTGGTATTCTGCAGATGCGAAGCGGCACGCTCTCAATAACAAGCGAGTAAACAAACCGCAAGTAACGATGATGCAAGGCTCAGCTCCTAGCACTCCAACTCTCTGCTACTCGGTATCGCTACCAGTGCAGCTGGGAAGAGAGGAACGTGATTTTGGCGAGCTTGGAGGAGTTCAGCTGCTGCTGCGACGAAAGCAGCAGCTCGATGGATTATAAGGCTGCGTCGTACCACTAAAGCGATCCAGAGGGGTGGATAGTGCCATGCAGAGCGGCACAGGTACAGGTACCTGATGCTCTAGCATGGAGGCGGCTCAAGTGTCCCTGTTCAAGGTCCCAGCTCTGTACCGAGTGCTGAATTGCAGCTGATTTGGCATCCATGTAGGGCAGAGCGGAAACCGATGCACCTGTTGATATTGGAGACTTACATACATGCAACATACGCGTATCGGTTTGCTGCTTTTTCTCCATCATTTATACATGTTCTGAATTTCCATCACACCCTCTCGAATTCAACAACAATAAGCAGTACTAATTTTCCACTTGTATCTGTCTTTGCGCGTGTTTGGCTCAGCACCGCATGGGCCTCGATCCCGATTTTCTTAGCATGGAGATCCTTCGCGAACTCCAGTTTAGGTCAAGGATACTAGTACGGAGGGAGCCAATTGCTGGCTCACGATTGGCCCCCTCAACAGCACGCGATTCCCCAAGCAGCGCAAGCTATGGCTACTATTTCGTCTTGCTGCCGTCACATGCAAGGAGAAGCGAATTTGTGGGTCGCGAATACGAAGCTCTACTTTATCCAGCTAATATCTGACGTATACGATTGAAAGGTTGATCGAGCATCATACTTGAGAGCGAGAGCAGCATATTCTGGACATGTAAGCATATACGCAGCAGAATGAGGCTCATATGTACGCGTGTTAACAAACGAGGAGCACAAATGATTTCCTTTTCATTTCACGAATGTTATATATGATAAACTATATGGTAAGGTCAAAGGCACCAAGTGCACAACTATATACATTTATTTCTTTGACTATCGGGTTACTATAAACGACACGAACTGTGAAATAAAGGCGATTCGAAATAGAAAACTAGGTATTCGTAAACTTCAGAAAAATAACATCAATAACAAGAGAGACCCGTTTACATGCTCTCATTACACCATCGATCAAACCTCTCTAGTCCATACGACACAATGAGAGTGGCATGGCAAAATTCATCCACGTCTGACGGCTTGGCGCTAGTAAACAAATGATCGCCATCAATACAGCGCACACTATTGACAAGATTCTGTTGATACTGGTTGAACCAAGAGGTTGGCGAAGTTGCTTCCCACAGGCCCGCACCGCCGGAGAATATGATGCCGCCAGGGCAGGGAGCCCAGCTCTGCTTGAGAGTCAGGTACACGGCCTCTGTGAGAGTCGCGGCCAGGTATGTGCGGCGGATGGACTCGGAGAATATCCATGCCTGCCATGTCGACGTCATGGAGCCATCTGTTCGTAGCTGCGTATCAACCGGCCCATTGCTATTTCCATCCTGAATCGATGCTTCGGCGTGATCCGAAGAGAGGGCAAGATTGGCACTTCGCCACATCTGTCGAGCCCATTGTGAGAGAGTATCGATGTGCTTTTCAGCTTGGGCGCGGGCGCGAATGTCGCCGTCGAACAGACGAATGATCTTGTAGATCAGGAGAGCCTGGGTCCTTGCGAGGTGGCACGCAGAGTCAAGCATGACGACTCCAAAATCTTCATTGGCGCTGGCATTATAGCTCCCGACTAGGTTATTGGCGCGGTTCTCGATAATGCGCATAACCATCCTTTCGGTTGCGGGAGTCTTGGATTGGTATGCTGCTAGGGAGGCGAACGCATCCTGGATAGCGTCTGGCAGATGGATCTTCCATAGCTGGGGGTGGATAAAGGGACAATGACCTTCGCTCGCGAATTGCCTCAGCCAGGTTTGAAGCTGGCCGATAAAGTACGTGAGGGCCTCATCGCTAAAGGTGATTTGAGAGGGGATAGAGCTCGTATTATGGTCTATGGCCCACGAGGGCGGTGATAGAAACCACGGATGCCGCAGATCCTCTGCTGTTACTGACTGGCGGGCCGGCGTGTGGATCTCGTGCTGCTGCAGTTGCTGCTGCTGCTCGTCGCTACCGTGAGATGCCGGACTCAGAAGCAGACCTCTCTCCGTCGATGCTGGAACGGCAGATACGGCGCCATCTTCCGCAAAGACGAGATCGTACGGCGGCGTGATGCGCGGAGCCGGATAGCGACAGACGACGTTCTTCTCCAGACAGCGCTTGCACGAGGGCGTCTGCTTGCTACAGCCGCGCTTCGCCTTAGTGCAGGCGATGCAGGCTAGGCGCTTCTGCGGAGGAAAACCCGACATGGCGGGCGATCGTGCGACTGGAGTCTTTTCTTCTGGATATGAGATTCGAGGTTTTGCCTACTGACTGATCCCCTTATTCCTCCTGAAGGCCCGGGGCCGAAATTTCAATTGTCATCCCGGCGGGCTTTCTTCCGCCAGGCGGAGCCGGGCCTCGGGGGCTCATGGGGCTTTATAGGCGACGCCGGCGGGGAATTTTCCACTTGCGGACGGAGAACCCGCCGCCGGTCACGCATTTTATAAGCGCCACATCGGAAGGCACCAGAAAGACAAATTATGCATGTGTGTAATGGAGTGTGAAGGCATTTTGAATTAATAAACTGTTTTTCTTGATGTTGAACTCCGCTGCTTTGAGGCGGACTTGGAGCTGCGGACCAGAATAATGGGGAGTCAGGAGAGAGATGGCCTGGGTGCTTTGTTTTATGTGGGAAGATGGAAGAGCAGGTGCTGTGTATAAGAAGCAGACAACGAACGACAATGTTGCTCAATATCTTCAACAGTCATCACAACGATACAGCAACAAAACCTACTCCAGAAACAAAATCCTAGCAGCAATACTTCCTCAGCAACCATGAGTCTCCCATCCCTCAAGCAGTACCACCGAAAGCCCTATGCGGCCATCTCTCCCTCACGCCCAGAACTCAGCCAAGCAGGCAAAACCGTTGTAGTTACCGGAGGCAACAGTGGTATTGGCTATGCCATCGCCCGCAACTTTATCAAAGCTTCCGCCAAGCATGTCATCATCTTGGGTCGCCGTCAGGAAGTTGTAAAGTCTGCCGCCGAGAAGCTCTCCAAAGAAGGAGAGGGCTTTGGATCGTCTACTGTGGTTGAGGGCAAAGTCTGTGACGTTGCAAGTCTCGAATCTACCGCAGCTTTCTGGGAGGGTCTCCAGCGCAATGGAGTTTACGTCGACGTTTTGGTCCTCAATGCGGCGTCGCACACCCAAGTAGCTCCCATTCTCGAAAATGGCCTTCGCAACGTCTGGGCCGATTTTGAGGCCAATGTACGCTCTACATTGGATTTTACTGAGCGATTCTACAAGCAGACGGGCAAGCAAGGCTCTCGCAAGGTTAGATCATCTCTGTTCTCTAAACAAACCGTATCAGAGTTGTAACAAGACTGACGCTTTTGTAGTTTTTGGTAAACATCTCGACTATCGCCGGATATATGTGGCAGTCAATGGCTCCAGAACGCCCAAGTTATGGCATGACCAAGAATGCTGCTACGCTCTTGGTCCAGCAGATTGCCAAAGATACCAAAGTCGACGATATGCAAATCATATGCTTCCACCCAGGTGGTGTTCTCACCGATATGGCTCGCAGTTCTGGTGCAAGCGAGGACATGGGATTTCCTTTTGATGATGGTATGGCTCCCCCATATTCATATTCTCCCCACATAAACCTTTCGTACTAACTCTCGAATCTTCCAGAAAACCTTCCGGGCCAGTTTGCGGTCTGGGCGGCTAGCCGAGAGGCTGAATATCTGCATGGCCGGTTCGTCTGGGCTAACTGGGATGTTGACGAAGTGAAGACTGTTCTGAGCAAGCAGATTTCGGAAGAGCCCAACTTCCTCAAGGTCGGAGTCGAGGGGCTATCTGAAAAGGATCCTAACCCCATGATTCCCCCTGAGCTGCTTCAGAAGCTTAAGGAACTTCAGCAGCAGGCAAATTAGGCTAAGAACAGGATTTCGTATGAGAGCAAATTGTCCAATTTGAAATGAAATTTCCACAACTTAGCAGAATGTACATGAGATAAATTCTATTTTGATCAATATATATGTAAAATGCTACAAGATTCTATACGCAAAATGCTTGTTTTCAAAGAATATAGGGTAGTCAGTGTCATGTAGCTAGCATCAAATTTAGCTAGGGAGAAATGCGCCTGCTTCGAAGCAGAGATATGTACATGTAGTCGTCGATTCGTTGCTGCGCATTTGAGAGTAGTTGTATATAACAGATGGCTAACTAGGCATTTGACAGTTGTTTCGCAATGCAATATGGACTGATTCTTACTTCCTCTAAGGGCGCTGTGCCTACGACGTCCCTGTCACTCTTCTGTCATTTCCAGTCACTTAAAGCTGGAGCGTGGCCTTGCTTATGCGCCATACAGCGCTATATCACGCTTAAACGGGGTATATCGAGACTGCTGCTGTATACTAAATACATTCCGTGAGCAGCTTCACTTGAATGCTCCTGAGATAGCGCAGCCACAACCAACACTCTAGCCGCACATCTTTCCGGAAACCCGCCAACGCAAACATATCAGGGCCACGACAGTCGTCCGCTAAAGAGAATTTTTACTCTTTGAAATTTCTAATTCAGTTTAGCTGGCATGCTACACTAACTCCGTCGTATAAAATTTCCTTTGTCGGCGCCATCGCCTAGAATGCCTCATTTCGGGGATTTTTGCATTGCATGAACTAACAGCATCGCGCTGAAGATCGTTCCAAAGGGAGCGGCCAGGCACAGTAGCATCATGTACATGAAATTGGAACACCATCTTGATTTTGAGGAGATATGAGGCTGAGACTAGTCATACTAGCTGAGTGTATTGTCTCATGTTGGTCCCAACACACCTTGTCGATCTGAGGGAGGGTGAAGCCTTCGTCTCGCTCGCCTTGCCCTATAGAACAGCTCCTAGATAAGCCCCTGATCCGGTTATCTGGAATGGTTTGATATATCTACTGACCTTGCAAGATACAGATTCAGTATGAGCCATGATAATGGCATAACTTCATACAAATGGGTCGCCATGGCTGCAATAAGGAAATATTTTGGGGACGGCTATAATAGCTTAAGTTTCCTATAAGGCTACTATACAGTCTCCTAACGAATGATTACTTTTCAATATGAAGTAGCGTCAAAGATAACTTTCGTGGACTTGCTGTGAAGAATGTGTCGATCAGGTCTGTTGGTGCTAGCCTTTCTTGACAATCGTCAGGGCAGCATTCCGCATATATGCAAGCTAACGAAGAAACCACCAATACTCATCGTATAGGGAGTCATTGACGCGAACGGAAAGAATGAGTACATGATAACGCCTTAAAAGCCATACGACGCGACTTCGTGGTGATTAGACGCACGTATCTGAGGCTGGAGCTAGACCCGTGAAATCTTAAATAGACAGTGATAGTCCGTCTTCTTTACCGAACAGCAAGCAACATCACTCTCTTTTACTTGTATCACTCTTTTGCAAGACTATTCGTTGCCTTTAGAAATCGTCAAAGATGAAGAGTTGGCTCGGTGTTCGGTCTGTGGCCGTTTTGGGCGCAGGCCTCCTGCAGCTTGCTAATGCGCATAACGCGGAGTGTCCTCATCCCGCGGAGATCGTGATACACCACCCAGCGGAATATGTCTGTTGTGGTAAAACTACTTCTACTATGTATACTCAGTGAGTCTTGACTATACTGTTAATTGCACGCTTATATGATGTTACTGACATGTTACATAGGACCACGATGGAATGCTCAGGAGTCCCAGCCTACGTGACGCCTGGAGTTCCCATCCCAGCAGGAAATTGTGTGACCACTACAAAGTCGTGGGACGGCCCTACGACTGAGACGGTCACGATTCCTCCTTCTGGCTGGGGCCCAACTACCAAGATTGTGAAAATCCCAGGATGGAGCCCTGACTGCGTCACGACTACTATGTCCTGGACTGGCACTACGACTAAGACGGTGACAATTCCCCCCGCTCACAGTAAAGGGCCAAGCACCGTCGTCGTAAAGACTCCTTGCGATGAATCTGGATATGTTACCAAAACTGCACCCTGGGCCGGAAGTACTGCTACTACTTTCACCGTCCCCCCTCACAAAGGCGAGCCTGGCGCTGTTGTGATCAAGACGCCTCATAGCGGATATGTCACCAAGACTGTTCCTTGGGGCGGCAGCAAAACAGTCACATATACTGTGCCTCCCAAAGGAACTGATTGCGGCGAAGTGATCATAAAGAATCCTGTCAAGTATATTACAGAGACGATTTATTGGACTGGTACCAAGACGGAGACGTACACCATACCGGGCTTTGGAACTAGACCTGGTACTGTTGTCATAAAGGTGCCTGCTTTGGCTACCTACGGAGATAAGCCCGTCACTTCGTCGAAACACCATAATTCGTACAAGCCAACTTCTCCGCATGAGACTCATTCGTCGAGACCGACATCTTCGCATCATACTGGCTGGTATAAGTCTACATCAACCCATGGCCAGTTTTCGTCTCTTGGAATTAGCACATCTCATAGATCTATGTCGACTCATGGAGTCTCTACATCACATGGATCTACTTCCTTCAGAACCGAAACTCAGAAGCCATCATCGTCGCACGGAATTTCCTCATCTCATAGCTCTTCATCAAGAGGATCGGCTGCCTCCCGCTCCCACGATCCGTCCATCTCCCATTCACATGGATTCAGTACCTCCTCTTCCCATGATCTGGCTACATCGCATTGCTCTACTTCATCCCATGGGTTCAGCTCATATCACAGCACTTCGCGTGGAATATCATCTCACCCAACTACGTCTTCTCACGAGTCTACTGTAACACATAGATCTATATCTCACGGGTCTAGTACATTGCCACATACGACTACTTCTCGTGAAAGGACTTCGTCTCATGAATCTAGTACTTCATCTTATGGATCTACTTCATCGCATGGATCTACTTCATCGCATCTGTCTACCTCATCCCATCGGTCTACCTCATCCCATCGGTCTACCTCATCCATACCGACATCGGATAGGCCTACTACATCACACAGGGAATCCATCAGTACTTCACATAGGTCAACATCGTCCCATGTATCGTCTTCATCGCATGGAATTAGCTCGCATAGTACATCACACTCTGGAACTGCCTCTCATCCAACGACGAGCTCTCACAAATCGACTAGCACACACGGGATTTCTACATCAAGTGGAACAACGACTCATGCAACGTCGCATAGTACGGGCACGTCCCATACCAGCTCCCACCACGAGACTACTACTTCCCGCAGGTCAAGCACTTCTCACGGTACCGCTACATCTCATAGGACTACATCAACTCATGAAACTTCGAGGTCAACTTCTCCACATACAACTACATCTAGCAGACCAACTTCAACGCATGAGACAAGTGTATCACATAAATCCACTTCTGCTACTTCTCATAGAACGAGTACATCACGTAGTTCCACCTCGACTCATGAGACTAGCACATCAACTTTCCCTCACACGACCACATCCCATAGATCTACCTCCACCCACGGGACCAGCACATCAAAGTCAACTTCTCCCCATACAACATCACTTAGATCTTCAACTGCTTCTCCTGAAACAAGTACATCACATAGATTTACTTCCACTCATGGGATTAGCACATCGAGGTCAATTTCCCCTCACACGACCACGTTACTCAGATCTACTTCAACTCATGGAACAAGTACATCACACAGATCTACCTCAACGCACTCAACAGGTACCTCTCATGGAACGGATACAGCTACAGCCCACAGATCTACCTCTACCCACAAGACAAGCACATCACAGAGATCTGGCTCGGCACATGGGACAAGTACGTCGCATAGATCAACCTCCAGCTATCAGACTTCTACATCAAGACTAGCTTCCTCACACACGACTACGTCGCATGGGTCTACTTCAACACATGAAACAGCGACATCACGTAGATCTACATCGACGCATCAGACGAGTACGAACAGATCTACCTCGACACACGAGACAAGGCCGAGTTCCTCTCCGACGACCTCAACCCATGCACCTTCTTCGACGCATGGGACGATGACATCTCGGGGAACAACCACATCTCACCCAACAACGACATCTCGCTCAACAACAACGTCTCATGCAACAACAACGTCTCATGCAACGACGACGTCTCGGGGAACAACCACATCTCACCCAACAACGACATCTCGAGGAACGACAAATTCTCGCCCGACAACAACGTCTCGCCCGACAACAACGTCTCGCCCGACAACAACGTCTCGCCCGACAACAACATCCCGCTCTACCAGTACGCTATAAAAGTAGGTTGGTGGCATTGCAATCTCTATCAATGAATACTGTAGTATCTGACAAGCAGAAGTTGGGAAACCTACCTTGGGATTGTTTAAGAGTATGCGAAGAATGAGACAGAGGCTCCTTTGTTTTATCTGAGTAATTTCCAGTGTCTGCATAACAAACATCGTTTTATTCATGTTTTTCTTTTTTTCCTTCTGCTATTTTCCTCTGTCTTTTTCTCATGTTCCCTTAATGTTTTGAGCAAAATGTGTTATCTGTTAGTGAAAGTAAGAAGGAAGGCCCAGAAGAATTCGTGATAATGAGAACAATAAACTAATATTCTTTCTGTTTTTCATTGCACTACGTACGCCCTCCGTGGTATTCCTTCGTAGATTTATTTATTCTATCTACCTCTAGCCCGGGCAGTTCTCTAACTAATTACTTCCTAAGCTATATGCTGACAACTTAATCTGAATCCGAATCTGTTGAATCCGAAGAGTCCGACGATGCATCATGATGCTCCTCATCGTCTGGTGAATCTTCAAACTCTGGACCGTTTTCGTCAAATATATGATCTGAGAAATGGACCAGCTCCTTATGAGTATAGCATTTCCAACATATGTCGTAATCAGTACATTCCTTGCAATGATAGCAAAAGCCGTAAATACGCTGCATCGTTGTTAGCGACATGTGCAAAGGTTCGCTTATGAGAATGAAGGGCACTTACACATCTGCAACTATCACATGTCGATGTGCTGAAGACTCCCTTCCTGGATTTATCGTCTTCAGATTCTTCTTCCGGAACCTTCTTTTCATCCTTCTCTTCCCCATTCTCCTTCTCCTTTTCATCTTCAGAAACGAGTCCATGCTTCAATAGCTCAATGACTTCTTCTGGTTGCCCAGTAAACCGAGCAATCTTCAGCGGGGTCCACTTCTCCTTACCAACTGAGGCTTTCACAAAACGGTTGGCCCCGTGCTCGAGTAAGAGTTTCATCGTCTTCACTTGCTCTTCTGGCTCGCTCGCGTGATCTGCAGACAGCCAACAATCCGTGCCGCGAGCCGCCCAGCATAGCGGCGTCCAGCCGTCAATATCGACCTCATCGATAGCCTCTTTATTAGGCAAGAGTGATATGATCTTCTCCACGGCCTGCACTCTTCCAGGCTGTGCCGCCCAACTCAATGCGGTCCGTCCAATGATATCTTTCGAATTGATGTCCCCACCGGCCTCGAGGATCGCCTTGAAGTTTTCAATACCGTTTAAGGCTCCGACATGTATAGGCATCCGATTCATTGAATCCTTAATATCAACTTTTGCTCCTTTATCCAACAGCGTCTTGATCGTTTTCGGCGTTGCTGCGTAAGCCGCTGCATGGAGGGCGGAACCAACAAAGCCACCTTCTACGTTGACATCTGCTCCATGGTCCAAAAGGTAGTCAACTACCTCGTCTACTATTCGGTTTTCGCCAACTGCGAATTGCAAACATGCTGCCTGCAGAGGAGTTCCACACGGGCCGTAGTTGATGACTTGATCAACATTGGCTCCATTTTCAACGAGGAATTTTACAACATCCATGTGACTTAGTCGGCATGCCTGATGGATAGCAGCGCCATCACATGGTGATCCGAGGTGAATATTAGCGCCATGCTTGATGAAGTATTTGGCACGCTCCAGATTTCCCGTGTATGCTGCCAGAGAAATAGGCGTATCGCCCCGTGTCTTTTCCTGAATATTTAGGTTTATTCCGGAATTGACAAGAAGCTTTACATTATAAAACGACACATTGGTATAATGGAGAGCTGACTTTCCGTCCCCGTCGACTTGGTTCACATCAAGCCTTGATGGATATTCCATTAGAGCGGCGAGCGCATCGTCTTCTTGAGCTGCCACGTGCAAAATAGGTACTCCTTTGTCTGATACGTGTTTGAAATCGGCTCCATGTTCAGCCAGTATGCGAATTGTGTCCTTGGGGGCATGTGATGCCGCGCATGTTAGAGCTGTCCATCCTTTCTGGTCCTCGTCATCTCCGTCATAAACTTCTTCCAGAGCTGCACCGTGCTCCAAGAGAAGTGTCATGGAGTCATTATAGCCGAACCAGGCCGCATGCATAAGAGATGTGAATCCTGCATTCTTTCCAATGTTTGGGTCTGCGCCATTCTCGACCAGTATACGAACTATATCGGCATCGGGAACGGCAAAGTACAAAGGAGTGATGGTGTCTGAGTTGACTTCGTTGACCTTTGCGCCTTTCTCTATCAATAGCTTGGTAAGATCTTCTTTCTTGTCCAGCGCGGCAAAATACAATGGAGACTGGTCGCTTGAATTCAACCCGTTGATCTCTGCGCCATGCTCCAGAAGCTTCGGGACAAGATCCATGGCAAGATCGCTTCTGCAGGCATGAATCAGCACAGGCGTGCCGTCGGCGTCTTTTGCGTTGGCATCAGCATTGATTGAAAGAAGGAGGTCGAAGATCTCGAGCCGGTTCTCGCTCGCCTCGTAATCCGTGATCATCTGAGTAAGGATTGGAGGCGAGATAAACTGGCTGTTAGGATCTGCGCCGCTGGCAATCAACATCTGACAAATCTTCAGATGACCTTTCACAGCAGCATATCGTAGAGCTGTGCCCCACATGGAAGGTCCAGGAAGATTTGGGTTGGCGTTTTTGTCAAGCAGAAGCTTCACGCATTTCTCATAGCCGTCATCAACAGCCACCGTAAGCGGCGACCAGCTTGAGGGGGTGTCATCGGGTTTGATACCCATATTGGGATCTGCTCCCAGCCCCAATAGCACTTCAACAACGTGATGATGTCCCCACAAGGACCCGAAATAGAGCGTTGTCTTATTGTCCTCGTCCGTGACTTCCAAGTCAGTTTTCCCTTCCTCGGCCAAGATTTTGGCAATCTCAGCATGGCCTTGTCCGGCGACATGATGGATGGGAACTCTGTTGAATAGATGGCGGGAGGTCATATCCGCATTGTGCTTAATGAGGGTTCGGACCATGCCAACATGGAAGTTCCGGGCTGCTTGAGAGAGTGGAGAGGCTTTGGTGATCGACGACCAGCTGCTTTCAATATCTGGAGGATATCCCAGGTCAAGAATTCGGTCTGCAAACCGATCCAAGCCAATCCACGCTGATCGATGCAGTAGCACTGGCGACCAGGTAGTGACATCCGGCTTTGGGTTCTTGGACAGGATGCGGTCAAGCATATCTATCATCATATCCTCATTCCCATATGCCGCAGCGGCCAGAATAATGTCCATAAGAGTGGATTCAGGCACGTCGATTTTCTTCATAAGTGTCCGAACAACTTCCGATTGACCCTTTGAGGCAGCTTCAAGCAAGCCTCGGCGTGTATCCGCGTCATCGCGTGCTTCAATGGCATCAAGCAGACCCAAGCTTGCGAGAATTGGGAACAGAGTGTCCAAACAGGTAGTACTCCTAGTGATTGGATTTGCGAGGGCCCAATAGCCCTTTGCCCAGCCGCTTGTCAACTCGGAAGTTGACGACTGGGGGAAAAACTTGGACAGGTCGGGCTTAGGAGAGCTAAGCAAATAGTGATGCGTCCAGGCTTGGAGAGCGTAGGAGCATAAATTTCCTCGATCCGCAAAGGTAGGTGACTCGAAGGATTCCGCATCTGTGGCTGTGAAAGTTTTGCTGATATATTCTCCTACCGTTGGCTGAGAAAGATATCTCAAACAGAAGTTTGCAATATCTAAGTGAGCGGTTTCCTTGATCTCATTCCACAAAAATTGAGAACTAGCGGATTTCTCACCACCCTCACTTTTGCCCATAAGAATGTTCCGTAGCCTTGGATGCCAGAATCTGACCTCGTTGTGTTGTATCACAACAACGCCCGCGAGCCACACCTTGATCTTGGAAACAAGGCTTTCTATTGCCGCTGAATCGGGTGAGGCGTGGCCCTCGTCAGGATCCGATCCAAGGTAGATCACAGTTGCAAGTTCCCAGATAGTAAGTGGTCGTACGGCATAGAGGAGCCATGTGAGGAGCTGACGTAGTACTGCTGGCTCAGGAGAATTTCCAAGAACCCAAGATAGAAGCTGTTCCAGGATTTGATCCTCGTTAGCAGATGCCTTGGGGTCGAATTTCAACGACTTGAGCAAGTCTTCAATCGTAGTCTTATATGGCCATTCTTCTCGCACAGCCGCTTGTTCCCAAATGATATGTTTGGACAGAGGATCAAATTTGTCAATGAACTGCTGCTGATCTTCGATGACACGAGACTCAAAATGAAGCTCTGGGCGTGCTGTGAGTAGTCGTGCCATGTCATCTTTGGAATCAGTGTCGGCGACGCTTATCAACTTCTCCTCAGACGCATCAAGATCCATATTTATACACCAAGGGCCTGAAAGTTCTTCTGAAAGGGCACCCGGTTTGTGACTTGTGACAACGACTTTCCACGAATTCTCGCTCGCTTGTGAAAGATATGCGAAGTTGTCGAGGAACTGTTTTCGAGAACCCTTTGTGCACTCATCCAAGTGATTTATAACAAACATGACATGGTCGACCTGGTCAGTAAATCGGAAGCGCTCGAATAGATAAATCAGATCTGCCTCTGTCCATCCACGTTCCTGCTCTAGACGAGCAAAAGTGCTTCTGATGCGATCTCCGCTCGCAGGGTAGAGACACATGATTTGAGCCAGAAAAGTGGCAAGCATATCTCTAAGAGAGTCGCACCTGACATCGTATCGATCAAATGAAAAGTAAAGGACGAGTGTAGTTGAGCTTTTGGCAGCGTGCTCCTCCATGACGTAGAAAAGCTGCTCTGCTGTTTCGCGGACGTGCTTCGTACCGTGAAGATAGAGCATTTGCGGCCCGCGGTGTTTCAGCCACGACTTGATTTCCGGTGAGTTTTCAACAACTCCATTGTCACGTTTACTGCTCTGTAGAGGAAAGATGGGCGAAGCAAGAGTCAGAATTGTTCTCTCGTAACGAAGCTGGTCTGCGGGCAGTTTTGTGTTGAAGGCTGAAATTTATATCGTTAGCCAACTTCACGAACATTACAAGGTTAGATAATCTCACTCTTCAGCAGTTCTCCAAGACAAGTCGTAACAGAGGAGTAGTCGTCGCTGTAATCGCTTGGTTCGGCTATTCGTTTCTCCATGGGTATACCAAGCGTTGCGCTGTAAGTGTCAAACGCCTTTCGAGTTGATGTTAGAGCGCATCGTTTCATATTGCTTCATATATAATTCAAGTCTTACCTTGTTTACCTTTGAGTTCGATCCTTCTTGATGATAGACACTAACTGCTCGGCTGCGTAGAAGAATTTTCGATTCAACAAACAAGCCGTTAATCTCCATAGCAGCTGCTGCAAATCCAGGTATTGAAGACGCAGAAGGTCGAATTTCCGCAACTTCTGAGTCATACGAGCCGAAAAGAAATCGAGAAAGCGTGTCCTCCATACCGAAGTGGTCAACACTTCGGTGAGGAGTACCGAGAAAAACCTGCGGCAAGTTAGGATCAGAGTGTTCGGAGCATTCCATAAAAGGGTCCATAATCATACCAGAATACGACTCATTTCCGCAATGTCTAGCCAGGAGGCTATATCGGCTGCCGCCGCAGACAAGGCCTAAGTTTTAGAGATTTAGCGACCGGGGTTTGCAACATGACATGATTGAACTCAAACGCACATCTTTAACTATGAGACCTCCAACGTCATGCGCAACAAACATAATTAGCCGTTTCTAAGAAATCGTTTAGTCAGATTAGCCGTATAGATTCGCTTGACGGCAAAGCATCTATAAAGTCCACAAACCTGAGTTTGGTTTCTCCTCCTGGCAGCTAGTGCTCGTAACAGTTTCAGAGCGCAGTTTCGGATGGCCTGGCGGCTTTTTCTACCACAAAACAGCTGAAGTGGCTCGTACTCAAAACGGAGAATCCTAGATGGCGAATCTAGCGACGCGGCATAACTTGCGACCCATTCACTATTACCAGAGCCGGGTCCTGCCTGGGATTCGTTTTCCCAGCCCCCGTAAACACCATGGATCACGACGAAGCTGTGTTGATGATTGTGAATTAACCGAATGAATCATTTACTTGGGTATGAATAGACACTTACTCTACGGCTGTATCAGAAGGCTCAGAGCTCCCTTCACCTTTCCATGTTACATGGAGGGGCTCAGCATCTGGGTCTTGCTCTTCTTCTTCTTCTTCTTCTGGCGGTTTCGTTTCGCTCTCTGGAGTCCCGGCTGAATATTCATCAGGAGTTGATTCATCCTGATTCTCGCCAGCAGCAACTGGCTGCGTGGTTTGCTCTTGTTCAGCTGTGGGCGCCAACTCAGGCTCTGGCGAACCGCCCCGTGAATCGGAAGCGCTAGAGGCGGATGAAGAATCTGAATCTGACATTCTCGGTGTGGCAAGACCAGTTCACGTAGCCTAGGTATTAAGCATAGACAGCCAGGCTGCCTGTGTTATATACACAAGTCTGGAGGGCAGCCGTTTGGTGGCTTGCTTGGATACTTGAGTAGGTAGATCAAGCGTAAAAGATGAAGATAAATGTAACTGTACGCGAACGATTAGCATGTCGATACTTGTTTTAAGCCACTATGAATTGCAGGAGAAGCGATGAGGATCATAACAACCTGAAAGACCACAGTAAAGCAAAGCGTGATTAAGAGGACTCACCGACATCAATAGTGATTGCCGTTCTAGCGCGCCGCAGTAGAGCGATACCACGAGATATCCACCCAAATATAGCGAACCCTTATTATTTGGCGATCAAGCGGCCTCGCACAGAAGCATAATCCAGCTAGGCCAGCTTGGCCAGAGACGAAAATATTTTACTGAAGGGCTTGACCGCGGGGTCCTATGACGCTCAACTTCCCCTCCATAGAGTCAGACAACTCCTCAGAAGGTGAGCAGAGCTGAAGCGGTGGAGCTGGAACTCGACCCGGTCAAGTGGCCGCAAGTACCACGAAGGTACTCTCCCGAAGATCTGACATGCATAAGGAGTTACGGGGCTCACAGGTTCGTTGCTACGCGTTGATTTAGACGACCTCTGATGCTACCTGGTGCTCCATGCAAGCAACCCCAAGAGAGGCATCATCCTTCTGTGACAAGAGGGGCTGTGCACTTTGTTGCGCGGCAGAGCCGCATCGTTTTCGCGCACTGTAGCCTTAGCCGGGCCGTTCCACGCGAAGGAACAGGAAGAGTGGGCGCTAAATAACAGGTCCTGAACCCTGCTTGTTTCGAACTCAGCCCATGGGAATAGACGAGCCAATAAGATAAACTCTAGTGAGGAGAGAAACTCGAGCTGCGTCAATAGCCTCTCTAGTGACAATCATGAGAGCAAGTAGGCAGCTCTACCGCGAAAAAGCCAGCTGCTGAAGGAGGGAGTGCTGCAAAACTTCACACGCCCATTTCTGTCAACTAATCAACTAACAACAGGCCAAGGGCTGTTTCACGCAAGGGAGGGTAACACAAGTAAGGATAGAAGATAGGGCTGATGGGCTGACGAACTCTCCGAGCTCTCCCCGCAGCTCATTCCTATGGCTACATAAACGGCACATGCGACGGGAGTGGGTAGGATTAAACAAAGATGGTGGGACGATGCTAAATTCGCGGCACTAATGATACTATGAATCAACTGCAGCCTCGTGATGCAGCCGCAGGTACATATGGGGGCAGCAACTATCTGTGTTTTATAATCCCAAATTCTAACTAGATGGAGACTTGGGCTTTCAAATCGTGGCAGTGCTATTATTCCCGCCGGGTTATCCACGCTTCTCCTACCTATACTTCATAAGTCATTAGCCAGCTAGGAAACAACTTATCATTCCAGACAACGTGTTACACTGCAATCAGCCAAGTCAACCATGGACCGCGACTTCAATGACGACAAAATTCCAGATGAGGAAACTGTGGACGCCTTCATCGACTCAGATCCCGACTCAGATCTTGAGGACACTTCTGTGAGCATCGGGCTAAACAAGACGGGAGAGCGTGGCAGCGGTTACCACACTCGCAATGACCCCTCTGCACCCTACCAACGACAAACAGTGACGGAGCGTCGAGGCATTATTGAAGTTCGCTGCAAGTCACGAGATGTCATCCATGGAGTTTTGTCAGAAGAGACGGGAGAAAGCGGAACGCTTGTTGTCTACGACTTTTACCTCGACACAACTCGGAGATCACGGCGAATTGTGTCTGCGTCCCTGGAATTCGAGTTTGCCAATGTTGTTCCTGGAGTACCCGCGCCTCAAGTTCAGGCCATTGCGCCTTCAGGGCGTGTGACGTTACTGCCTTCAACCCAGGAGGAGTCGGTGACCCACGGAGCTGAAATGAACGCCGGCGTGAGTGAGTTGGGCGCAAACGCTGGCGGGACCCTCAAGTGGGAGAAGACTGTGAGCTATACGGCGAGCGACGATGCCAGAGTTACGGGGCACATCTTCAGCGATGACTACGGCAAAGGCGTTGGTGCGAGCTGGGTCCTTCACGAGAATGCCATGCTCAAGTCAGGCGTACCAAGCTTCTTGCGCTGTGCCATCTTGCTCAACCGTGGGTTCGACGAAAACAAATTTCAGTGTAAAGTGAGGATCAAGGTGGAAGCGGATTGGAAGTCTGAAATGGGTCGACTGTTTGGCTCAACTCCTCCAGATGACCCGGTTTTGTTCGACCCTGAAATGCCCTCCACTAACAAGCTACGGAAATACGATACAGAGAACTTGGGCTCTATCGACTTGGACGAGTTTACAGACATTATCTTTGACAAGAAATTAAAGAAGAAGGAGGAAGCTTAGTGATGGCAGATAGCGGGCGAGCATCTTGAGATTTAATAGAAATGGCTGGACAGCCAGCTTAGACAAATTCAACAACGCTCAAGACAAAGAATGAGGCTCTACTAAGCCATTGTGTTCAGCAGGTCAACAACGCAGCTTGATTAAAAAAGATTACTATACAGCTGTCTCCACAGGTCCCTCAAGTTTAGCTGGGATGTTGCTAGTGCCAAGTCTCTGGGCTGACAAGCTAAACGCAGGCAGAATATGAAGATCACTGCTGCGATTCGTCATGTCATAGACCACCAAGTCTGGATTGCACGAGCACAGACTATATTTCGCCAGGAATGTCCTACCTAGGCCTGGGCTCTTGCCTGTAGGGCGCGAATACTAGCATGGCGGATTGTCGTCCACGGGATACCATTGTGGCCAATCAGGCAAAAACTAGGCCTAGAAAAACTGGCTACGTTAACAGGGGCATCGTGATTAGTCTAGGAATCCGTACAAGCTGTTGCTATTCAAACTGTAGAGGGCGAACCTGGCTGAGAATCCCTGCAATGGGATTCTTGTCGTGTTTCGCTAGGCGTGTTGAGCAACGGCAACTGGCAACATGAAGGCAGAAATTCACGCAACCACGCTCGGAGCTCTTTCTGGTAGTCTCGCTAGCTTGTCAACTAGTGTTGACTTTTGCCATCCGGAATGGATGAGAACTACTATTTTGGGAACATGAGGAATACAAGTACGTTGAGTCTACTTGGCCCATATCTTCGGTAGCCCTAAATGATCATGTGGAGTAGCAATGGTCTCATTGCAGTTCACGCTTATTCCAGCAAATCCTGGCTGTTTTGAGGCGGCAGAAGAGAGGGGCCACGCGACTGGGGGCCAAACTTGGTGGTAATCGCGGCTGAAGACGACGCCAATACCATGCCGGGGGCGATGGGCAAGCTCATGTAGACTTGCAAACAAGTCTTAGCAACTTTGCTGCCTTCACACTTTCTACTATCAAGCCACCCCTAACATTCCAGCCATGAGCCCGCTAATTGACGACGAAGAGAGGGAGACTGACTCCCTAGCTGTGGGCGAAGAAGTTGAGAAAGCAGAGTCCAAAGCTGGCGATGAAACAAGCGAGGATGAATCCGACAGTGACGAAGAAGATGGAGAAATTGACACCCGAAATGGTAAAATATCAGTCAAAGATCTTCTTGACAAGGTCTTGAAAGCAATCAAAGATGGAGATAAAGATCTTACCAATAGCAGCCAGCTGAAGGCATTCAAAGCTGGCGATGGCAACGTCTTGGCCTCTAACACCGGAGACCTGCGCCAGCCGACAGCTTTGCACATCATGGCGGCAATGGACAAGAAAGAGTTACCAAAACTAGACAGCAAGATGGAACCACTCATCAAGCATCTAGTGGAACACGAAAATGATATTCTTGGCTATCTAGATCGATCGGGCCACACGCCTTTGTTCCTCGCCATCGAGGCGAAGAAAGAGAAGATGGTGCAGTGGATGTGTGACTCTCATCCAAATATCAGTGCCATCTTGGCCATCACCAGCAACGACAAGGATAAGATGAACTGCCTCCACATTGGCATTGATAAGAGAGTCAAGTTTTTAGACCTCCTCATCGAAAAAGCAGATCCTGAGACCTTGGCAGCTAAAGATGGAGATGGGAACACACCGCTTCATCTCGCTGTGGAGTATAAAAAATGTAAAAGGGAACAGCTGGATATTATACAAAAGATCATTGCCAAGAGCGACATCGTTGTTCAGCATAATGAGAATGGCGACTTCAACGACAACGGGTTGTCGCCGTATCTTCATCACAAAGAAAATGTCAGGAAAGCACAGGCAAGGGAGAAAGATAAAGAAAAGAAGAAGTTGAAAGAGGAGAAGGAACGTGAAAAGGGCAACACTCGTGCTCGTCCCGATGGCGTCGAAATCGACTCTTCTGCGCAGAATCAAGATCCAGCACCAAGATCTCAAGAATCTAGAGGGCCTGGAGGGCCTGGAGGACCTGCAAATCCCAGCGGGCAAGGTACAGATCCAAGCAGCCGTCCTGATAAGCGACCGACCGTTCAGACCGACTCTCGTAACAAGTATGGAGGGCGGGCGCAACCTGCAATGAACATAAACTCGCCAGCGACGGGCACAGCACCACCGCTTTCTGTGAATAAAGACGATCTGAGGAAGATGGCTCTACACGTACCCGATTCATCAGTAAAACCAGCTTCAGACGCAAGATCCGTTACTGACAGTGGCCATAAATCCAAAGTCGACGAAACCGTTCTGAAAGATGTAGAGCGCCTTCTGAAGCTACACTATCTTCGCTCCCGCAGCTACAATGAGGCCATGGAGATATTGTATGGACGTAATACAACTTCAGGTAAGACTTTATATAAGAGAAAGCTTTTGAGTCGAGCGCAAGTTTTCGAGGCTAACAACTTTCTTACAGACCTGGAACTATACTTTGACTTATCGGGACACGTAAATATTACCCAGACTGGGCTTGAGAATTTACTATCGAAACTCAAGTTTGAGGACATTCTTCAATATGTCGCTATTCCGAGAATCAGCGTGGAGGTGAATGTGAATACAGCAAATAGCAAGCGAGCCCGAGGATCTGGGCGCTCTTCAAAACAAGATGGAGATGGTCGGAGAGACTTGTGCTACATCTTCGATCGCTTGAGAAAGAAAGGTGTCAAGACCGTTCTCAAGGTCATCATTGACGATTCAACGATGCCTGCTCACAGCGATGAGGCAATTGAAGATGCCTTGAAGTTCATGGACGTGGAGATTTGGGATTGGAAAAGGATGGATCTATGCTCTGAGGTTATACACAGGGTGGCATCTAAAGCACGCGAAGTCAACCTATACTGGAGCGGCAATAACGCAGTTCTTAGAGGATGGAGCGAAGAAGGTGGCTTGAAGAGATTAAGTCAGCTGAAAACGGTTCATCTGCACATCCAACAGGTATGGTCGCATTATATCCGAATCGAAGAAGTGTAACCTTTACTAACGAAACAATTTTTCCGGGAACAGGGCCTTGAAACAAGTCAACGAACCAAGCAAAACGTCGAAGATTTCTGTGACCGTATGAAGAAACTATGTCCCGAAGTCAACGTCCTGAAGGAGTGGCCGATTGTACAGAGAGAACAGATGGATCTCAACGCGCTCATGTCTGGAGATCAAGCCGAGCATACAACGAAACACGAGTGGATCCAGTGTATGAAGGACTTCAGAAGACTGCTCTTCGATGCGGAACGATACTACGAACGCGGAAAGGTTGAGGAGACCATTGAAGAGCCAATCAAAATTGCTCTCATTGATGACGGTGTCGACGTCAAGGATCTGGAGTTTAGCTTCATCGGAGGCCGGACGTTTTGCACACGAGACGAGCAGCACAATCTGAACGACCCTTACTATGTGTCTAGTACGGGACACGGGACCATCATGGCGAAGCAGATTCACTTATTATGTCCCCGGGCGCAATTCTATGTTTTAAGGCTGGAGGATCATGCTTCAGAAGAGGGTGGTCGACAAATTACAGCCAAGAGTGCCGCACAAGTAAGTCCATATTATCACTACTGTTACTTAGTTTACGAGAGACTAATTATTATTAGGCAATTTTGGCGGCCGTGAGAAAGAAGGTTCACATCATTTCCATGTCTTGGACCATCGATCCTCCCGAGGACGAGGAAGAGAGGCGACTCCTTGACTTGGCTATAGGAGCGGCGGCAAACGAAAACATTCTCCTTTTCTGTTCGGCGAGTGACAAGGGAGCCAAGAGCAGCGAAACCTACCCCTCCAAGGCAACCAAAAAGATTTTCACCATTGGAGCGGCGACTTCATCGGGAATGGCCGATCCTTGGGTCGGCAATCTGGGAAACATCAACTTCACATTCCCAGGCACCAAGGTCGAGATGGATGGGCCCCGGAATGATGACTCGTCATCGAGAGAGGTCAGTGGCTCATCCATTGCCACCGCTTTGGCTGCAGGTCTTGCAGGGCTGGTGTTGTATTGCGTTCAGGTACGCCTGCTGGTCGCGACCGACCAGGAAAAGCACAAGGCGCGGCGGGATTTCCAGCTTTTGAAGCAGCACGACTATATGATGAAGGCCCTCAAAGACATTGGTACCACGGAGGAGAGTAATCACAAGTTTATTGAGGTATGGGAGGTATTTGGAAAGAAGGTCGAAGAGAAGGAGAGATATGATCAGGAGAGGTGGCTGGATTTGATCGCTGAAGTAGGCATGATTCTATGCAGAAAGATTAGTTGATTGATCATCACGATCATAGTTAGATCCGATCGCATTAGTTTTTAAGCAACCCGGTGGAAAGCTATCACTACTGTCACTGCTTGGTAGAGCAACTGTCTCGGAACAGATTTTCAGCCAGCAGTAGTCATCTCTGTGTAGCCATTGGCGATGTCCACTTTTAGCGTGTATAAGGAATCAATTAGATTGGTTATTTCTGGAAGGCTGCTTGCTGTATTCTGCGGACTGGAACAAAAAAGTGTAGCTCCTGTATCTTAGGCTGAATGGGGCCAAGAAAGGAAAGACTTGAAGATGAGAACCGTTCAAGCATCCAAGGTAAGCTACATGTATCTTTTGATGTAGAGCCTTGGTGAGCATTGCAAAGAGAAAAAAGAACTTGCCATGGGAGGATACAGAAGATGTATAGACTATCTTCATGCACATCTCCATCGTAGAGTATTCATAGTCTGCCCTCTTACTCCAGCTGAAATCTCCATGTTTATGCCGTTTCTAATGTACCCAGACACCCTTGCCGAGTTTCCCTCTTTTCTTTTCCTAAAGGAGCCCTCGTGCGTGGCTCCAGCTACGTCTAGCTTCTTTTCCTTGTAATATTACAGGATGACGGCCGGGCAGCCACTGATCCACGATTTTGTCCCGCGTGCCAAGCTTCAGCTTTGTCGTAGCTTAAATAGTGGGCTAGGCAAGAATTTCGAGTTCTCAGTCTCATATTTGCACATACGTTTCGAAACACTAATGACTTTCCTTTTCTTTACCTGTTTCATATCAATTTTGTGTAAAAGAAATGATTAGATACAAAAAGAAACATGAAAAAATGGAAAGCTAATACCTACTCTACTTGACTGTACATATGATTTACTATGTTTCCATGGCTTTGTATTTTCGCCTTCTCATTACCAATATGAGCATTGCTTTTATATCTCCATGATTATTTGACGTGATTTGAAAATCAGAGCTGGTGGACTCTCATGTGAAATATGGCCATTTTGGCTCCCCCATATTTAGCGTCCGAATGCTGTATAACGGCTCTAGAGTCCCCTAGTCGTTTAACCCTGCGATCATCGCATCTCAGAAATCGTTTAGAGCAAAAATAATCTGGCATTGCCCATTGAGATCTTTCTCGAAGTGTCCCATAAGTGCGCTGGAAGGTATGTAACTCTGACATTCTACAGTTAGTATGTTTAATCACTCAACTGCAGTCTCGAGTATTTGAGCAACACATGTGTCGAGTTTATCACATCACTGCTACTATCGCGATCTCAGTTGTTTGGGCATGAGGCAAGCTACTTGGTAGTCTAAATTTACATTCCCGAGCTATCACCGGCATTGAGACGATGTTAGTCCTGAAGAGCAGCCAAGCCAGCCGCGCGTGCTCCAAACACGCAACTTTCATTTTATTTACAACAACAAAGCTTTAAAAGACATATTAGAAGGGGCACTATAAACCGAGGTATACAGACAGCGTGCACATTCTTGCATCTTAGCATCGTCCGAACTTATTGATATTATATAGCCCCATACACGCTCTTAGCAAGGAAGTACATCATTGGAGGAAAAACTCATTCATTCTACCTCTTCGTGTTGTGGATCTTAAGCCTGGCTATTCTCCTACAGCGGCTTAACCTTTACAATCAAGATACGAGCTCGTTTATCGTACAGCTCATAGACCACCCGAGGATAATCTCAATCTTGGAAGGAGGGTAGCCTTCAATGCCTGTACCAAAACCCACCTACCTCCCTTTTCATTAAGTCCACATCTTGATCAGCACTAGAATATTCCTTTTTAGTCCACCTTGAGCTTATTTTAGTATTAGCATATTCGCAATAAGTTGGATTTTGCCCCTCGTGCCACACAATGGGGGCAGCTCGTGGATATAACGATAAAGAATACCGCATCCTATTGGTATACTTTTTAGCTTTGACGGCACTACGGCTATGCAGTTTGCATGGTATCGGCTAATAATAACTCATCTCTGTAACTGAATGTTGTTTGTAGCCGTTTCTCAAGCATTTCTTGTCTTTTGGAGCCAGTAACCGCTTATAAGATGGCACGGCGTTGGTAAGCGGTGCTCCAAGTGTGGTCTCCATGTTTCAAAATTGATTTCTGAATTTGCTTCATCATTTAGGGCTAATTCCCGCGACAAAATTAACTGTTATGGAAAATGGAACAGATGTAGAGAGGCGCGCTGTGCGTTCCATACTTCTAAATCGAAGGAGTAGTCTACGGAACGCTGATGGCCTGTGTGCACGGCTAATCGAGAACAGCTTAGGATATGTCAGATAGGGTTACCATGAAGATTTAAACATCGCCAAGATACCATTTGCAGCCCTTGTCTTCACATCGAAATCGCGACAATATGGCTAGATATGGGAGCAACACCTCCTGATCGAGCTCTCATCTGGCTCACGGATCTCTTTTGGCAGTCGCAAATTTCCTATTTGAGCAGTACAATTACACTTGGCGCCGCCTCTACGTCGGAAATATATTAGAGTGCCAAAATGTTTCACAAATAGGAGAGTAGGTGGCCCATAAAAAAGGAAGCTAGCTGAGATGTAGAAACAATTAGGCGCCCCATCAAGCTGTTTTTGTGAGAAATCTACACCAAATGCTCCGCGTTTTTGCGCTTGTGCGTTTCAGAATAAACTAAATTGGTGGCTGAGACAAAATTAGAGTGTGCCGAGGACCGGACGCCTCGCGCAAGGGCATGATATCTCAGGTTTGAGATCGACAGATCGACCAGTGTCGTCTAAAGTAGGACTGTTGGTTTAAGGCCATCTAACACTTGAGGAAGGTGATACTACCTGCTGAAAACATACAAGTTCTAGGATGATAGCTTACAATATGTTGATTATACAGTCATCACGCTCGTTCTTTAGCTTCGGGCTTGGCCGATCAGCTGAAAGACACCTACCATAACAGAAGACGACGGGTGTCAGAGAGCTTCCAAAAGCAGTAGCTTTTAGATGATGATTACATGTATCTTTAGCAGCGTGAATAGTCAACTTAGCACCGACTCCTTCTAATATGCTCTATGCCGAATGTTTTGTCAATCCTGATGCTACACAAAGGACTGATTACATAGTAAGGTAAGCAAATACTGGTTAGTAATCGTAAATCCGTGCCCCTTATGGCGGCAGCTCCTTAATGAACGTGTTTTAGGTCGACGGCACAGATCTCCTTTGCCTATTGCAGATCCACAATATGCTTAATGAACCCAGGATCACAGCAGTTCGTGCGAGCTTCCGCGGGCAAGGTTTCACCTGGTACTGGCGGACACTGACCACCCACACTGCGATATATAAACGTCGCGGTCTCCCATAACAGAATGACTTCGACTTCCAATCCATTAATCCATTGAACACATCCGCTCTTTTCCTCACCACAATGCAGCAGTCTCAAATGTCTCTTCGAGCCGCCGCTCTGTTCGGCTTGGCTACTCTCCAAGGTGTCACTGCTCACCTTGCTGCTTATACTCCTGGAATGTTCTGCCCTGAGGTATGTATCTATCGCGATTATGGTTTTATATAGCCAGAAAAGGCTAACATATTCCACAGAACTCTTACAAAGGCCCTCTCACAAACTTCACCGACCCAAACCACGTTGTTTTCGACCCTCTCTTCAACCTGCAGCAGGACAGCTGGTTCCTGTCCAAGGGCCGTAACTGCTGGCTCGCACCACCAACCGGTGTCTGGGAAATCCAGGCCAACTCCGTCATCCAGGTCCCATGGGCCAACTGGCAGAACTCCACGGGCTTCTATGCCGACGGAAAGGAGCAAGACCAGCGCCCCCAGCCTTTCTCAGTCACGAACCCTGCCGTCGTTGCCGCCGGTCTAGTCTCATCATCTGGAGGCATCAACACCCCCAATCTGCACGCCGGTAATAAGTCCACTGCTGCTGGTACTGCTGTTGCCATCGCCTACAAGTCCAACATCTACGATGTGAAGATGGAGGACTTTGTTGTCTTTACCACCGCTCCTCAGACTCCCTTTGAGCGTCTAGTTACCTACGATATTCCCAACCTGAAGGCCTGTGAGGAGTGCCTCTGCGCCACTGTGTAAGTTATACATATACAAGATATGGTATAAGCCATTATACTAACAGTTTTACTTAGTTGGATCCCCGATGGCTATGGCCAGCAGAACATGTACCAGGCTCCTCACAAGTGCAAGATTATCAACCCCAAGGGAGGCCAGCAGCCCAAGACTCCTTCTCTTGTTCCTGGTCCCAATGTCAGAGGACCCAAGCAGATGATTGCTGCTTTCCAGGCCAGCGGAAACAACGTTCAATGGAAGAATGGCCAGAAGGTGCCCACCTACACCTCCAGGATGGGATTCACCGCCGGTGCCCAGACTGATATCTTCTAAAGGGCTTGCAGGCTGCAAGACCCTTTGAAGCACAAAACAGGGGTTATTTTCCTATGAGAGCCAAAGACCTCTGCTTCTTGTTTTCTTGTAATTCTTGATGGAATATTTACTCTGCTGGCATAGAGAGATTGTACATGGATTCCTCTGGTATATAACTTTAACTATAGATTTGATATAAGAACTGTAAGGATAGCATCATTGAATTTTGTTATTATCAGTCGCAAACGTCTGAGTCAACTTACAATTCGAACTACCAGTATGCTACACTCAATAGTGCACTTGCTGAAGGAGCTTACATTATTTTCAAACTCTTGGCTTCCCTTTGCTAGAAATATGTCATATTTGAACGTTAAGATGTAAGGTATTCGTCCTCTCATACGCTCTTTCTACTCCATCTTCCAAGACCCGCAACATGATGAATTGATCGAAACTTGAGCTTCTTCGCTACTGTGCTCGTCGTCTTCTTGTATAAGCAATATTAGTGGTTCGTATGTCGATAGTTTATATAATTTGCCTGAGCTCCATGAGAAAGAAATATTCCTGCGGCGAAAGCATTTGGCGGTCTAATATCCACTCGAGTTGAAATTCTGGAGCAATGCTCGCTAAATAAATTTGGTATGCCGTTCGGCGCTCATCTAGACGTCGGTATCCTCATCTGGGTGTTCTCTTGGGCCAGCTTGAATCAACAGAGTATTGAGATACTGAACTGAAAGGATCTATTTTCATGCTTAATGTCGCATCAGATGCACCTAGTTGCTTCGCCGCGGCAGAAACGGTGTTTTCAATATCCAACTCAGTAGCCTTTTCCCATGCATAGGGAAGAAGCTATTCATCAGTCAAATAGTCGTTGAACAGGTAGACAGTATCGGTAGCCTGTAATTATTACACCTGTAGATAAACCTCATAGTATTTGGCCGAACTATATGTTGTTGACCTGACAGAGATGTGATCTGAGCAGCAGCCTATTCAAAACCCTTACCCTGAACTACCGCCTATAACTGCATCTATTAGACAACCATAGATGAGCGAAACAAAAAGATATTGACCGCAAAACCGACTTTGTCTATTGCATTGCCTCTGGTATTGTCTGAGATTTTCATTATAGGCGATGTAACAGAAAGTAGATTCTGGTGGTGATGTAGCACATGTATGGACATGTTATCAATGCCCATCTACAGTAACTCTTTACTCAATGTGCAATCGATCAAAAAGATAGGCCTCAATTGACATAAAATTGCCTAGAAATATGTAATTATTCTCCAAGTAACAGGGCTAATTACATGCATACAAGCTAATATCAGACCATCTGTCACGCATAAACGTTAGTTGCCTCCATCTTGCACCTAGACACGGCATCTATAATAGTGCAGCGGTCGCTAGAAACGGCAATCCACGACCCCTGTCAAAAATTACATCAGACTTTATCGATAAGATTGTCGGCCAGCTTGTCCTCAACACCAGGACTTTTTATAGCCGACATCGTTTCTTTCCAAAGTTACACACTGCAATATCATAATGCTAGACGATAGACCATGTCGCAATTCCTGTCCATTATAGGGTGGTCTTTCCTCCCAAACGTAAGCCATCTGTCTTTTCACTCAACGCATTTCATGCAGCTGTTTGACTGCGCACAAGACCCCAGAGCAGGCAGCTAAAACGTGAAACCACAGATTGCCACATCGTGGATCCAAACCATCTACTATGGTCTCACAATCCGCGCCGGCGACCCGAAACCGGCCCCCGGCAGCCCGCGGTTCAACAGCACCCGCCGTAACATCCACATCCTCGTTGTGACGCTCTACCTCGCCTACACAATCTACGAGGCCGACTACGAGCTTCGCCGCCAGGGATCCTTCTACACTGACCTGGGCGTGCCCTTCTCCGCCACCGACCGCGACGTCAAGTCTCGCTTCCGCCGGCTCGCGGCCCTCCACCACCCGGACAAGACTGGCAGCGTCGCCGCCGACTCGGCCGCCTACTTCATCCACCTCAAGGCCGCGAGCGACACGCTGCAGGATGCCGCCAAGCGCTTCGCCTACGAGCGCTTCGGACCCGAGACGGTAGCCTGGCAGAAGTGCGTCACCATTAGGGACTTTGTCACGAGGGGCGTCTTCTCGGGCATCCTTCCACATTATGGCGTCGCAGCCGGGTCGATATATGTCTTGGGCCTGCTGGGATACATGGACTTTGGCAAGTTCTACCGCTGGCTCATCCTCTTGACGCTCTGCGTCTTTGAGCTCCACGCTGTTACTCGACCAAATTTCCCGAAGCTACTCGACGGCCTCAATTTCATCTTCTCCCAAACGGCTACTCACCCGCCGTACCTACCTTACCAACTGATTCAGCTTACACGCAAACTCACCATAACTATATACATCGCCCTGTCGCAGATCGGCCCGCTGTTGGTAATGGATGCATCACCATCGAAGCGATCTCTCGGAGACGAAGACGAACTACTGCGCCAGGGATTGACTCGTCTAGAAGCCATCGCCGGCCAGTTCGACGTCGATGCGACGAGGCTAATGGACATGGAGATGGCGCCTTTCCAAGGAGATGCCGAGGCTACATCCAATCTGCAAGGGAAGATGAGAGAGTGGCTGGTCCAAAACACAATTCGAGCTGATCCCATGGTCCGCGACGCCCTGGGCATGTCATTGAGGAAGCGGCGAGTTGACGTTCCAGCCGGCGCAAGGGGAAACCGATAGAGTCTTGTTACATGTTGGAAATATGTAGAATAAGCGTAGTGTATTTCAAATTTCATTAATTGGCATTTCTATCCTGCAACGATCCAATAATGAGTTTTGACTCTATTAGTCAATGACTATTGAGACTTAACTATCTGCCTAGATAAGTAGTAGCCGTCTTCTCTTTCCAAACTTCAATATGTGCTTGTGTATGCAAATGTATATGCTGAGAAAGCCGTGTATCTATGCCTCCTTTTTCCAGGTGCTATCCAAGATTCTAATAAAGACCAGAAACGCCTATAACCGTTGTGCCCCGCGTGTTTCGATCGGAATCAAACACATGGCCACAAACGCTGCCAAGATCAAAACAGCAGACATGTAAATCGGTGTCGTCGACCCGTCTCCAGGAATATTCGCCGCAATAAGCGGAGCCATCAAGCCCGTCAATCGATTCAGAAAGCTGGCAACTCCGGTGCCGGCACCTCTTACAGGAGCTGGGAAAATCTCCGGCGTAAAGGCATATAGGACGCCATACATGATGTTTTGCGCAAAGGCTTCGATGCAGGAAAAAACGAGCTGGGTGGTAGATGTGGTGCCGTATGCGGCAAAGATGAAGAGAAATACTGCTGAGATGACGGTAGAGCCGGCCAGAGTGCCGCGGCGGCCCAAGAAAGGAGATGAATGGTCGACCAGATAAGCGGCGAGAAGACTCCCTGGTATACCCATTATTGATGTGATGGCATAATTACGATATGTGGTGCCGGATATGGCTGATGTCTCGTCTTGCATGACCGCAGTTTGCGAGTCATCGCTGTGATGAGAAAGGTACTGGGGCAAAAAGGCGTTGAAAAGCGGGTATCCTATGCACGATTATGATTAGTTGCTTTCTTCGGTTTTAAGATGAGAATCAGATATTTACCCATTCCTATAGTGGCCCAGCAAATCCAGATAAGAGTGGTAGCCAAAGCCAGCGTCTTGGTCTGAAAGAGTGGCCGTATCCTCTCGCCCGAGAATCCCTTGAGCTTTTCTTTGAAGAGATTGGATCGCGGGGCGGAGGACATCGAGTATCGCTGGTTGTTAGGACTGGATTGCTCAGGATCCTCTGCCGCGACAAGATCAAGAATTTCTGAGGTGAGCCACGTCTTCGCACCATTTCGATAGGCGATACCGTGGACGACTGCAACGGCTTCATGCTGGCGACCCTTATTGAGAAGGAATTTCGGTGACTCGAACATGTGGAAGAGAAAGAATCGGATACAGAACATGGCAAAGGTGATAATGCCGATGGTCATGATAAAGTAACGCCACCCGAGGTTCACAGGCCATTGCGCAATGAAGAACCACGCAGCAAGTGAAGATACCAGCTGTCCAATAGGCCACCACACGGAGAGTAACGTGAGCAGAGAGCTGGAGGCGTCTGGCAGAAATTCGAGAAATAATGCGCCATCAACAGGTAGGTTTCCACCAACACCAAAGCCAAATGCAGCGTATAGGAAGCACACGGCCCCCCAGCTTCGGCCATACGCAGCTAGAATGCCGAAGATACTCGTAATGAGCAGGGTCATGTTGAATGCGATTCGACGGCCAAAGACGTCTGATCCTATCCCCCACAGGAAACTCCCGAGGGAGAGACCCACGAAGCAGGAGCTTGTCGTATACCTGACTGTCTTTTCTGGTATTTCAAACTCCGCTGACAGTGACGGTAGAGTTAGCGAAACGCCCTGTACCATTGTTAGTGATGCTGTAAACCAGTGGCGACGTTTACCAGTCTTATCCCGCATACCTGTAGCCATAAACTACACGTTGCATGTTAGCCAGCTAATTTCATATATTACGAGAGAGGGAGGATGAGTCTTCCTTACTTATCGGCAAACCACCCAAAGCCACAGAGGATAAAAAGCTGCCAATTATACCGTCCCATGCCAATATCTTGAATCGCCTTGTTGATGAGCTTGGATTTTACTATTATTGGATTAGCGGCGGTTGTATTCTCCAGTTTCATCGTCAACACTCACTCTCATAATCTGTCCATTCTCCTCGCTTGCCTTGCCTCATCTGCGCCCTCAGTCCCTCAATGGTGTACTCGGCCGCATTCATCAGCAGCATGCCCTCCCCCTGATCATCCTTTACCGAGCCCACATCATCCTCATCGTCTACACTTTCGTCCTGCGCCTCAAATTCGACTCGCCCAACCCGCGCCGAATGGCTGTGAAGATGCGCCTGTTCCAAGGGAACCAAAACTCCGTCGTAGTTGTCCACCGACTCCGTGCGCCCCAGCCCGACCCGCCATGAGACCATGATTAGAGATTCAGTCGCGCCGGCGCAACCGAGATATGGACAACCAAAAGTATTATAAACGTTAAATCATTTAAAAAAGCGCCGCTTGTCAAATGTATGTCACACGGCCATCCGATGGAATACAGAGAAGAGAAAAAGCCGTAAAGGTCGGGAGAGCGCAGAGATAAAAGCGACTCCGAATCACGGCTGGGTGATGTGGAATCACGCTTCCGATTCGATGTCGGGTTAGGTAATCCGTAATCCGACGCAAGGGGCGTTTTTGACGACGGCGGAGGCCGAGAACGGTGTAATAAGACACTATGATGGCATCCAATGAGTCTCAAGCAACACGTGGCCCTATTGTTTTTGGCCAAACCGTCCGTAGTGAGCCAAAGACCCCTGAGAACTGGGACAAAGTGTCGGAAAGAATGGAGAGGAGAAAATCGAAGAGCGAGGCGCAACAACGAGCGTGGATGAAGATGAGATTGACGTGATCGACACCAGATGACAGTTTAGTCATTAGGGGAGCATGACAAGCATGAATAGCGAAGCAAGGCGCCCCCGTGCACTCGGTCCTGCCGCTGGCTGCGCCAATCACAGCGGGCTTGAGCACTATTTTAGTCATTGCTAGCGGACCGGGGATGTCTTCAGCGTCTCTTGGCGACCCTTCCGTGGCGTTGATGTGTAGCAAAGTCGTGCTCCATACAGCGCAGATGCGTCACACGAGATCTCGCCGCAACTCTACATAGATCCCGAGACTCCCAGGATATACGAGGATTATTGAAATTGGCCATGTACCTGTGACCAGGCCTTGAACGGATACACAGGCTGATCCTGTTTCTTTAAAGTCTTCGGTTTTCAGCAGTAGAACACTACCTCAGGTTTTGGCAACCAGGTTTCAATCTAGATTTGAAAAGGCAGCCAGTGTTTTAAAGGCTAGATCCGCACGTCTGCGTATAAATCATCGTCCTATGTGGTGTCATCAAATAGGGCTTGCAACTGTGTATACCTGAAATTTCAAGGCGTGAGCCATTCAGTGTACATTTCCTCTTCCTTTCAAATGTCTGCCATTATCAGATATCTCATGGAAGGGAGACCATCGCCCTTCGAGTTTCAAGGCAATTAAATCATTATACATATCATTGAGCCGGTGCTCAGGCATCAAAACAAGTCGCAGCCCCGAATCCGCGAGCTCTCTGCCCGGGTTGAAACACCAGCCTGCGGTGCTCGGGTATATATATCAACTCCAACGTTAAACCAAAATGCCCCAAAAGGCGATTTTGCGCACGAAATCCTAGAACTCTCCACCTAAGAGAATCTCTTAATCCTCATCATTATCTTCATCGCTGGTTGCTTCGATGTTGGACTTGTCCGACTTGGATTTTCTCTTGTTCGTAGAAACGCTGGGCTCTTCAATGTCCATTTCGTCCGGGTCCTCGACATCCTGACCTTTTGCCCGCAGCGCCGCGTTGATACCGGGGGCCGCCTTGAGGAGAGCAAGATACTGTTCAACGGAGAGAGAAATGCCCTTACGCCGTGAGTTAGCGTTCAAGCGCTCCAGCATGTCTGTTTAGTTTCGTCAGAGCGCAATGAGCTCACCTTTTTGCCTGGGAGCGTTTTTCCATCCTTCTCGTAGTACTCGCGGATGTTGACGAAACACAGCTTCTTGAACTCGGAGACTCCTACACGTCGTTTGTTTGACAACTGTTCCAGACCAATGCGTAAGCTAGAGCGCAAAACAATCTGGCCATCGATCATATCACACCTCCCAAAACGGATTTCCATCGTCATCTTTGCCATCAGGCGCACTGGCAGCGGCGGCGCTCTTATTCTTCTTCGAGGCAGAGGTTCTGGGGACCTCGTCTTCACTGTCGCTGCTCGCCCGTCGCTTCTTTGTTGTTGGAGGCATGTCTTCGGGCGATACAAGCGTAATATCTCTAAACTAGAAGCTTAATCGTAAACGAGGACCGTATCTGCGTTTGCGACCCAGATCAGATCAGCCAGGCCAGGGACGGGAGTTGAGGAATGCTCGCTCCGGCGCGTGGAGCAACTGAAGCGGGCCAGACGCGTTTCGTTTAGGCGTGGTTAATGGGCACTTTAGAGCTGGAGCTCTTCAGGCGGGGCAGCGACTCAAAAGCTCACGTGAGAGACTTCACACTGCGTTCAAGAGCTGCGTTAAGCTGGACAAGTCTGTTAGTTTTCTATAGATCATTTATTATTTACATAGATGATTTCAAAAATCGAGCAATTGGTCTGAAAATGGCACACCCTCGGTTTTAGCATCCTCCTATTCCCCCCAACAAGCGCTGCTCCTCCAGCTCTGCTCAAAAAGAATGCAAAGCGCGTGCTGGAAACCAGGGGTTGAGTATCAGTGGAGGCCGGAGCTCCAAATTTAGAGGTAGATGCGACATCGACCCGCATTTGTCCCCTAAAAGGAGAATTGTGGGAGCAGCCTCATCAGATTGATCTTATCCTCCATACCGGTGCATACGAAATACGGAGTCGGCGGAGCATTTCCAAGTTTCCAAGTCTTTCCCTTACACCACGCCATATACATAATACTGCTGCTGCTGCTGCTACGATTGCCAACACTGGGCAGTAGTGGCTTCAACCGCGCATTTCATCTGCTTATACTCTCTCTTATATATCTTTACGACGGGATTGGCGCTTACTTGTCATGTTTTCCGCTGCTCTCCGACACCACATCACGACACGCTGACGACATCGAGATACTGGCTTGTTGGGGTCAAGCCAGTAGAGGAGCTCAACCCCAATGAGCTCAATCGCAACTGATCTTGCGCAGCGTCGCGACGACTCCGCCGAGCAGGCCTCGGCTGAAGCCACGAGTCGAGTCGAAACCACAGACGCAAGCGACGTCGCGCCGCCAGACTACAATAATAATAATGACGATGATTACGAGTCCAACAGTTTAAAATGCGAGTCTAAGCCCCTGTTTGTCGACAAAATGGGGGGCGATTCAGCGGCCACAGAGGTCACTTTCGCCTCGCGAGCCATCCAGTTCTTTGCGACAGCAACGCCGGCAACCCTCGCGGGGTTGGGCGTGGGAGTCTCGGCGGTGACTTATGCTGTTCTTGGGCGGCTTGGGCTTGTGCTGATAGGAGCATTCGGCGGCGTGGTCTCTTTTATCATCTGGGAATCGAAGAACCCGGAGCTGGCAAAGGCCATTCGCGGCGAGGAGAGTAACAAGGTGCTAGACAGAGTTTGGGCGGATCTGACAGCTGTGCGGTCGCCGGAGACACCAGACGATGAAGATGAAGACCAGGGTCGTATCAAAAGCTTCGATGAATTTCGTCCAGAGACAAAAGAAGCGCTGAGTGGTTTAGTCGATGCGATTATCCAAAACTACATCAAGTGGTGGTACAGTCCACTTGTGCCTTCGGATCACGCTTTTCCGCTCGCTTGCCGCAAGTCAATCACGTCTTTTGTCTTGGCGATATCGAACCGAATGACTCGCAAGCGGCCGGCCGACGCTTTCCTGGACCTCCTGACCAACTCAACTTCCATGATAATTGTTTTCCTTTCGGAACTGGCGGCTGCGTTTTCCGCCCTCCCGCCCGATGCGAATCTGACCGCTGCCGATACCATATACAACTATCTCGCCGAAAATCCCGACTCTCGTCTTGCGAATCTGCTAAACCAGAGGCAACAAGCAACAAAATTCAAGATGATATCTGAAGATTTGCTTGGATTCCTCGACAAGAATGCCTATAACTGCGATCCGGCGCGGATTTTCTTGCGGGAGATTCTCGCAAATTCAGTCTTCGAGCAGACGCTACAGCAATGCAGCAGGGCCGAGTGGATCAACGGATGGATCGTGTATCTCTTGGAAGCTGGCGAGCCGAACTTGAATCAAGCAATTGATGTCGGCATGCAGACTGGTCGTGATGTGGCCAACAATGTCTTTGCTGACTTGGATGGTAACGTTGGTAATGTTGGCATTGCGAAGCCACGACGTGGTAGCAACGACCAAGGCCAGACTCGTCGCAAGGAAACTTCACACAAGAAAAAACTTAGCAAAGCAGACGAGGAACTGGAGGGAGCCATGGAGGAAATGAAACGAATGAATGCCATGATTGCAGATGATGAATTGCGCCGGAAAAGGACCTCCACGTTAACTGAAGCATCTGAACGGTCAAAGCAGAGCATGGATATGGCATCTCGAGATACGGATACTCAGAAGAACGAGGAAGCATTTTCGCCGACATCTAACAGATTCTCGCCTCGAGGAGCTTCAGTAGACGGCGTCTCATCCAAGAGTGATACAGTTTACACTCCCCATACGCCGCGATCCACAGCTGATTCTGCCAGCCAGGAATCATCTCCACAGGAAAACAAGGATCAACAGACGTTTACAAGTTTCGATCAGATCGTCCCGCCGGGCCAGCCAATAGTGGATGAAGAAGAGGCACCGAAAAAAGAACCTCTTACTTTGCACAACGCTTCATTCACACTAAATGACGATGGCTCGGGCGACACGGGGAAGATTCGAAGCAAGCCTACTATAGACTATCTGATCCAGGTGGAGCCGTCATCTTCCCACTATCCTGGTTGGATGATTGTAAGGCGATATTCAGATTTTGAGACGCTTCACGAGATCTTGAGACGAATTGCCGCTGTATCCGGTGCTACTGCCTTCATGGAGCTTCACAAAGAGCTGCCAAGCTGGAAGGTTCACACCCGAGAGTCTCTTCGGGGTGAATTGGAGAGGTATCTACGAGATGCTTGCTGGTATCAAGCTTTGGCAGAAAGCGAGGGAATGAAGCGATTTCTCGAGAAATCACAGGGACACACGCACGGCAACTCCAAATCATTTGGCTGGGAGACAGTAGGCAAGAATATGCTTGAAGTGCTATCCATTGGCCCCAAGGGAGCTGTAGAGGGTGGAAAGACTCTTGTCGGCGGCGTCAGCGGTGTCTTTGGTCACTTTGGCGGCCTTGGTCGAAAGTCGACCACTCAATCCATCGACCTTACTCCTCCGAATCCAAACCGTTTATCTACATCATCGATAACGGGAAGCCGAGTTGATAGCATTGCACGATCACCTGTGAGGTCGGAACGCGCCAGTCTTGACAGTCAGAGGTCGTCCGTCATTGCAACGCAGCCGGGCAGAGTAGAGCGAATGCCAAGCTTCGTCCAATCTCCCAACAACAGCGAGACAGATTTACGACTAAGCCAAAGAGGTAGAGTTGACTCAATTTCTACTTCAGTAAGCGCTCGACAGAGCAGAGAACACAGCAGGGCTTCCAGTTTGGCCGCTCTACGTTCACCATCGTCGATAAGTCTGGACTTTACAAAGCTTCCGCCGCCTCCAGATGAGATTAGCGATGACTATGAATCGCAGGCAAACGACTTTGAAGCCAAGTTACGTAGAAATGCGAGTTTCATGGAGGAACAGAGCCGTAACAACAGCTCCGCGGCACTGAACCCGTCGGCGTCCGCGCCGGCGTTATCGGGAAAGAAGAGTCCAGCGAAGCCTGCCCGGCAATACACCCAGCTTACGGAACCTGAAACTCGGGTGGCTGTTGAGCTCCTCTTTGCTGTCATTAATGAGATGTACACTCTTTCTTCGGCTTGGAACATCCGGCGAACACTCCTGACAGCTGCGAAATCGTTCCTGCTACGCCCCGGAAACCCTTCACTGCTGACCGTGCAGTCTCTTATCCAGTCATCAGTGATAGACGCCAACACGTCCGACGCAGGGATCGCGACAGGGTTGCGCAAAATACGCGAGAATACCATGCCCACGGAGCAGGAGCAAGAATCCTGGCCGGCACAGTTGACGGACGAAGAGAAGAGAGAGCTGGCCGTAAAGGCGCGCAGGCTGCTGATACAGAGCGGGGTGCCGGCCGCGCTGATGGGCGTGATGGGGCAGTCGGCCACAGGCGAGGCCCTCGGGCGTGTGTTTGACTGTTTGCAGATCGAAGAGGTTGCCAGGGGATTGATATTTGGCCTAATACTGCAGGCAGTGAGGGTTCTAACGCATTGATTACGCTTTATTTTATCATTTTTGGTACGAAAATACGATGTGCGGAGCGACGCCACCTGAAGCTATTGGCAATGGGAGCGGGACGGAGATTATAACGCGGTATATGAAAGATTTCTGATAACGGAGAACCACTGGGAGGGATATTCGGGGACAGCTTCTTCTTTCGTTCTATACATGATGGGAATAAAAGAGGGCGGAGACATAATTAACACTTGGGTGCTTTTTAGTAGTGTCTCCCCTTGAAGAGCATTGGATGAATGAATGGGATGCCGTTTTTGCTGCTGGGCCCCCTTTTTTGGCCCTGGGTGTAGTAGACAAACTCTTTCACGATGAGATGAGGCGTGTGTGCTTGTTTTATTCTCTTCAACATACCTACAATATCACTTTTGAAGCAATCATGTAAAATTAGTGCGGCCTTGCCTTTTCTATTCCATTATCTTAATTAATACAGAGAGAATAGCTGTACTATGATCAACAAGACGGGCAGACGAAGCTCTTGTTCCACGCCTTCTCCTACCGCACCATCTTTTCACATTTTACCTCGTACAAAGAAAATCAAGTTTATTCGTATCGCTCGCAATCAGTGATTATGACCCACGTGCTTGCGGGACTTTCTTTATCCTCCTTGAAAAACCCCGTGAGGTGTGATTCTTCGCTTACTAGCTGCGATATTTTGGGGGCCCGCGGAATGCAACTCGAGTATACGCGCGGAAAAGAGGGGGGGTAGCAACAAAACCTCGTCTGGATATACCGAGTGCATGCCGAATATTCGGGGTCTGGATCTTTCGCCGGGTTCTTTGTTTCCGCGGATCGGCAATTGATCACGTCTTGAGAAGGGGGGGAGCATTTATCTCACGCTGCAACTGTGCCAGTAGCCAGCAATTTGCAACACTTGACTACTGCTTCTTCCAAGTTTCTAACATGGGCAAAGGGCGGGCTTCTATGGAGAAATTGGAAAAACCTGCCAGAACGGAACGAGAGGGTCCTGCCTTGGTAAAGCGACGATCGTTGGCGACGTTTTGCTGCCGTCATGCATTACAAGCCCCGGTGTCCAAGATTAAGATGAAAAAAAAGGCCCCCTTTGGAACATATTTCTTTGGGGAGTGGGCCAGATAAAGAGGAGAAAGAAGAGCAAAACAGGAAGTTTCTTGCAATACCTGAATGCTTATCCCTCAAACCCTCAAGGTTCATATGTAGCCATCTTAGTATTTCATTTATCTCTCTTATCCCCCCTTCCCAAATCCAGGGGTTCTCCATATTCGCCTAAGAAAACAAAAAAAGAGACATAAAAAGGGATTAAAAAAGACACTACTGTAAAAGCAAAATCCTAGTCGTCATACACATGTACTACTTTGCAGTAAAACAGCAGCAAACAAACACCAAAAAGAACATGTCATATTCTGTCAATTTCTCGCCTGGCCCATCAATATCATGCACCTCCCTGTCAAAAGCCCCATATAGCTGCCAACGGGGGGTCGTCCCGGCCACATTCCGACCGTTTTATTTTAGTAGCTTTTTTCATTTTTTCTTTCCTCGTTCTTTTTTTAAATTATCGTTTTCTTTTCCCCAGCTTTTTTTTTATTTCTTATTATATTTTTTTCTCTCCCCCCTTGCTTAAGCCCCTTGTCGGCTCAAATCTCTGTGCCCTGCATTTGCCCAGTTTTGCCTACCCGGAGTTCTCTCGCCCTTGCTAAGCTGACCAATTACCAAGCACCGCTAATACCCAAGACGACAACCTACTGCGAATAATCCAAATCACCATCCCCATCCGTGCCTGTACGAAGCACAATTAGCCTAATGCAGGATGCCATCACATTCAGTCAATCCCCTGTCTATCGTTATCTCCGTCTTCGCTCACTTCTTCCATCTTCGTTAGAACCTACCCTCATCATGGCCCTACTGCATACTACCTATATACAAGTATACGGCTTCATTTTCCCAACCACGCGTACTCAGGATGATCACCATCAGACAGCACTCACCATCTATACGCTGCCACTACTGCCCTCCATTCTCCACCAGGATCAGCTCTTCCTCCTCTCTCCGTACCTTATTATTCTTAAACTCGCCTGACATCTCGCTAACCCGTCCTTGTACACCGGCCCCCCGGAGCTCTGGCCGCTTCCGGCATCAGATCCTCCACTCCACCACTCCCGGCCTACCGTTGAAACCGCCACGTTTACGCCTCTACGCTCTCTATAATTTCTCGGCCTTGTGTCTCTACGGAATAGTATCACGGCGCCTAGTGCCTATAATAGTGCTGTCGTGTATGCGGGGTGAGCGTTCTAGAGCCTCTCCTCACTATCTCCCAGCCAGCAAAATCATCTAGAATACCACTCAATATCCGAGTTGTCGATAGCCAGCCCCATAGTGTTAGTATCCGGCAGCTACCTAGCCACCTACCCCTTGTAGTCAACAGAGCACTAATGTAGGTACCTCCTGTAAGTAATAACTACCGCTGCTATCGCTTTCTGTGAGAAATGATGCCTCGCTTCGCTTGCATGCATGTAAATGGATATACCTAGGCGTACCTACACGTAGGCATGTACATACAAACCCGCCCACTCATGCCGGTAGTAGATACAGTATAGCATTTCCCCTCGTTCAGGTAGCATTACCGTTACAAGACTCCCCAGCCACCGCACAGCTTATTCTCATTTGGTACCTAGTACGGGGTTAGCAGTAAATAGTATCAGATAGCAGCAGTGCCTGCATGCCTATCGAGGTAGCATCGGATGCAATGCAAGGCTACGCAGGCCAAGCTCGTCACTTGACAAGCGCCACAACACCAAATACCGCAAAGTCACTGCAGCATCATGAGCTCGTCTAAGTCATCTAGTATATGCTTCGTCGTGGCGCCTCGCTTGACTCTGCCTACGCTGCTAGGCGAACGCGATGCTGCATCTACCTTGTTCCCCGTTCCGTTTCCCCTCTTGCTAGACGCTTTTTGTCAGTATTTACGACCCTTCAGTTCGGTTCAGTGCAGTTCCGGCTTCATCAACCGTGATTGTCGGGCATGCTCCGGAGGATTCGAGTGGCTACCTTCACGGAAAACACGCGGAGAAAGCAGTAAAACTCGAAGCGAAGGCGCGGTAGAGTCAGAGAGTATAGTTTGACAGGCCGGGAGCTTGAAACTTGACGTGATGGCGTCAGTATCGCACTACCCACGTACTTCGTACAGACACAAATCCGGATACCAAGACATGCGGCTGAATCCAACCCTTCGTCGGCCGACCTGAGGCAAGACTACCGCCGTGTCTGCGAAACATTAGTCATGTTGCAGATCCCCATCACCGCCCAAAGTGGATTCCATATTTTGATTTGATAGAAGCTCTGTCTGGCATTGTCTGCTACTGTCTATCTAATCGTAAAAAGTTACAAGTATCCATACATTACTTTTATGCATCAAAATACCAACGCTTTTGTTACCGCTCCAGCCGTCAGCCGCCCCGCTGGTTGTTTCGTTTCGCATGCCTAGACTTCGCTCGTTTCAGAGCCTTGGAGGTACCATCACGGTCCCCTCCTTGGCGTCTTCGAGAACCAGACTATCCCTGCTAGGCTGCCTCAAACAAACCAGCTGTAATGCCTAACAAACAAATCGGAGATTTTCCCCCCAGCCACGAGGGCTTAATATAAACTAAAAATTATGAAGGGCAAAAGAAAAAAAGAGTAGTAAAAGCAAGAAAATTAAAGAAAAGAATAAGTAACAAAAGAAAGAAGTGAAGAGAAGAGAAGTGAACATGAAAGAAAGAAAGAAATTGAACAATGGTGTCCAGGTAGAGCGAGTGGCTGCCTGAAGATGGGCAAAATATGATAGGTAAAATTCTGCAATGGCATTTCCGCTTGCCCCGGACAGTGTCTAGACATGCATGACAGACAGGTCGCAATCGCATAGCAATGATGGCGTCAATCGGCCAGCCACTGATGTATAACGTTTCAACTATTCAGAAAATAAATAATGAGCTGATACTCCGGACTCATGCAACGCTAGGTATGAAGGCTGTAAACGAGCGACTGGTGTAACAACGAGAGAAAACAGGTTCATGGCCGGGTATCAAAAGGTCTCGGCTTCAAGATGCATTCATGTAAAGAGCGACAAGAAAAAATGGTTAATGGCGGGCCGAAAGAGAGCACAAGTCTCATAATAGTATCGGTAGGAAGAAAAGGGCTTATGTTGGTTTGAAGACGGCACTCGTTAGGAAAATTTCCGTTTCCTTCGGTGGCAGGTCTTTCAGAGGAGGGACTGGTGCGAGCGGAGAAGGAGCAGCAGACATGACAGAGAATTTCGAGGTAGCGGCTGGGTTGAAGAATTGTAACATTGGCGAGGGAGCAAGGGTTGGGGAATCTGGTTGGGCACTACGCCTCACGTTGCTCCTCTGTTGCTCAACCACAGGCTGTAGTAGAGATCCAGGCTGATCTGCATCAGGCTCCGGCATGGCATTGTTCATCTTGTAGATCTCATCTTCCACGTCGGTCAATAGAGCAAAGAGCTCATCACCAGCGTAGATGCGGATACTTTCTCCAGCAGAGCTCTTCACAGTAGCTGTTCGAGTGAGGCTGTCCTTGTCCTTGTCTTCCTCTTCAGCCTCCTCAACGGCTGGCAGCTCGAAAATCATGCTTGGTACTTGAGCCACCACGCGCATGGGCGGCGGCGAGGTACTTTCGGGGCGGTTAGTGAAGGTGGTCTTGACTGGGCTTCGAGGAGGCGTGGCGATATCCTGAATAACGGGTAGTTGCACTGGTGATGGTGTCTCCCGACCAACAGAAAGTGTTGCGGCTGCGGCGATGTGCTCAAGGAGCTTCTGCCGAACGCGAGTACGTCTGTTCTCAGCTCTCTCCAGCTTATCGACCCATTCATCAATCGAAGCATCGAGCTCTGCCAGTGCTTCTTCTTGCCTAAGCAGCGGCTCGGGGCTGAATCGGGCTCCTCTATGTGGGGATCGAAGATATTGACAGATTCGAGCGTGCAGACTACGTCGGCCAGCCCGCAAAGAGTTATAAGTGCGTCGAAGGTATTCTGCTCTTTGATCTAGCCGGTGAAGTTCTCTGGATAAGCTTTCGACATCTTCAATCTGTAGCACCTCAAACCTCTCGACTTGGCCAAGAGCTTGTTGGTGAAGAATAGCCAGATCGTTGGCGCTCATTTGAGCAGCAGCTTTGACCGGTCTAATGCCCTGAGGAAGCTCCTCAAATGCGCGCTGTTCGGCACTCTTGGATCGCTTCTTTTCGCCGCAGCTAGGTTGGGAGTGGGAGTCACTCTTTTGGTGCGATTCGGTTCGTTTCCTTGGCCTGCCTCTATGCATGATGCTGTGCGATTCGGAAGCAATTCGTCTATGGCCATGGTTGTATGAGCCCCCTTCGGCTGGGGTAGCGCTCAATGGTGTACGGCATCGAGGTTCCCACTGTTTAATTGCTGGCTTTTTCTCCATAATTGGAGCCGAAGCAGGAGTCGGCAGTGTTGTGGCTGATGTAGCTTCCGTGCTCCCTGAACTGAGGTGATCGCTATTATCGGACGTGGAACTAAGAGGGCTCAGATACTGGTGAACCCCTGTGTTCAGTGGTGGTGTGCTATCAGCTCTGAGATGCGTATGTGAAGCGCTACGCTTGACTTCCCGCACAAAAGTCTGCGTGTCCGGCTCGGGGATAACCAGGGGTGCCAGTCGTTTCGGCGAGGGTAGACGGGGAGGCTGAGAGTTCTTGGGTCGTCTCTTCACTTCAATCTGCTTCGGAGGTGCATATATCGCTCTGCCATGCGTCAAGTTGAACACCTGTGGCGGAGCCATATTCTGTTTGGGTCCGTCCTCAGGAGCGCTAATGGATCGTTCTCGCACCGGTGGCCGACCCGGTATTGTCGCTTTGCACAGTTAGAGATGAATTAGATTGTCAATGGATACAAAACTTACGAGAGTCCATGGCAACCTCTTGGACCGTTGTCATCGGACCAAGATCCGGGATGGTGGCTTTTCGACGTCGGACAAGATTCGGCAGGCTCGCTTTGACTTTCAGTGTCGGAGTCGTAGCACCTGATCTGTCGTTGCGTTCGGACGTCTTGTTCATGGCGAGAGCAAAGGCGGTCTCGGGGTCCACCGATGTATTGTTATTAAAGCAAGGCGATTGCCTTCCCTTAGGGAAGAGCTGATATTTGCCCTGTCCGTCCTGCTGCATCTTTCTAGAGGTCGATTTTTCTTCTGGTAGAGCCGCCAGCGGCGTAGACTAGAGACATGTATAAGTCAGTCATGATTACTCGACCAAATTAGGAAGTTGGCTTCTTACAACGGAAACCATCTGAAATGCTGGCGAGAAAGGCCTTGATGATGCACCCTGATCAGTCCCAGAAATGCAGCCAGCAATGTGATTCATTACTCGTATGAATCAGCTTCGACGAGATGGACAGCTCCGTGTTCAATGTCACCGTGTAAGAGGGAAGACACAGTCATCCAGCTCTAGGTGAGATACAATTAGCAGTTCGTCTTAGACGAGAGTGCTATCAAAGAACATCCCCAGCCTTTCTACCATCCAGTAAGAGAGCAGGCGGGCGTTGGAACCAGGCGATGAGGATATATATCTGCACTCTCGGCAAGATGGAGCCTGAAAGAGAGATGCATTGTAATTCAGATGAGGCCTAGGCTAGCGCAGGACGCATGGATGTCTACCATGTTCCTCCTCGCTTGCACCCGACTAGAAGGGGCTATCCACAGTGGCCAGGAGAAGGCCTGCGGACCCGAAGAGTTCTAGCTCGAGTGTCAAGGATATGGATATGCTTGAGGGGCTCCCTTCTGTGACACGGCTGCAAATAGGACAGCTCCGGACCTTGCTGGGGCTTGGTGGCTGTACAGGTGCCATGTTCCCACAGGGGTAGAATCTAGAGTAGAGCACTCCGTAGGCTCCGGCGGAAGCTTCAAAAGAGGGTTAGACGACCGGACCCTGGTAAATGGACAGGGCCAGAAAATATTGGGAGGAGGAGCTGCTGCATGGCAACTAGGAGTAAAACGCTAGCCCCTAGGCGACGTCGACCCGTTCTTCAGGTCGAAGCGTTTTCCCCACCATGCTTGGCCGGTCCAGGATATCCTTGCCTGCCATGATGTTCGCCCGCACGAATCCGATCTGTCGGGCGATTGCGTTTTAGCACCGGTATTCGGGGACTGCTATAGCGAGGGCAAAAGATTGCAGTCAACGAGAAGAGGAGAGGAGGAGGAGGAATATGGAGAGATAAGGCCCTGTCGATGGGTTGGTTAGTGGGGGTTTAGTTTCAGACGCCGGTGCTTGGTAAGAAGAGACGGGCTTTGGGAAGGCCATGAGTGAGATACTGACCCCAACGAGCATCCTCAAAGGCGCAACAGTGCAGCAAAAGTATGCCTTGCATTGCAATTACGAATACGCATCGTCAAGGATAGCAGCGGCACAGCAACGACGAGGCTGGCGATGGTGAAGAGGACGCAATGCACGCCCAGTTGGAGCAAAGCAGAGTGAAGAGATGGAGTGAGCCTTAGCCATGGGATGAACAAGGCTTCAGACTGCACGTGCGCGGAGCCCCTGGGGAGCTGTTCCGGTGACGCTTGCTTGACGACCTTCCCAACATTGTATAGCATCATCACCTCCAGGTGTGCGCCGACAGTACAAGAAATATCAGACGAAGAATACGAATAGGTGTGTATTGTGTGCCATCAGACTCCAGGCGTTCTAGGCGTTGGCCAATCTCCACTCCCGCCTTGTCCATCACCGCGTTAGCGTGTCGCAGACTCAGCCTTCTCGTAACACGGCTCCTACTGCAACACACTTGCACCGCAGGTGTTACGAGCGCGAGTCACCGGAACGCATCTGCCGTGCGGTCGATCAGGCCAATGCGCGTGAGCTCGTACCTGCATGGCGGCGGCAGCAAGTGCTTCGCATTTCATCCGGTCTTTGTCGCAGAGGCGGGCACTGCCTTGTGATTGGGAAAGGCTGCGATGTGATATTATTTTGGCCCCAAAGACGTTCTGCAGCCCCTGGAGAGACGGCTGCAGCCTACTTGTGCATCTTGTATTTGTATCCCCCGTTGGAATTTCCTCCTTTACAGTCTCAAAGCTACCCTATTGTGCTATTTCAAGCATGTTTTTATATATATATAAAATATGTCTCCCACATCGCCCCCATCAGCTGCTCGGCTTTACAGGTGATTCTTCTCCGATGAGCATTTCTAATATGACTCGGCTAGGCATTCCCATTTTCTTCAAACAACATCAGGCTAACTATCACATTGCGGAACAAGGCTTTCTTAGCAGATTTAGCCATCGAATGATATCATGTTACTATGGACATGTATACTCCGCATACAAGATGATAAAGCGATTGGGCTAATGTTTCCTATACAGGATCCTTCAAAAGGCTGTTACGGTCCGAGCAGGCTTGAGGAATCACGCTTGGCAGCTTTGCGTCTTCTCTCCCAGCTTTGCTACAGATGACTATACCGTTTGTATTCTTGATTACAGCTATAGGTGCGTAGTTGCATCGGGCGTGGACCACTTGTTTCGAAGGATAATGCTGCGCTTCACCGCCATAATGACAGGTATCAGCGATAAGATGGCATGCCGCTACGGCTCTGTCACATCTCTACCTAGTCGACCTAAAACTTTGCGCTCAGCGTCTGATGCACACCCTCCCAGATCTCTAAAACACGCTCGTGGGGTTTCCTGTGATGAGATGAGTTTAAGCAGGTGCTATCACACTTCCAAGTTTTCAATGCTACGTCCACTACATCCCCGGTTTCGGATGCGCAGATCATCAGGAGCTGCTTCCATCTCAAAGCCAGGGCTCGATGACGTTATTTCCCAAGATACATCTTGATTTATCCTCCAGCTAAACAGGTTTGTGTTGTTTCTAAACAATAATCAAGCTTTGGCATTTTCTCCACCTTCCCATGGCCGTTGCGCAAAACCAAGCAAAACAGGGGTGGAGAAAACCTGAGACAGGTCCACGAAACGGCAAGCAGCTACCCCAAGTTCCAGTCGGAGCTTTGCCTCTACCAGTAATATATTTTTCTTTTTATCGATTTAATAACAAACGAAATGACATTGCCCTTTTCCAAGCCGGATAGGTCTCCTTCCGTTGAGAGATTCCACTCGGATATCTCCGACTGCTGATTACTGCTATGCGTCTTCGTCATCTGCGGAGAGCAATTATGCTTTTTTTAGACTACATGAAAAAAATTGACTCAACGCTCTCCTATCTCTCCTTTACTGAAATGAAATGAATACTCATTGGTGATGAAAAATTTTGCGTTGCTCAAGGCATCCTGCCTGTTTGTGCTTGCGCCGGCGGATTTGGTTCGCGGGCTGAACAGGTTTGTTTCAACCCTGAAACAACTCCTGCTTACTGTCTGCGGGGGAAGTTATCCCGCAAACACTCTAGGGGTTACTTGTACCTTTTTCTTCTTCTCCATTACTTCACTCGTTTTCTCTTTTCTGAGAAGGCAAAATAAGAAAGAGATATTTCTTCGACATTGCGACATTGGCATGTCCGTGCCATAGCCCATGGGTCCACCTTGAATCTGATATCCAAATGTGGACTCGGCCCCACTCTCCGGCCATAATGTGGAGGCTATTCAGCGTCTGTAGCTCGCTAAACTCAACTTCTTCAGAACCACAGTTCTTTTTCCCACATGCTGATACTCCCATGGACTACCGCCATTGAAAAGAGATAGCTGGTAAGATTCCACGTACTGGTAGCAGGTGACTGCATACTATGAATTGGCTATCTACGTTAATTGTGTCATAAACATATGATGATGGCATAGCGAGGAGAAGAGCAATCAATCCTCGATTGTTTGGAATTTACACATTTTGAATCAAGCACAGCAGCGTCGCTGCTAGATGGCCATTCAAGGAAAATTTCATAGCTTGGCCCATCTTATACTTTGTTTCAAGTCTTAGATATAACGCAATGTATCTGTAGTTCCATCCACATAACCAAACTCCACAGCGCCGTGGCTTGCGGCTCTGCCAAGGATTTTGCACGAGTCTCCCACAATGTCTCCTCCAAAGACCGTGCTTGAGACTTGGCGGAGCAACCAAGAAAAAGAGCACGGTCTTAGAGAAAGTGACATGATGGAAATTATAAAAGGTTTATCACTTCATCTTTACGTATCAAGATGCTAATGGCACTCCTAATTTTGCAATCGAACGGTATGTTAGATTCTCAACAAGAGGCATACATTCCGTCTTCGTTACACTCCTTCTTCTTACAACCAATAATAGTGCCATGGGAATGTATGTTTGCTTTTCCCAAAGGTGGCTCCAGAGTGGCAAATCCATAGGTGTAGCCATCTTCTAGCCAAAAATTTTGCTCAAAGTTGCTATGCCCCGTCGATTACCGACTCCTCTGAGCATCTGTAGCTAACATAGTCTCCATTATTTGAAACAAAAAAGCTCCATAATACTGTATTTATTTTCTCGCTCGTAGATCGATCGAAAATATCTTGTCTCTGATTCTGCCAATAACTAATATTTCCTTCTGAGTACAACGGAGTTGGTTTTTTCTTCGGACTGCCCGGAGATCAAGAAACAATGAAACACTCACTCCATTAACTGAGGGTCTCTCTAGGAGGGGGAGCCGTTAGTAGTCCAGCCACGTTGCTGCCGTGGCTTTGCGTTGACCTATGTATCCATATACTCCATTAGCCGGTCCACTTGCTCGTCTGCCCGGCTTGTTGGCTATGGCGCTTGGAAGATCAACTTTTCCAGGTGCTCGAGAATCTTTTCCATGTGACTAAGACTCTCGTTGGCGTAGCCATGCTGTTCAGGCACTGGACAGACATTTGGGTTCGTGCAATAGCTGTATTGTCCAACTTGGCGGCACTCTCGGAATGCTTTAACCTCTCTGCTAAGAAACGTTCTCCATTTTAGATATGGACAGACATATTGACGACTGAACATATGTTGAACAGAACGGAGGCTACCTACGATGCAATGAGTGTACGATAAGCCCTAGCAAGGTTTTTATTCCGAAAGAATGTGAAACGGTGAGAAGAAGGGAAAGACTTGGCATCGATTCGTCGATAAAGTTCTTCTTTCGTGCCCCTCTCTTCCAGGTAGTAGAGGTACTTTGAAAGTGGCTAAATGCCGAGTACATGTACTTGAGTATACTTCGATTTGACATATCGAGATATCTAAATTGAGGCATATCTAACAATAATCCAGCAACCTGCTATGAAAACACGGTAGAGATTTTCTTAGGCAGGTGTATATCTATTTAGGAAACGGGAATCAATACAAATGTATGATGTGTTCTTCTTATACTCTGCATTTGCCGACCCTTTAGACACTAGTAGTACCTCTCTTAGCCAAATACAATAGATACCTCCGTAGGTACATGGAAAACCAATAACCTTGGCACCTATAAATACTAAGTCTGTACTCTATTATCCAGTAGTTCAGGAAATATGATTGCTCTGAGTTGAAACAAAGTACTTGTAGCTATGGTATAATGTGCCATAGCATCAGGAATGTGTTTTCCAATCCATATTTTGATGGCTCGATAGTATGTACTCGGTTATTTACTAAAGGTGGAAGCAATAGCATGCAAGAAAGCGAAGGCTTCTACTGAGTTCTTACTTTTCCATGATTTCATCATTGTTCTACGTACTGGTAAGTACTACTAATCTCTTGTTACATTCACAGGTAAGTACCAGCCCAGAATTATTTCTTCATCATGACCAGCTTCTGAAAATTTTCATCTTAGAAAGCAACAAAGTCTTGAAACAACGCGCGGATTATGTCCACGACAGATCTGACTCGGAAATATGGTTCTGCTTTTGTGGTCCCTGATTCATCTACAGAAGTACACTACCTGCAGGCGAGGTCGACTGGTAAAAGGTTGATGTTTCGTGTTGCTAATGTTTAGGACCCTCTTGCGGCTATTTTGCTCAAAGGCTAATACGCCCCATACTGGTACACATTACTCTACGAAGAACTTGGCTGCATTATACTGGATCATACGCAATACTCTCATATCTCACGTACCTGCAGAGCACCTCGCAGGGTTGGATAGGATTTAAGCTGCCTTGGGTGGCCATGTACATATCAGTCTTCATGCATACATCTGCAGCGAACATAACCTACACAGTCCACCCAATTCAACACTACACAATGATTCCCCCGCAAAATTTGTGCAGTATAGCGGCGTTAGGCGAGCTCCGCTTCCGCTCAGCCTTCTACTGCTTATTCCATCACTATTCTTTCTGATGACCGTGCTCTAATCGAGACGATGGACTGAACTAGGGCGATTCCGGGGTCTTAGAGCTGGCTCAGCTGAATGCCAGATGATTGAATAATAGTGCCAGAAACAGACGGGATCTTTTGTCCCTCGTACGGAAGCTTGGCCGTCGTTTCAGGTCCACGACAGATACAGACCCTGGCTCCTCGTTGAAGGCTTTAGCGGGGAACGGTCTAGAAGCCGAAGGTTTCACAAACTGCTTTAGCCACCAGCTCCATCTAGATCGATTCGATACCGCCGAGAAACAGACAGCTGAAAAAGCTAGCAGTAAAAAAAATCAAGATGTTGAAAAAAGAAGAAGAAAAAATCAGCGTCACAGAGTTGAAGCATCAAAACAACCCCTCCACGATGAGCTGAGCCGAAAAGAGCCCACAGTGGGAACTGGAGCTGCCCGCAAGTGGTTCCGCACGTGACGGCCCTCAAATGGGAGCTCGCAATTGAAGGACCTTTTGCAAGTGGTTTTCAGTGAAGCTCGACGGGCACGTTGAACTCGGCTTGAGTCGGTCCTTTTGCTGCCCGCTCCATCTGGCTGTCAGAAAAAAAACCCAGCTTGAGCACATGTCGTGGTTCTCGATCTTCAAGAGAGTCGGGATTTTGCGCAGCAGCACGAATCGCACATCCACGAGCTACCTGCACTCCAACACCAGGCGGGGCTTTGCTACGATCACCACCATGGCCAAACGGGATCCCACTACGCTGTCCAACTATGACGCTTGGCGCACCAAGCACACCACCGCTAGCTTCAGCATTGACTTTGAGAACAAGCGCCTGAAGGGCTCGGTGGTGCTGCAGCTCGAGAGCCAGACGGACAAGCAGAGCAAGGAGATCATCCTCGATTCTCGCTTCGTCAAGGTGTCGTCGGTCAATGTCAACTCCGCAGAGTCCAAATGGGAGCTGAAGCCGCACTCAGATCCGTTTGGAGCACCGCTGCATGTGCAGGTCCCTGATGGCGCGGCCAAGGGCGACATCGTCAACCTGGCCATTGAGCTGGAGACGACGAGCAAGTGCACGGCGCTGCAGTGGCTGACGCCCGCCCAGACATCTAACAAGAAGCACCCGTACATGTTTTCTCAGTGCCAGGCCATCAATGCTCGCTCCATCTTCCCTTGCCAGGATACTCCCGATGTCAAGTCTACCATCAGCTTCAAGTTCACTTCGACCCTCCCGGTTGTTGCTTCTGGTGTTGCTGTTGGCGACCACACAGCTACTCCCGGCGTGGAGAAGGTCTATGAGTTTGAGCAAAAAGTCCCTATCCCCTCATACCTCTTCGCTGTTGCCTCTGGTGACATCGTCTCTGCCCCCATTGGTTCACGTAGCAAGGTTGTCACCGGTCCCAATGAGATTGAAGGTTGCAAATGGGAGCTCGAGCGAGACATGGAGAAGTTCCTGGAGATTGCTGAGAGCATTGTCTTTCCCTACAAGTGGGGAGAGTACAATGTGCTGGTTCTGCCCCCCAGCTTCCCCTATGGAGGTTAGAAATACCCATCAAATGAGCTTCAGTGGCTATTCTAACCTTAATCTCAGGCATGGAGAACCCCATCTACACTTTCGCTACCCCTACCATCATTAGCGGCGACAGGCAAAACGTTGATGTGATTGCTCACGAGCTTGCCCACAGCTGGAGTGGCAACCTGGTTTCCAATGCCAGCTGGGAGCACTTGTACGTATCTCTCTCATGGCTTTAGACTCTACCCACCTAGTGAGGATGGACAAGCTGACACTGGAATAGCTGGCTGAACGAAGGCTGGACCGTCTATCTGGAGCGACGAATTGAGGCTGCCGTCCACGGCGAGCCTCAGTTTGATTTCTCATCCATCATCGGATGGAAGGCTCTTGGTAAGTAATCGCATATACAAATGCATGCGTATATGGTATAGGTCATCAAGGTCTAATATTGATTTCAGAGGATGCCGTTGCCCATTTTGGCAAGGACCACGAATACACAAAACTCATCATCAGCCACGATAACGTGGACCCCGAGGATGTTTACAGCACCGTTGCTTACGAGAAAGGATTCCACTTCCTTTACTACCTTGATCGTCTCGTTGGCCGAGAGAACTTTAACAAGTTTATTCCCCATTACTTTACTAAATGGGCTGGAAAGTCTCTCGACTCCTTTGAGTTTAGGGACACATTTGTCGACTTTTTTAACGGCCTGGGCGATGAGGATATCAAGAAGAAGGTTGCCACCATTGACTGGGAAGGCAAGCTTTATACTCCAGGCTTGCCTCCTAAGCCCGATTTTGACATGACCCTTGCTGGACAATGCTACGAATTGGCTGCGAAGTGGGAAAATGATGTAAGCTGCCTCTCCTCCCTCTATTTCCCCTCAAGTCGATGTCCAAGCTCTTGACAATTGATTGTATCATTATCTAACGGTTTGGAATGTTTAGTCTTATGAGCCCAGCGCCAACGATGTTGAATCATTCTCCTCCAACCAGAAGATTGTTTTCCTTGAGAAGCTGCAGCAGCAAGGTGCTCTGAGCGCCGAGCGGGCCAAGCTTCTGGGCAAGGTCTACAGTCTCCTCGACACCCAGAATGTTGAGCTCCAGTTTGCCTACCTGCAGATCGCTCTCAAGGCCAATGACAGCACAAGCTACCAGAACACAGCGGATCTGCTTGGCAAGGTCGGTCGTATGAAGTTTGTCCGACCCTTGTTCCGATCTCTGAACAAGGTTGATCGAAACCTCGCCCTGGAAACTTTTGCCAAGTACAAGGACTTCTATCACCCCATCTGCAGGGGTATGGTGGAAAAAGACCTTGGCGTCTAGGGGGTCTTTCTATATATAACCCTTGATCAAAAAGTTAAATAAAATAAAAGAAGCATGTGAAACAATTGTATACAGTGCCATGCAGTGATGCTATGTAGACGCGACGCAGTAATTACCATTCAAGCCAGTCTATGTCGAGCATCCACTCAACCCATCTCTGCCCCTCTCTTCGCTCAAATTTCGCAAAGCTCACGACATCTCTTGCACCAAAGTTGCCGTACAAGTGCGGAAACCCATTCTCCCATTTGATCGGATCCGCCAGCTTGGACATCTTAAACTTTATGATCCATAGGGTAGGAGTCTGAGCGAAGAACAAATCGGCCGTGTTGGGGACCTAGATTTTCAATATCAGATGAGAAGATTCTAGCTAGGTCTAGAGGAAGCTCGGCAGCAAGATGGAAAAAAAAAAAAAAAAAAAAACAAATCTTGTACTACCTGCATTGCCGTGCTTAGGTGAACGAATCCATCCTTTGCGTCGAGCGCCGAGAGGGGATACTCAATGGGAAAGGGTTCAATGGGTTGTGAAGAGAGTATTTTGTAGAGATATGTCGGGCGAGGCTCCGGTGATGACGACATACTCAAAGCAGAAGCAGCGATGTACTATATGAATGATTTTGATAGCTTGAGTTGTATGACAGGAAATGAAAGTGAGTTGAGGAAATTTATCTGCTGAGAAAAAGGCTGGTAGTATCACGCTGTGTAACCGGGCAGTTACGCTTTAACAGAATATCCGCACAGTGTAAAGTAATCATATGTACACAGTAACCGTAACTGAGCTTTGTGCTAGCGCGGGGCATTTGCCAGTCACCGAATCCTCGCCGCAAATGCCATACGGCCCAGATAACGAGGAGCTGAGCTCACATGTCAGATGCTGGTCAGCTTATGAATGGCTCTGCCTCCAATGAAAGCTTCTCGAGAACCATAGAGTCATGTCGTGGGGTCCGGTGGCCTCGCAGCTTTGTCTGTTATCGCAGCTGAAAGAGCGCTCAGTTGGCGACAAAGTGAGATTCCTGGGGTGGTACGTATGTCTACAGCAGGATTAATTTCACTGAGCACTTTGGCAAATGCTTAAATCCATGACAGTGTTATCTCATACGACACTTCTACGGCATGTCTTGCTCTGGGGCACATGTACCCGCCGGGAACAAACGAGACTGTACTGGTGGACATTGAGCTCGTTCTTGAGACTATCCAGCCGGGATTGACGCAGGTCGGGCATTGGGTTAATGTCGTGGGGTATATCGTTGAGGAGAAGTCGGGCACACAGAAACTATCAGGGACAAAGGCGTCTCCCAGACACGTTCAAGCGCTGCTGATATGGCCTACGGGACCTTTGGATATTGGAAGATATGAGAAGAGCCTGGAAGATGCAGCGGCTCGGCCTTGATGCGCGCTGCCTCGTCTGAAACCCGTCAGATCTGGTGGGCACATGTGAATTCCGGGGAGATTCAAGCAAACGACAGCCTAAGCCTTAGTGGAGAGGTCCTGGCGCATGAATCCCGTTTATTAGCGAGATGCACCTTTGTGTTGACACTTGACGGCAAACAAAACAAGACAGTGGCTGCCAGCAGGCGGAGAGAGGAATGTCAGGCCACGAGACGCAGCGGGGCGCGTAAACGCACATATTGGGTGACTGCTCCTTTGGTGCTTCGCGCGCATGTGCAAATCAAGGTGAAGCCCCTAAACGTCGTTAGCATCCAGCTTAGTGATGGAGACGCAGCAGCGGGATGCGCTCTTTAGGGGCCAACGTGCATGCTGCGTCTCCCCTATAATTGCAGTGATGATAACATCGACGCTCGCAGTGAACGCAGCGGCTAATCCGCGGCGCCCGCCATGCCACCTGCGTCACAAGCGCAGACCGCATCAACAACCCACACGTGAACCTCCCCTGACAGCTGCACCTCCACCCCCAATCACAGTGACCGCTGAAGAGATAGAGGGTCGGTCCGCAAGGAGGTGCACCATCAGCGCGACCGCGTTTCTCCTGTCGACTTTGTGCTGCTGCTGAAGCTGCATCATCTGGTACGATTGACGACGGCACGAATAGCGGCTCCGGCGACTGTTCTGAGCTCATCGCAACGCAGCGGCCGAGCGCCTTCGAGTCGGCGCAACTTAGACAGGGCGGAAATTCTTGCGACCGCTTGCGAACCCTCGACCTCGGGAAAATCGGGGCGCTCCCACCGCCGCCACGAGGGAGGCTTTTGGCTCGAGTATGGACAGGAGGCCTTGACGGCTACATACATTTGCTGTTTACTTTGCTTTGTTTCGTTTGTTTGGCAGCGCATGGGGACTCGGTTTCACTGAAGCTCTTCCCCGCGCATACATCCTTGGACGACTTTTGCCCTTCACCGACCCGGGGCGCATTGCCTGTAAAACCGCGCGGCATTCGAGGGGACCAGCCTAGGTCCCCGCACGTATTCGAGCAGCCATGGCGCCAGCTGGGGGAGGAAACATCAAGGTGGTGGTGAGAGTCCGGCCATTCAATGGCAGAGGTGGGTCTATACGCACATAGCCGTCAAGCCGGTGCGCGGCGGCAGATATGGATGGGTGAATCAAGAGTTAACGGCTGGAATGCAGAAATCGACCGCGGATCGAAGCGTATCGTGGATATGTCAGGGAACCAAACTGTCATCACGCCGCCCGAAGGACATTTAGCCAAGGGCACGAAAGATAGCGCCCCCAAGACCTTTGCCTTTGACCGATCATACTGGTCTTTCAACAAGGAGGACTCCAACTATGCCGGCCAGCACAACTTGTTTGATGATCTGGGCGCGCCGCTCCTAGACAACGCCTTTGAGGGATACAACAACTGTATTTTCGCTTATGGCCAGACTGGTTCTGGAAAGTCGTACTCTATGATGGGATACGGCAAAGAAGTCGGTATTATTCCTATGATTTGCCAAGAAATGTTTCAGAGAATAGGAAAGATACAAGGCGACTCTCCAAGCAAGTGCACAGTCGAAGTGTCATACCTGGAGATTTACAACGAACGAGTCCGTGATCTGCTCAACCCTTCAACAAAGGGCAACTTGAAAGTTCGAGAACACCCGTCCACCGGTCCGTATGTCGAAGACCTCGCCAAGCTCGTTGTCACGAGTTTTGCAGAAATCGAACACCTCATGGATGAGGGAAACAAGGCTAGAACTGTTGCCGCGACCAACATGAACGAAACGTCCAGTCGAAGTCATGCTGTTTTCACGCTTATGCTGACGCAGAAGAAGTATGATGCTGAAACCAAGATGGAGATGGAAAAGGTCGCCAAGATTAGTCTGGTCGATTTGGCCGGTTCCGAAAGAGCCAACTCGACTGGTGCCACTGGAGCGCGACTCAAGGAAGGCGCTGAAATCAACAGATCGCTTTCCACACTTGGTCGTGTCATTGCCGCGCTGGCGGACTTGTCTACCGGCAAGAAAAAGAAGGGTGGCTCTCAGGTGCCGTACCGTGACAGTGTACTCACCTGGTTGCTGAAAGACTCTTTGGGTGGAAACAGTATGACTGCCATGATTGCAGCCATCAGTCCTGCCGATATCAATTACGATGAGACGATAAGCACGCTTCGATATGCTGACTCCGCAAAGCGAATCAAGAACCACGCCGTGGTCAACGAAGACGCAAATGCTCGTATGATCAGAGAGCTAAAGGAGGAGCTGTCTCTTTTGAGAAGCAAGCTTGGTGGTGGAGGAAGCCTTGGTGCAACCGGAGGTGCCGGTGTTCCCCCAGACGAAGTTTACGACGAGGGTACTCCGTTGGAGAAGCAGATAGTGAGCATCACGGCGTCGGATGGCACGGTCAAGAAAGTTTCCAAAGCAGAGATTGCGGAACAGCTGAGCCAAAGCGAGAAGCTACTCACAGATTTGAACCAGACTTGGGAAGAGAAGTTAACGAAGACGGAGGAGATCCATAAAGAGCGTGAAGCAGCTTTGGAAGAACTCGGTATCAGCATCGAAAAGGGATTCGTGGGTCTACATACGCCAAAGAAGATGCCCCATCTTGTCAACTTATCCGACGACCCTCTTCTAGCAGAGTGTCTGGTCTACAATCTCAAACCTGGTACAACCTCCGTAGGCAATGTTGACACAAACGCGGAAAATCAGGCCAACATCCGCTTGAATGGCACCAGGATATTGCATGATCACTGTATCTTTGAAAACACTGAAGGCGTCGTTACCGTCGTACCGAGAGAAGGAGCGTCGGTCATGGTCAACGGCAAGCGAATCACAGAGCCCAAGCAGCTCCATTCGGGATTCCGTGTTATCCTCGGAGACTTCCACATTTTCCGGTTCAACCACCCCTTGGAGGCCAGAGCCGAACGAGCTGAAGATACCGGCAACCGCCAAAGCTTGCTGCGACAGTCCATCACTGCCAGTCAGCTGCAAGCGCTGAGCCCAACACCTTCGACCCCCCGAACGCCCGGGCACGAAAGATCGTTCAGCAAAGTTTCAGACAGTGGCGAGTCTCGGCCAGACTCACCCGCCTTCTTCCAGCGGAACGGCAAAGACTCTGATTGGTCCTTGGCGCGGAGAGAGGCTGCTGGTGCCATTCTTGGGACTGACCATAATTTTGCCAGTCTGACGGATGAAGAGCTGAATGCATTATTCGATGAGGTCCAAAGGGCGAGAGCAGAGCGTGTCATTACGCGCGATGATGGAGACGATTCGGAATCAACCACGTCGTATCCAGTTCGAGAAAAGTATATGTCGACAGGAACTATTGACAACTTTTCTCTCGACACGGCTCTAACAATGCCCTCAACACCAAGGCAAGGGGACCAAGACGACCAGTTCAGGGAAGTTAGAGAGGAGCTCCAGTCTCAATTTGAGAGGCAAAAGGAAGAATTCCGAGACCGACTCAGAGGTGCAGATGTCTCCCATATGGAAGTCGAAGAGATCAAGCAAGAAAAAGCTCGTATGGAAGCGGCGCTCATGGAGCTCAAGGAGGATATGCAGAAGCAGCTCAGCCTACAGCGCAAACAGTTTGAGGAAAAAATCGAAAAGATGGATCCCCTGAAACGCCCCAAGGCAAGCCCTCGGCTATCTGATCACGAGATGGACATTGCAAGAAAGACGGTCAAGGCATGGCGTAGCCGCCACTTTGTCAAAATGGCCGAGACCGTGCTCCAGAATGCATCCATCTTAAAGGAAGCTCAGATTATGAGCAACGAGCTTAATGAGAGCGTCGTCTTCCAGTTCACTACCGTGGACCTGGGACACGTCTTGTGCTCTTCCTATGACATGGTTCTCAACGGCCTTACGAGCGAGGGAGACGATATAGCACTGGAGGAAGCTTACAAGCCCTGCATTGGCGTCCGCGTTATTGACTACATGAATACTGTAGTTCGCTTGTGGAGTCTGGAGAAGCTGTATGACCGGGTACGTATAATGCGGCAAATGCACCAATACCTGGACCAGCCAGAGTACGCGCAGCACTTAAGCCTGGATAACCCCTTTGTGGAGACGAATATGCCCTCCTACACCCTTGTCGGCGAGGTAGATATTCCTCTGAGAGCTGTATTTGAGAGCCGAGTGCAGGACTTTGCTCTGGATGTCCTTTCCCCTTACACCTCTCACGAGGTTGGCATGCTCAAACTGTCTATTGAGCCTTCTCATGCCCGGGCCCCAACCAACACACTCAAGTTCAACGTCGTCATGCACGAAATGGTAGGCTTTGCCGAGCGAGAAGGAACCGATGTGCATGCACAGCTGTTTATTCCTGGAATCTCGGAGGAGGACGGCATCACGACCACGCAAATGATTCAAAGTTTTGATGAGGGCCCAATACGCTTTGAGAGCGTTCATAGCATGAGTGTGCCCTTATTTGCAACCCCAGAAGTTACACTGAGAGCAGCTATCTTTGCTAAAGTTTCGACAATGCATCTCGATAAGCTCCTTAGCTGGGACGACATGAGAGATGCATGCCCTGCTGCGGACAACAACAAGGGAGCTCGTATCAATGAATCTCAGTTCTTTACTCAAGAAAAACACGACCTACTTTCTCGAATCCAGATAATGGAGCTTAATGAGCACGGAGAGTACGCTGCCGTTGAAGTCACCCAATCAAGCGAGCTTGACAGTGGAACTTTCCAACTACATCAGGGCCTGCAAAGGCGTATCTGCATCGAAATTTCACATAGCTCGGGAGATATCTTGCCATGGGGAGATGTTACCTCTGTCCGCGTAGGCAAAATTAGAACTGTTGACACTGCCGGCAAATCTCCCGACATGGTCACAGATCGCGACATTACTCTCAAGCTTGCGTCGAATCCTGTCTTCCGCGAGAACCCCAACGGCACGCGTAATATCGTTGTCCATGCCCAATGGGACTCTAGTCAGCACAATTCACTTCTTCTTGATCGTGTAACACCCGACAAATTCCGCGTTCAGATGACCA